GAAGTAGTTTGTATTGAAGGTTTAGGCATACATACTGATATGCTTATACATTGTATTAGTGCTTCATTTACATTTCACAGCTTTTCAAATTGTAATTCAGTTAGGATGCGGAACCGTTGTTTAAATTTTAAGATTTTTGAGGCTATTAACTTGTATCGTTGTCAAGAGTGTAAACAAACTCAAACTCCGAAGCATTATTGAACATCCGTTTTATTACTCATCCCTACTATACAGCATTAATACTTTGATTATGCTTACTATTAACTATGCAAACTTCAAATAGTTATTTGCATCTACTTAAATATCATTCAGCAGATAAAAGCATTTATCGTCTCCGATGTGAATCAGATCCTCAGGCGAAAAAGTTAGGCATGGCTGACATTGCTGCTACATTTACTAAAAGTGCTCGCAAAGTTGTGAATAACGCGAAGACAAACTCTATGCTAAGATCTGCAACATTCAGAGAATCTACGTACGTGATAAGATTTTAGTCAAAGCATTACATGAAAGATACGCAGAGAGTTCAAAGTGATTTTGATGTTAGCTTGGTTTACTGTAGTCTTAACAGTTTATTACATGTGATGAAAATATGTTGAGGATTTTCGCTGTAGGTCCTTAGTATTTTTTCCTTAGTTTGGAGCTTGCATGATTATACACATGTACAGTAGATAATATCCATAACTCACTGGTTGTGAACTAAAATTTATTAATCATTTTATTAGGTGGGATACCTACGACAATATTGAGGTTTGGAATATATACTCTATACTGCTTCGGATATTCTTTCTAGAAATCATTTAAATATGAAATGTAGATCTCATTATCAGAAGTGCTAGATCCAGATTTAATAGTATAAATGTCTATTCGTCAACACGCTCAGGATCGTTACACAAGATTAGTGTTAGCATTCAAAACGGATCAGTCAACGATGTCGGTTAGATTATCTTCACAGGTGCTGCTAATTTGTAGTATTTACGGTTAATTCCTGTAATTTGCTCTATAAGGATAAGCACCTTTTGTATCTTAGGAGCGTAGCTTAAAGCTAACGGAATCGAATGCCAATAAGGAAATTATTGACCTTAGAAATGTTATAAAGGTGCTTAGCAATAAGAAAAATCTATGGCCGACTGAGCACGCTTGCGTAACTAAAATGTTTCAGTACAACAATTGAGCCGTACTCAAATAAATCTAATATATATATTTTAATGGCTGAATCATCGTCACTTAATAAATGTAGCGGCTATGTATTTAGTTATAGATTTACAACCGTACGTAACCCGATTTAATAGTTTCATAACGAAGATTCTCAATTTATTAAACTATTTGTGTTTCGGACAGATTTTGAATCGATTGATTACAGATCTTAGAATAAAGGTAATAAGCTTACTTTCTGGTTCGAGCATAATTCAGAATGACGTTTCTCTCATAAATTCATCTTTATATACTAGGAGGTTATTCGAGCGGCGGAAGACTATACTGACGTTCTGGAAAAATGCCTTTCCAGGATAATCAGCAAAGCTGAAAGTCTTGGTAGCGTTCAACAAGTAAGTGATTGTTGATTTCCTAAAGATTCTGATCTCAAGACCTTGTCCTCATAAATTTGTAAATTTTAACCATTTTTATCTTTTATACTAATTATACTTTCATTTAGGAAGAAAATCTAAGCATGTCCATTAAAATACTTATATCATACTCAGAGCATTTGAAGCGACAAATTGCCGGACAAAAAGAAGAACTTGAAGAAGCAAGGTTAGACTTTACAAAATTCGAAGTTTCTTAGAAGAACAGAATTGTTCCTTTTGTAATACAGATTGTAATTTATCTCTATAAGAAAACGGCGTGATGAGCAAGCCCTGCAGAATACCGCTCTTCGTACTATAGGAGCAATGCCGTCAATACAAAGTTAGACTGTATTTATAATCAATCTTGATTCTCCACTATAATTCTGAATATTTCCCGTTGCCTGCAATAATTCAGTAGTATTTGTAGCGGATATATAACTAAACTGATATGATCTTAGTCGGTATTATGCTAATTAGGCTATTAAAAATTTAATACAAAAACAGCATCACATGCTAGACTAAGGCATCGAAAAGGTGTCACTTCAACAGATCCGATTCATTCTCAATCCCCAAGGGTAAGTTTTATGTTGAGATCTCACTGAAGTTACAAAACATTGCATGCTTATTTAGCTAAAATTCGGTAAAAATTGTCGCATGACAGTCTTAAGATTTCTTAGAAGCGAGAAAACTGCGTATCCGAATTTTTAATAATTCTTCTTTAAAACTTATCGAAGTTGATGACATGTCTGTTCGTTATCGTACAATAGCTTGATCGTCGACAATCACTTGGACAGTCCTTTGCGCAAATGGCTTTTAGAGCAGCGCAAGCAATCGGTTTACAAGAAGAAGAAGAAAAGGAAGGTGCTGAAAAACAAGAAGTTGTAAAAGGACCTATGAGAAGGTATTGCACCTAGACATAATTCAGGCATTATGCTGCAGTAGAATATGCTGCTAATAACATCAATCTTTATCTGATAACGACTCTGATGATTAAAAGCAATGAATAAATCTGCTACTCTAAACGTGACAGGTCGTCATATTAACAGTGTTATAATACAGTTTGTCGTAGTGATATTAAAATAGGATCACTCAAAATTACAATTTAGGAGACGAGGGCCAGTGATTGGTGCTATTGTCGAGGAAAATCCAGATAGTAATTTGGAAATCGTAAATCAAGACAATCACGAAGACGCTACCACCAATAATACAGACATTTACCAGCAAGGGTATAATATTATGAAGGCACTGCAAACTAGTGTCTGGCATAAAATCATTTATTACTTGTGTGTTATTACAGATTTGAAAAAGGATTACAGACACGGATTAGTAATGAAATGGAAGAGATGCATGAACAGCAGGATGCTATTGAAGCAAATGTTCGTATGCTAACAGAAAGGTAAATCAATCAATCTGTTCAACAAGTATCTCTGAGGAATTTCTACGCGTATTCTTGAAAGGAATTAGAATATTTCGCAAAATTAAATAGTACGCGTTTATGGCGAATTAGTTTTGATCAACTGTACAGGTTAACATTAAATGTAACTTTTTTTCAACTAGAGCAAATGTTTTAGAAGAGAAATTTACAACAAATGATATAGAAAAGTAAGACCACTTATGAACTCATGATGTTTTGTAACTTATGTAAAATTTTTGTATATAAGTTTTGTTCTATTTAATTAATGAAGCTGAGATTGTTTAAAATTTACAGATTATTTAAAAATAGAAATGATAATGCTACTTCGAAAGACATGATACACGAAGCAGGTAGCTGGCGTGAGGAATTTCTCATATCCTGCAATAATATATTGTTGAATTATCGATGTTGGATGCAGAGCAAATACGGGAAGAAATTGTTTTGGTTCCTCTTTTTTATCGCCATTTTTATGCTGATCTGCATCTGGTATTTACCTTTAAGTAACCTGGCGAAACATGTAGCTAGCATCAGCCATAGCTATTTATCGTCAACAAGAAGTCGAGAGCCACCAACTCCTACATAAACTAAACGATTCTTGGGTTCCTTAGTAAAATTTAATACTTACTTTTCTGACAAAGAATATATATAAACAAGCATAACAATTTGAAATAATACAAATAATAATTTTATCTATTACAGTGGAGTATCTAAGTACCGACTTTACAATATGATCGCTATAATTGAAAATCGTTCTAATTTGTTATTTTTCTTTGTAATGTTACGCAATTACCATTACTTAATACCCTGCAATATTACAACAAACCTCGAAGTTATTATACATTGATATGGATATACTAATGCTGGACTGAGTTTGCATCTCCGATGGTGTATCTTGTAAGTTTTAGCGTGGTACTTAACCGAAATTTGGGCTGTAGAAAAGGCGACGCATTGCTACATTCAGTCGATCAGTAAAGACTGATTGATAGCAGCTCCTATTATATATTAATATAGCTACTGTTATTATATAGCATACAGAAACGTGACATACTTTTCTGGTAATGTACCCCTTGCATACAACCCTTTAATAAAGATTGTATACATGATGTATATATACGACCTACTATTTACGACGAATTGTTTGAAACCTTGCAAAGTAGTAATTCATTCTTATTATGCTGCTATATTTCGTAATCACGAATATTTCCGTGTAATGACCGAAACTCCTGTACAATCAATCAAGTCGCGTTACAGTAAGAGTGTTTTGGAAAATTAATTAGTCCATCAAACATGGCAAATTTCCTATGTAATACGACAGACATCTACATGAGAAACTCGATATGTTTAATAAATTTTCCCGAAATTCGTTTTTATGTAAGTTGAAATAACTACAGCGTGTCTAGCTTCACGATTTCATAATCACGAATGTTTCTGTTCACGGCCGTAACCCCTATATTGTCATGGACCACTAATTACCTTACGGGTAAAGTATCTAGTGATCCTTGATATGGTACGTGTACTCGAGCATTTGTAAAATGACCCTCTTTACTCTTTATTAACTTTACAGTACAATCTAATTCCAGGAGCACAGTACAGTATTTAGTTATTTCGTATTATCATTTAAAAAACAGTTTTTGTACTGTGTTATGCTCGTAGAGTTATTAAACATGAAATTTCGGGTACGGTACATTAAGTTAATCAAAATGTTATGAGATATAAATTCGTAAATCAATCAAAAATCGTCGACTGTAAAGAAGTTCCTATACAAGTGCAGTGCAATGAAATATAGTGTACCAGTGCAGACTAATGTTACTTTATCTGGCTACTATTGTCGTGCTGCGGTCCTGTACGTGTATGGTATGATTGGGTAAATGCTAGCACACCAAGGCAAGAAGAGAACAGTACGACAGCTGGACGACGGATGGATATGGGCGGGGTGATGGGGAGAAGTTAGCGCTAGTCCTAGGCAAGAAAGCTGAAACAGCAGCCTTTTTTTCACCATATGATGAACACTAGGGTCTCTACTAATGAACACTTTAGCGATACGATGGAAATCGGATTTAAACAAGTCAGTACTAATAAGCAATTTTAATAAGCGTGGATGGCTTCAGGGAAGTTCTGAAGATGACTGGAACTTTTACTGGTAATCAAGCTGTCGGTATTTGACAAAGGCTACTCTTGATTTATTGCTTACTTTTATACCTGCAGTAGTTCGTCGAGATTTCATTCGTATATTATACTGTATTCTTTAATACTGTACAGTATATGGCTGATGAATGCCTAGTAAATCTTTTAATAAAATTCATAGTAGTGATGCGGTCTTTGCTATATAGTCTAACGTTACAGTAATTGAAATAGCCTCTTTATGCTAAGTTTTATGCCATTTTAATACACTATACTACTGTACTATACTGTAACACCTTACTGTTATTATTTGTTATTCAACATTCGATTCAGTTCGCTTCTAATTATTGCTAAAAAATATATAGTTGAGGACCTTATAAGCTGAATTCGCTCACTGATTCATGTCTCTATTATGGACTGTATAATGTATGTGTTAATATGATGTGTATGGGTGATGTACGTACGACTTCGGTTAATATCCCTGCACAGGAATTCCTTAAGAACTTCAAAATTGTAATATCATAATATTTCTATGATTAAGGAAATGAGTTTCAAAAATGTAAAAGTATACAAAATAAATACACCAAAAAATATAATGAGAGATTATAGAAGTCTTTCGCACTACGGTATAAAGTTGTACTCGTATACACAATACCGTACAGTATGTCATCAAATTACACTAAAAATAAAGAAGTAATGAATTCATATACATATGCTCGTACAGTATACACCAAAACCCGACTTACTTGATTGTCGAAAAAAATCAGAAAGACCATCACTAGTATACACCATAGAGGTGCAAAAAAATTTTCTACCTTGCGATATACGTACAGTACACGACGCCAGCGCGATTTTATAACACTAACTTTCAACACATTTTAAACAGGTGCAATGTCCAGTCTGCAAGAAATATTTTTAATCTCGAGAACGGATGCCGATTAGCGGACAATCAGTAAGTATTGGTAATTCTGCAGTAAGTCTTTTAGTATAGCGTAAATCGTCCAATTTAGAACTTGTAATACAGTTATTGGTTCTGTTAATTGGCTACTGGTGAATAATAAATGTTATAGTTTTGATAATACGAGAACGGTAAAACAAATTATTCAGGAACTTTTATTGTATGATACGGTGATATTTAATAATTATAATATATACCTATCGTTTCCAGGATAGTTAATCATTTTCCTAACCATTATGAATTGACCAAGAAAGATTTAATGGTAAAAAATATAAAGCGATACCGGAAAGATCTTGAAAAAGAGTTTAACTCCATAGCTAAAAGAAATTTGCAAGGGAAATACATGTTTCTGGGTGAGATAATACTCGTATTCTCTCAGTGTATAATTATAATTATGCATGGTGCTAGAATAAATTACAAAACAAGTCGCGTGTTTGTTGATTGCCATTTATAGAGCTGTAGTATAAGTAGATATCTACTTCTAGAAGTAACGTACGATCGTCATACAGCATACTTTACTGTATTCTTTGGTATCCCAGTGCTCCTTCTAAACGTATTTATTGATCTCTGTTTAGGTAGAAGTAATGCATAATTACTAATGTGTGTATGAGTTAAATAGCGCGTTTTATTCCTCAGTTTTCCTTGTCTACATTACTAGAGTTCTTGCGCAACTTTTGCACGTTAGTGCAGTATCAAATTAAGTTCTGAGATTCAGATCTAGCGCAGATTCCTTTTCACAAACAGTTTGTAAATAGTGTATTGGCAGACAACTCAAAAATTTGTTATGTAATTTTATTTACTAATCCGAAAAGTCCGCCGAATCTCTTAAAGCTTTAATGATCGTTATCTACAATGCAGTTTTTATGCTTTCGAAAGCTGATATGGAGCGTTATTTTGTACGGAAGTTGTGCTGCGCAGCAAAATTTAGTTCGACGCAGCTACTCGTATCATGCAGCCCCCACACTCCCTTTTTCTTCGGACTTATACTCCAAATTTTAATAAGCCAGTATATCTTAATTTCCGTGCACTGCGAGTCTGTGTGCACCAGCCTTTAAAATTTAATTGTAAAGTTTAAAGTTTAAGCAATTATTTTCGATACAGTATTTACACTAAACCAGATATAACCTTACAATAAGCAGATACAAAGTAGGTACTGTAGATTAGTACTATGAAGAAGAAGGATTTGTTGCACCATGTTAGATACTCTGCCAGCCTAACTAAAGCCAAAGCCATAACTGACTATATGCCTTAATCTGATGGAAATAGTTCTTGCAGCTGTAATTCGTATAGAATAAAATTTAACGTTCCACTGCGGTATTGCTGCTAGTGTACTGTCACGATTGCACTTCATGCTGAGAAGCGTATGTGTTCGTATACGGTATATCACAATAGGAACTAATAAACGAATAATTAAGATGCTTCCACATCTGACGCTACTAGGTTCTAAAATCTCTGGACTTAGTACAACTAAAGGAGTACAGCAGTATAAGTTAATGAATTGAACTGCTAATTATAGCGGAGGTAATTGTGCTGTTATATCCTATCACTTCCAAAACAAACTTTAGATTTTATTCCGACAACATTTATTCTACCTGCTGATTATAATATCTTTAAAGAAGAATTTCGTAAGAATCCTTCCAGTACTTGGATAATGAAGCCCACTGGAAAAGGTAATCAATAATAAATATCACTAGTTATGCGTAATATTTTGCCTCTAGCACGAGAATAGTTCGATAGTACGAATTTGAGTTGGACATGCTATACTGCATGATATCAGGTTTCTAACTAACAAAATAGTAACGTATAAGCTAATACAATCTAATCTTGTGATTGTATCAATATAGCTAGGGGTATTGGAATTTTTCTCATTAATCATCTATCCCAGATTAAGAATTGGTCAAGCGATAATCGTGGATCTCCGTAAGTAAATACAGATTGGTATAAACGCTCGATTTGATAATGCGTTCACTATTATGCAGAATAATAAATTGCTGCTACTAACTATAAATATACTGTTTAGCGTGACCAATAACAGATTTAATTATAGTACTGTATAAAACATTTATTATGTAGTATATTTAAAGAAAGCATTATCACTATTGAGTATCCAATCACTGTATAACGGCTAAAAATCAAGTCACGAATGTCGTAGTACGCATATACATGATTAACAGTAAATTAATTCCTTGACATCTTTCTTAACTAAGAAATATACAGCAATGTCTATACATATCGTACTCTACCGTACTTCTACAGCACAATATATTTTCAATTTGTGATTTTAGCTGTTTATTGTTTGGGTAATAGTTATTACACCGATAGTTGTATTAAATGAGATTGCATTCATAATATCGATATTTCATGGCTAGTTGCTGCGACTAAAGGCACGTTTATTTACTATCTCATTCATTGATTGAAAATAACCTAAAGTCATTTTGTTGTGCACAGTATTTGGTTAATAATTCTTAGTGATTACTTGCATAGTTAATATCAATTTGTGGCATACTGAATGACAGGAAAAAAGAGACTTACGTAATTTCGAAATATATTGAGAATCCATTACTAATTGGAGGAAAGAAATTTGATCTAAGGGTTTATGTCTTGGTGACATCATACCGTCCACTTAAATGCTACATGTAAGTGACAGGGTTTATAAGAATATGTTAGTATGGTGTCTAGTAGTAACGTATGTAGTTTAACCATATAAAGTGTTAAGTGTTTATCTAACACGAGTACAAGGCTCATCATGGACTACTGGAACACGGTGGTCCATGGTCTTGTATGCAGTAGCAGAGCAAGAGTTGTAACTATGAGTAGATTGTAGGGCCGTATTGGTAATATTTATACTACTTCGTACACACTACCTTCGAGCGTTAGTGAATTGTATTAACTTAACTCAACCGTGGATCACTGTAAATGTACTTAGTAGTTCGTGTTAGTCCACAGGCATAATAATCAATATACTAGAAATGGATTTTAACTTTTCTCTGCTAAGAATGATTTTCCGACGGTATTATTTCGTACTGTATGAAGGAATTATAACTTACTTAGTTACCGTGAGCTTATACATTAAATGTTCTTAGAGACTCTAACGTACTGCATTTTCTGAAAAATTTTTTCTTTTATACACATAGCTATCAGCTGGGCTTTTGCAGATTCTGTTCCGTTAAGTACATTGCGAACGAACTTGATAATATTTACGTTCATCTAACGAACGTTTCAATTCAGAAGCGAGGGGTAATGCTTGGTCATTACGATTGACAGTGTGTATTGTAAATAATCGTTTTACTGAGCTCCTTAATTAAGTAAATCCCTCAATTAGTAATTTTAACTAGCTTAACGTCCTGTCGTTTCACTAACAGAGATACTTTACCACGGTCCGTTAATTAATCGTGATCCAAATTTGCGCGGTCATTATTTATCACTACGGAGCTGTTTAATACTGCTGAAATACAATACGCCTGACGCTTGTACTCATTAATTGAAATTACTCTAGAATACATCAATTCAAATACGTGATTAGACTGTAGTGATATACTACAGAGGCCGTATACAGTATTATACATTTCCCAAGGTGTTCATCAGTGCATTTTATTAATGTACTATGGATGAAGGAAAAAATCTCTACGTTACTGTATGTACTGATATTTAAGATAATCTGTCTTGAGCAATCGTTGACCTACTATAGCACATTAACCTCCAAATATGAGATAGTTACAACTGTGAAAGTGTTACCCGTAGTGTACACGTTGCATCCCACTAGAATTTTAATGAGTGTGATATATACCAATCACGAAATTCCAAATTTTAGAAAAATAAGGGCTTTATTGAATCTTATACAAAGATCAACTACACAGCTCTATTTTAGCCGAATACTACTACTAAAGACTTCTAGAACGAACTAACAGAATAATCTAAAGTTGCATGCTTTTATACTTTCCGTAGCATTCGCAGCTACAATCCGCATGGCAACCTTTTATCTTATTTTACACATAGTTAAATTATTCTTAGTAAGACTATTCTACTGCGGACCATCATTAATCCAATATGGATACGACTACAGTACTTACGTAGACATTATTCACACCAGCCAAAGTACAATGAATTAACCATATCCTAATATATGATTTACAGTTCTATTTTTACCTATAGCCTTATTAGTAACTCAACAGCTTACTGTATATAGTCATCTGTACTCTAGCATAGAGTCTCTACCACTACAGTCTATGGTTATAGCTACTAAATATCTCTTAGGATAAATATCTACCCATACATTATACTACACATGGCTAACAGTCTACAATCACAATACTAAGTTACATTACAATGAGACATCGTTATTCTGGTATACAGTACAGTACTGTACAGTACTTGTGAATACTGAAGCACATAATCGAAAAGGAAAATGCATTGTAATATCGAACGAATGTAGTCGGTAGCTTGACTGTCGACTGCTTTGTTGTCCGTTTACTCGAGATTTCCTCATTGCTATGACAAATTATCGATCATGTCTAAAGTTTTCAAAATGTAGAAATTAATAGTTTTAGTGCCAAGTATAATTTAGAACTACGTGTATGGTAGTCTTCAGCCCTTCTTATTTTTTCTGTGTTTTCCTACACTTGTAAAATAAAAAATCGATGGCCTAAACGATAGGTTATTGTGATTAACAATTTTCCTTTTTCGCACTGGCATTTTTTAAATGTACATATATTAAATTAAGAAAATGATTTCTTTTTGTATTACAATCCTAATGTAATTATTTGTTTAATTGTTTATGATATTAACAATTTTAGGACGATTATAATGATATCCATGGGGGGAAGTGGACTGTTCAGGATTTAAGATTGCATTTAGAAAGTATAAAAGGAGAATTGATTGCCAATAGACTGTTCGAAGAAATAAATTGGCTAATTGTTCACTCATTAAAGTCGGTTCAGGTAGCATGTATCTTCGTGATTGTCCTAAGCATTCACAGATATTTCTATAATTTAATGTAAGGTTCATTTATTCAGTATCGCGATGTACGACGATATTTGGAAAACTTGTTTAACTAAATTCGAGTCTGAGTAAATTGAATAACTAGCTTCTGTATCAGGATCAATGTAGTGAAATGCTACACCATAAACTCGGTATCGTTCATTATTTTCGAATTTATATAATTTTAATAGGCTGTGATGGTGAATGATAAGCACTGTTTCGAATGTTATGGGTACAATATATTTTCATCATAATCTAAATTGTTTGATCCGCAGTAACGATTTGAAAAATTTTATATCTACCCTTTAAGATATGACATAATCATCGATGATGCCATGAAACCGTGGTTGATAGAGGTATTACTGTATTAATTACAAATATTAAAGTATCGTGATCGTTTTATGCCATCACAATTTAATGCTCTATTTTAAGGTTAATGCTTCCCCATCCTTGACGTCCACTACCGTAAATGATCGAATCATGAAGTACAACTTAGTCAACGATACGTTAAACATTGCTACGTCAAAGAACGAACTTTCAGGGTACTAAAATTTATTGTAGCGTCTTTTATAAGTTGGCTTTTCTCAGTGCAGAATCGCTATCAAGGTCATAACCCTTAGATATTTTACCAGACTTCAACGCAATTAACCATTTTATATAATTTATCAGAACTAGATGCGGTAAAGAATTTGAGGACGAAATTCTTGGATTCTATGATAATTTGTAGGAAACTATACTTTGCATTTAATTTCTTAGTTCTTGATCTGTGTTTACGTAGTGCTGATCCTTTTAGGCATATATTTTATATACTCATAACTTTCGTATTTATAAAAATGAACAAATAAATTTATTGCTACATCAGGTATAACGAGGAAGTATCTCTACACATGGAGTTAGCTGAAAAGGAGTTAAAGACCGGTAAAACTAGTATTGGTAAAACCAGTAATATATCATGGTTCAAGAACCAGAAGGACGTTAAAGCGAAGACGATTTTATGGAAGTAATAGATATATTTTTGTAAGATTGAATGAATCACTTTAAATGTAGGAGTAAATTTGCAATATGACGCATGTAACATAGTCTCTGTCTCTAGTGTTAGAAATTTTGTAAAATTGTTAAGAATATTGATATAAACTAACCATATCGAGTAGCTTGATGGGAGAAAGCGTTAAATTGTAAACAATCTATGATAACTATGGTAATAATAATCTATGGTAACTTATGCTTTTTAATTCTTTCGTAACATCAACATCTAGCTAGATTTAGCTATACTACTGTAGGGCGCATAATACTATAGTTAAATTATTACTATACCCCACTCCGTCTTTGAGTCAAATTTGAAATTTCATTTGTGTATTGTGCTAAGAACCGTTATCAATCTTCGTTAAAAATGCTTGACAAAGATTGCTTTCAGAAGTATCTAACAATATTTTTCTATGCTTATAGCATAAAGCAATTTAGTACAGTATGTTACTTAAACTAAGGATTCTTACACTACTAACAAATTTAAGAAGTTTTCGATATGAATAGCTACAAATAATTAAAATCTGCTTATTAGTACAATAGCGTATCTGAAAAGCATTTAATTTATTAAGATTAGTAGATACAATTTTATGGCGGATAATGTTGGCCCATCCTTCGAATTATAAGACAGCAGTGTACAAATTAAAGATTGGTATTTATTCACTAAATTTTTTAATCATGTACACATAAAAGCTAACTACACCTTAATTAGGCGCAAGTACAAATTGTGAGCTGAACGTAAACCATAGAAAAGTAAGACAAATAACAACTAAAGTGCTGAGATTCCTGATGCAGTATGAGGTGATTTCTACTACCATAAAGTATAGCTAATACTAGCGAGTACTACGTTTACGAATTAGCATCAAGGCATTTAGGCAACAACTTCAGGGGACTTTTCTTCAATATTTGAAACTGTTTTTCTAACTTTATCGGACCAACTGCTTATCTGTTCTTTCAATTCGGTTAGCTGTCAAAATTATTTACAGGATTAAATCAAATAGCAGAATAAAAATTTATCATAAGAACGTTTCTATAGTCGTTCATTCACGAAAGCAATAAGTGTAAAAGCGTCACCTGTGATAGATCGAGTACTCTAGGCCGGACCCATATCATTTCAGCTCTTTCAAATACTTGATTGATTTTGCCTACGGTAGAGATTTATAAGTTGAGTACAATTATCTAGGTAAACTGAAATGGTCAATGCATTTAAACCTTCAAGTAAACCACGAGCAAAAGCTTTCATGACAAGCATCTCAACCTGAGGAATGCCGAATAAGAGCTTATTACTGTTATGCAAATAGAATTTCAATTTATCACTGGAGTTAGATAGTAAAGAAAGGCTGTCTGATTTTTTCCCTTATAAGATACTCATACCGAGCCTAATGGTGTTTTCGTAAAGTGAGAAATTTCTTTAAAACTTAGAACTCGATTATTGGCCGGTTTATGAAATGTTAGCTTTTAAAAAATAATCGATGTAATTAAATGTATCATGGCTTAAGAGACGGTGTTAGTACAAACGTAATGTAAGTACGAAACACAGTAACGTAAGGTTTAATGCCATACATACCTCAACTAGGCCAAATAGGGCCAGCTTTTGTCGTAAGCTCCCTTCATTTTGAGCTAATTCGGTCTATCAAAGCACGTTTGTAACTACGTCAGGAGGCAATGAAACGTTCAAACTTTTCTCTACGCATGGGTATATTTTACCTGTTCCTTCCAGTACGGTTTCAAATTCTCAAAAGATTCATGATCTCCTAAAAGTAATATAAAGGAAGATTTAGTGAAAGAAAATTTTAAATTCAATCATTGCCGGTAGTATCAGAAGGGTGCAAAACTGTAACTTTTACCTTTATTAAAGGCTAACAGCATTCTTATGATCCATTCATCATTAGTTTTACGTAAAGAATTTAATATTGGATGAACGAGCTACAAATAGCCGAGCAAAAGAAACATTTATTGCAACTTTGATAGGTATTGCTAAATATATAAAATCCTGCATTCAGCATACATTACCAGTTCCCCAAGATTAAATAAATTATCCGCCAACAGTGCGGCAAAGGAAAGGTCACGTGCTCGAGCTTTTTGTTCATCCACTATCATTCGAATATTGTAGCATATACAATCCACATATTAATTAATTATAAAGCATATTAAAATTTTTTATACAGGAAAATCTTATATATCTATAATTTACATGTAGCCTTACATGTCATATCTTTTAAGTCAATGCAACCTAAAAATCTCAATGCATCAGCAAAGTACCCTGAAAAATCTCCTTGCATCTATTAAAATTCATTAGTCATCGATTAACTTTAACTAGTAATAATATCGAGTTCATGAATCTAATAGAAATCAAGTTTAACAAATTGAAGCATTACCTTACAACATTTGCTACACAGATCATAGTACTGGGCATGTACTGATGTAATCCCTTGCATTTCGTCCAATAGGGGTGCAGTTTCATCAACAACCCTCTAAAATTGATCAGTGATCGTTACGAATCTTTTTAAAACAATAACTAATTAATCATTTGCCTACCTTGACAGAATTCAGGTCATTCCTTGCCAAATATATTCTTCCTATGGCGGTCTTGCATAATACAATTGATTCGACGTCTTTATTGACCTGAAATGTTCGAATTCTTTTATGTAAAGGTCTTTTATTAATTGCTGAACATAAAGAAGTTCACTTATGTTATGGAGCGTCATGAATTCGCTTCATATAAATCAAACCCTTAATACCTTTTCGAGGACCCCTTCTAACAGATGTATCGAATACTCCAAGTCTATTGTAAGATACGCCATCAATGCATTGATACAGACTTAACATCTGAAAACTATTAATACTTGCCTGTTATTTGTTTAACTACGCACAGTGATATTTCGACAAGAGATAAAGGACTAATCCTGTTTTACAAATAGAAGCTATTAGAATGAATAATTTTGTAGCTAAGACTTTCGTACCAGAGCTATAAAAATACAATCAAGATTTTATCTCCGTTATGACTTCGTCGATGTTAAGCAAAACCTTAGCAAATATTAAGCCCATCTGCGGTTACTACTATAAGTTCAATATATATGTTACTATACAGTATTACGATTGTGTCCTTCTCTAAGCATCCAAGTACACGTTTAAAATTATTTAGCTCATAGAGTATCATTTACTGCTTTATTTCTTTAAATCATAAGAAGTAAATTTTGAAAAACCCAGACAAAAATGACAGAGAAACAGATCTTCTAAATCAGTAAAATATGATCCTATGCTATTGATACTATAATGTATATTTTGTGTAGTAATGATCACGATTATTGGATATCCAAACCTTAATTCGATATCTGAAATAAATTGTTGGTATATCTATAAAGGTAAAACAGCATTCAGCATTAATCATTAGTACCATACACCGTGATGTGACGTCCGAAGTCATGTGATTTATAACTTTAGGTTTTTCTCTAACCTTATAATTAGTGGAAGTAAAATGTTAATGTGACGATTATTCTATAATTATACTACACTGTACACTACTTTATGGGTACAACTACCTTATACATTTGGTTGAAATAACTTCCTATACACTACGCTTTTTTCATATTAATTTCCAAATTAAATGAACCAATGACTTTGGATCACATCATCGTCCTACAGTAAGTAACTATTTACTGTACATAATCGCTTAATTATCTCTAACAAGGATTAATGTATCATTTACCTCTAGTAGTTCATCTCCCGAATTAAAATAACTCGAATTCATAAACGAATTTAATTCCAACGTTAACTGATGCCACAATCTGTACTGAAATAAATGCACATAAATGAGTTAATTAAAAACAGACAGATCAAGCTAAAGATACAATAATGCGGAGCTTAGATAGGACACATCAATGCATTGCAAAATCAATATTTTCCGTGTTCATTCATCAGGGAAAACGATTACTACTTCTACGTTTCGAAACTTTTGTCAAATACTCAATGCTGTAGCCGAGTACAATATAATTATGGTTTCCGGCCAATAAAAGCTATGATATTATGCACAAGGATAACTGGATTCGCAGCAAAATTATTTTCGGCTAGGGATGTATAATAACTAAACGGCATGCGCACCCAAAATATACAGTAGTGATAAGAAATGATTGTCAAAAGCGAAATTCTTCACTAAAAGTACGATGTCTAACGTGCTTTAAGCTCGAGACTTAATCTAATAAAATATTTCAAGTTTGTAATGTCTAGCAGCTGAATAGTAACTGAAAGAAATGACGGAAGAAACGCACTTTTCTGGTTACGAACCATTTACCTAATGTATAATTCGTATTCTTATTATTAATAGCTACTTAAAGTGCAACTGTACAGTAAATTGGAAGTAAAGTCAGACTTGCCTCTTAATGTAAAGATCTTGCAGTCTTTGCCAGATATCAGCAATATCAGTGTCATGACAGTTCAGTCTCTTTCTTTCTAAGAAGTTGACTGTATTTGTATTAACAACACTTGCCATTCCTAAACGGATAATTGATAGACTAAAAATGTGCTTAAAATTTCCTGTTTGCTAACTTTAAAAGACAAAATTATGTCTATACATTATCATATTGTGCTTAGTTGTTACGACTGTACAGTACTATGTACCTTACATACTGTACAGTGTACAGTGGTACCATTTTGCAAGTTAGTGCCATAATAACATTAACATTTATAGTTTAGAGAAGTACTGTACAGTACACAGCACTGGCACTGACTACTGAGTACTGTACACTGTATTACTTTTGTTTAACTACTGTACTGTGCACTGTACAGTACTGTATAGTAATGCATGTTACAGAAGCTGGCGTGATGTCAGTACAGTAACAAGCAGTGTTGCAAACAATATCCCATAATCAGAATCAGTATCAGAAAAATATCTCAAAAAAACGCTTATCCCACGCACCTACAGTACTGTACAGTATACTGTACAAGATCGGAGCCCGTTGCATAGCAGCCATAGCTACGATGACTTCTGGGCCATCGTACATAGCGTAGGTTAGGAAACAGTAGCTGAGCTCGTAATCTTCTGTAGTGATATAGAGAAGTAAAGTAAACAGAACAGCAGTTGATCGGCCTGAGCCCATGGTATAGTAGCTGATCTCGTTGGCTAGCCTAGTGTATCAGTAATTAACCTATCAATAAAACCCCTTCCTTCATCCTCAACCTGTCTTTATAATCCTTGTGAGTCAAGATATAATGCTACACCAGGGACTTACCATTTTTTATTTTTACTACATGGGAGCAAAACACCGTATTGTCGACTTACAGTACAGTATCGTGCGGTAGTAAATTCATACTTCACGTCAGGCCCACTTACTGTACTCAGCTGATGAATTTAGTAAGTCTATGCTATTTACTGTAATTATTATTAAATATAGTATACTGTACTGTATTGTAATCAGTTAGAACTTAGAAGATTACTAAAAGGGAGAAAAGTACGCACTACGTGTTTCTTACTGCACATCACTTTACTACTGTACTCATTTCGTCTTTGCGGAGAACGTTATCGTTAAATAAGCAACTTGAAATTTGGAGCGATGATAGAAACTGTAATATGGTACAATAGGGAAGTGTCCAGCTAACATTATGAAACATTTTTTACATTCTGGATCCCTCTAATCTACAGTACTTTGTCTATTGAGTTAAGACTACACGAAAGCAAGATTGAAATTTAATTTGATTTAATTAATTTGTTTATGAAAGTTATAAATTACAGGCGATCCGTTATGCGCAATACGACTCGTATAGTACGCGAAGTATAACAAGCGAGGGGTCTACTAGTTTTTAATAATTCTATATGTAACAGAATAAAAAATACTGTACAGTAAAACCAGTGTCATGAACTATAGAAGTACTGTACTATAGTGATTTCTATGCAGGACAGTACTGTTCTGAACAGCGCTTCTATTGGACTACGAGAAAACTTACTGTACTGTACTAGTGTAATGTACAGTACAGTGTACTGTACTTTTCTTTAAGATAAGATTAATCCATTTTCATTTTGCAGGTCTAGGTCTGAGTTTGAGTTTAGTTACCATGGCAGCGGTACGTTCAATGACGCATTCATTTTAAGCGACTTAATTGGAAGAGTACAGACGCGACAATATCGTTCCAACCTAAGTTGCAGTTTTTGGCGTACTTTACATGTTCATGCCCATTTATTCATACGTTTACTTTTTACAGAGGTTACGATACGCAGTATACGTAACACCATTTCAAGATAAAAAATCAGAAGTTACATGACTTTTCTTTGTTCAATTGTAGCCGGCTGTGCATTATACTGTATGTAGCAGTAATGGCAATAGCTTTCCTAATGTGATAAACATACGTCGTGTTCAACTTTAATAACGTTAATAACGTCATTGTTCTAATACGTATCACCTCAAGAGCACCTAAATGTTATCACCGCTGGCCAAAGGACTAGGCACTTGGGATGGTCAAGTCGTTATTGATGCAAAAGAGTTAAAAAAAGCAGTAAGTAGCTTTAGTTTTTTCATCATCAATGTAATACCTCATTTAATTTGTGAGTACATACAGTCAGTACAGGGTACAATCCAGTAAACTATTAAAATTATACTTATTTTCATGATTCACACACCTTACAGGCACACGATGTTTCATTGCCAATTCTGCCTTCATTATTGGCTTCATCAGAACCTACGAGATCGGAACGGGAAATAGCTTCCTATGGAATCTCAAAGCAGTGTTTAAAAAATGCAGTTGATGATCACATATCATTACCACGAACGTTTGCTACGCGAAAAGGAGCATTGCTGCTTTTTACTGGTCCAGAAGACTTATTAATCGATTACAAAAGACCTGAATTTCCGGTTCCGTACACAAAAAATCACAAGGCCCTGCCACGGGTCAATGCGAAAGACATCCGAAAAGTATTACAAACTACCAATAAACTGCGAAGCACAGTGCTAGATTTTGGTAACGATATCATTGAGAAGGCAAGCAAAAATACTAATTAATAAATATAATTGTACATAAAGCTGGAGTTGTGAAAGTGATATAAGAGCATAACTGCATTTACCAGTGGCTACAAAATCGCTATCAATTTTTAAGGAAATTTTGAAAGATACATGTTTTTACTACCTATAAAGTTATGTATACGAATAACTACCTAATGTAATCTATGTACCATAGATCAGAAGCCCTGAACATCTAATGCTTTATAAAGCTAGTTCCAATATAACATCATAGTTCGATTAAGTGGATGATACGAAGCCATAATAGATTTCAACGCTGTGTCACATAAATTATCTAAAGGAACGTCCTGCATTAGATTAAATTTGTATCGTGAACAGAATCAAGACATTTAGGCATAAATTTAGTCGAACGCCCAGTTTATTGTAAAATTTTATCTTTACAATATTAGCAGAAATTGAAACTTACTAGAGGAGCATCATTCAATTAATTAAGATGTAATATCTGACTCTTCAGTACTGCAATTATTTGACTTCTTAGAACTGTAGATGCTGTCATTATATCAGTATGGTTTTTACAAGAGATATTAAAATTTGTAACGTAGACTTTCGAGCGATCGTCACAATTGACCAGTAAGACCTCTCCCACCCTTAATAAAAGAAGAAATTTCTTAAAGTTATTGCCCACATCGGATTGGGATGCAATTGACAAATTTAACTTTCCCGGAATAGATAGTAACTACTACTTAAAGGGCATTCAAAGTCGATTAAGGTAAGAATGCTAACATCCGTATTTTCGTCATTCCATAAAGATAAAACAAACATCAGATATATTTAATACTAAAAATTATAGAGAATTGACTATTTGGCTTTCAAATAATGTTGTTCTGTAATTTATATTAATAAAGTCATCAGAGTAAGATACCTTTAAATGAAAGTGAAAAATCCGCTGATGAAATCATTAACGAGTATCTTAGCGAAGAGGTATTGGCGTACAACCAATCAAGTTTTGGAAAATTTTCTGAGCAGGACGAAGCTGATGTAGATGTAATTGCTAATAATAGTAGCAGCAAAGAACTAGATGAAGTTGCACTTGCTAACGATGTCAATGGTACAACGAGGTTTGGCGCGATTCGATAATTCTAATTCGTTGACTGATATAATTAATTATTAATATGATAATTTTATACAAGTAGTAAATTCTATACAAGCAATACAAATGACACTGATATCTCTCACGGAACTTCGACGAGGACAATTTGGCAAAGCGAAAGTTGTTCTGCAGAAATTCAAGATGAGCGATGTATTGTAAAACCCCATACAGATACTGAACACGATTGGTATTTAGAAGACGAAATTTCAGATAATGATTTGTTTTCTGCTCCTAACTGTAAGTGAAAGCTAATGCCTATAATAGCGTAAGCACGTTATTTCTAATAATGTAGACATAATGTCTTTTTTTAGTCTTATTCTTAGGCTATAAACAGATTAAATATTGTAATCGCTTCACTTTTAAGCATTTAATAATAATATAAATTTCAATATGTAAGTAAATACCTGTATGTATATTTTTTGGGATTATGCCAATAGTAATTCTTATCAGAGGGTCACAACGCGTATGGTCTCCTCCTACAGCAGTTGCGAGACACCAGACGTCATTTTCTCGAACAGCTAGTAGCAAACTTTCTGGAAATAAAAATTCACACATAAGCGCAAATTTTCGCAAGAACTTACTATCTAACTCTGGTAGCAAGGGAGCTGGTAGCGAAAGATCTCAACATGATCGAAGACTTACCGATTCTGGGGGCAAGATCAATCACCTATTGAAGTTTGGATCTGATATGAACCAAAAAACTTACAGTAACAATATAAATAAGCAAATTGTTTTGGAGGAATTTAGATCACGGGAAGTAAACGGCGATGAGACTGAAGGTACACATGATTTAATATCAGAAAATTTCATGAAACAACTTCCGTTTTACCTAATAATGATAATAATTACTATCAATCTGCTTTAGACAATAAACCCAAAGTTAAGTTGACTGCAAATGATCAAGACGTTAGCGCTAGATCCTCTGTTTCGCTTAATTCTGATGACAATGATAAAATATGGGCTAACTCTAAGACCGCTGCTAAATTCGTACCTAGAAATTCTGCTGCATCCAAACAATTAGATCAAGAAAGCACTACAAACGTTAATTCGCACAGTGTAACGACAAATCTCGATTCTAAGTTAACTGTGAGTGAAAAGGTACACAAATCCACTCTTCCTGAATCAAAAAACAACCTAAATCCTTATCTGATGCGGAGTTTACCGAAAGCAACCAATATAAAACCTAACAATATATCATCCAATGCTGCACTTTTAACTAATGATTCGTTTACAGACGATGTCTTAAAACCGTTAGGTAACTCGCAGCTTAATGAGACTGAAATTGACAAAAAGTTAGCGAAGTTAGCAGATATAGGAAGATTGCGAGCTTCTTCAGTAGCGAACGACCTTTTACTAGATGGCAATGAGGCGTTATCAGAAAATGAGAATTGTGCAGACAAAATTTTTGGTGAAGCACCAACAAATGATGTTGAAGTCTTAGATAAAAAAATTAAATTTGTACCTCTGCGTAATGTTAGAGAACGATCAAAGAGCTCTGCCGGTTTTGGTAAGTTTTTATTAGCTATAAAATCTTTTAAGTGTTTGAGTATTTCCATGATTGGTTACGGAAATCACTATTGATCTTTCCTCGAAGCTAAAATACAAATATCAAATATTCCAGATACGTACAAGAACGAAAATCCAGGTGATAATGATGAAAAGATTTCATTACCACTCTGCCTATAATTCTTGAAAAAAGTTACATGTCGTTATAAGAAGTAATCATAAATTTAATTTTAGGAAATGTGCAAGCCGAACACCAAGCGCTTCTTGCAGAAACTGATATAGAATTTCCTAAGACGCAACCTTACGAAATAGACAGGCCGGATAGTAAATCAAGTCTTTTTAACAATGAAATTCAGTCCTCGCAGGAAGACAGTAAAAGTGATGATAAATTAAACGAATTAAAATCAATTGCTCGAGATCTACTCATAAGAAAAGAGACTACGAAGGTATGCGTACTAAGTATTAATTGGATTTTTCTTTGAGCGCAATAATCGTTAACTGTCTGCTCTTTTATGTTAAATTATTTCCTCGAGCTACAAGTATTGTATTTTTGCTATGCCATTTCTATTAGTCTGCTAAGCTTAAGATAAAAACGAAAAAGCGGCGAAGAAAGAAGGTTTCCCAAGATGTAAATGAAAGGAAGCAGTCATGGGTCAAAATTGCAGAGTCGATGGAATCTATAGTTTCGTCGAAGGTGATGCAGAATACAACAGTTGCCTTGAAGACGTCTAGTATAGCTCGAAATTCTATGACCAGCAATGATTCATCAAATAACCAAGACAATGTTAATAATGACAATACGGAAACTATTCCTGTCGATGTTAGCCTTGAGCCTAACACCAGAGAACCAATCACCTTGGGAGAAGCTCCTTTCGATAAAGTTGAATTTATAGCAGCAATCGAAAGTGACGATGATGGCGCCTGGAAGGCGTCAAGTCATAGAAGACATACAAACAAAAGGGAAGAGAAAAAATTATCAAAGGAATATGAAAAAATGTTGAAAGAAAGAGAGAAAGAAAAACAGAAAATGAAAAAGGATGCTGAATTAAGAAGAAAAAGAGGGGATATTAGTAATAGTAAGCCTGAAGATAATGAAGTTTTACAAAATGAAATAAAAGATCCAATACAAGACGCTGATGCTGAAATTAGGAAGAAGACTAAGGAACAGCGTGAAGCGAAGAGGCTAGCAGATGCAGAGAGGCGGAGATTAGAAGTGCAGCGAAAACGAGCGGAAAGAAAAGAGCTTGAAGCTAGACAGGCCGAAGAGGAAAAGCGGGTAATAGAGGAGCGCGAAGAAAATGAGCGAATCATGAAAGAGAAATTAGCAGAAATGCAACGGTTAAAAGACTTAGAAAGACGGCAACGAGAAGAGAAGGAAAAAATGGATGCTGTTATTAAGGAACGGCAGTTGGAGCAAGAAAGAGAGGCTGAGGCATTAAAACAGAAGTTGGCAGAAGAAGAGATACAGCGATTACTAAGAGCGAGACTTCAGCAGCAGAAGGAAGAAGAATATCTCAGGAAAGAAATGGAAAATAGAAAACTTCAGGAAGAAGAGCAGCGCATAAAAGAAGCTGAGGAAAAGAACCAAAGAGAGTTAGAAAATAAAATAAGGCAAGTGCAGGCCGCAAAAAAGCGTGAAAATGAAATGAAGGATCAAGCTAAACGCCGTCTGAAAAGATTAGCTGAGGAAAGACAGAAAGCCGCGGATATAGAGAAGCAGCGAGCGCTTATTTTAGCTAAACAAGAACAAAACGTAGTTTTGTTCAACGAACTAAAGAAAATAATGTATGGGCAGGGCTTAACGAGAGCATGGTTATTTTCATATTTTGTTCATGTCCCGAGACATCTTTGGGAATTACCTATGGGATACAGTAAGGATAAAAGAAAAATTCCGGTCAAATTCAGATCAAGAAAGTTGTAATTGTACGGATGACTTTTAGATAGTACACCAAGCAAGCCAAATCTTATGTAGAGCTGTGGCTACTATAAAAGTTGAAAGTTATCTAACTATATTAGCTAGCAATTTTATAATAAGATAAGATTAATGACCTTTGAATGCTATGTGTATGAGCTGAGACTACTGTATTACACTTATATGCTGGTAATTTCTCCAAGTTGGGTTAAATGGCTTAACTTAAGGTAAGGTCTGTTCTTAAATATCGTTGGTAACTTGGTAATGATATTTTTGTTAGCGAAATCTGTAAGTCAGTAAAAACATTGCAATTGATCAGGTTTATAATTTAATATCAAACTAAGCACTAGCAGTAGCAAGGCTGCGAAATTTTACTTCTGTAATTATATCGCAATGATTTATTGTAAATAAAAAATTCAATTATTTTATTCTTAATTGACGTCCTTCTTGCCAGCCCATCTGCATATTTGTCCTCAAATGCTTTAGGAAACTTGTTAACATATTCTGTTTAATTTTGTAAGAACTATATCATAAATTTCACCTGTACATTCGAAGGCAATTTTAAAATTTTTTAAATGATTTTATTTATGGTTTTTATATTTATTATATCATTAAAAACAACACCACTAAAGTAAGTTTAATGTCAAAAATAATTGCTATCATAAAATTATTGGCTGCTAGATATTCTCCGCAATAAATTTTTAATCCGTAAAAATCTACACCAGTAGTCTGTGATATACTCGTAGCCCTTACGACTTTCAGACAGTAAAGGTTCCTGTGGGCATTTTTATACTTTATGCTGGTACAGTATACAGACAGCTATCTCAATTTCAAAATTAGAAATCCTACATCGCAGTTTGAAGGTTCTTAAATAAACAGTACCCTTTCTTACGTAAGATTACGAGTATACTCGTATTAAGTGCTCATATCATATCATTCGATCTTTTAATTTAATTTATCGTGCAATAACCTAAAGACGTTATTGTAATGATTAGTACAGCTTGGCCTTGTTTCTGCTGGATATTGGCGATTTTCTGGAAATAATACAACTTTTTAAAGTTGCTTACTCCCTAGACATCTTTGCATTAGTGTGAAGCTTTAACATCCCACAGCGTGCGTTAACGCAGACATATTTACAATTATAATTTGTGAATAGTGCTTTTCATTATGGAAACATGTGTATGTAGTAGTGTAACGCCAATAAAGCCTCAGCTGGTAAGGGTAAACATAGTTTAAAAAGAATGCAACATCAGATGGGTCAGTTTTCACTGTATTTGCTATCGTAACTAATCCCTACTATAACTAGTCTACAGAATTAGTACGATAAGTCAATGACGGATAGGTGTAAATGCTGCACTTTAGCATAAGATCAGTTCTTTTTAGATTTTCTTAGACATATTTATTTACATCAAGAGATTTACAGTCCGATATCAAGATGACGTTTGTAATAATATAACATCGTATACAGAATCATCCAAGTACGAAATAATACCGAATGCTACGAAAAACTTTTCAATAATTCAAGCGCCAATGCTATTATAATTATTAAAAACGAGGACAATCTACTCCTGTCAAAGGACTAAGGTGAGTATTGTTCCACAATGATAAAATATCTTTAATAGATTATACTATGCTAAATATAAGTTGCTGAAATGTGTATGTAACTAATTTAAATGACAAGCATCAAACGTCATCAACTTGCCTCCAAATCTGCTAACTAAAGATACTTAGAACATATTCAAAAATATGGCGTCGTTTTGCAGTATAACGTTAGGCTATCAACGGTAATTGATTTTAACTTATGCTATTCATTTGTAAATTATAGTTAAAAAACTAATATTAGAAGTTAGCTGATTTGTATTTTGCTAACATGTTACTGTGTGTAATATAAGAACTACTAACATGAAGTTTATACGTACCAACATTCGGTCACGAACAAAGTACTGAAAAGAAGAAAGTATTTGGTTATGACATGTCGGCATTCGTTATAAGAGGAGAAATAAATTCCGAATGTTTAATTCCAAAGGAAAATCTTGGAGCGGTTTTCTTAGTCATGTAAACCTATAAACAACACAACATTAGGTTAGGTGATACACGTATAGCTTCGTGTGCTCAAATTGGTGAGAAAAATTACTGAAATTAATAGCGATTTTTATTTAAAACTATAGATTTTACATTAAGATCACGTCTAAAATCCTTGTAAAATCAGTTACATTAATAAGATTTTCATTTAAAATAATAGCTACAAGTACCAATCCATTTTACGGCCGCTTTTAATTCACTTACTTTCTCTGGAGTATACTGCCCTGGGCCAGGTAAGACCACTGTGTCTTGAGGCATAAAATTTCTTCCACTCATGGAATAAGCAGGATATTTCCTTTTAAATACCTGGGTATCACTGACTCGATAAGCACCAGGTCCAGGTGTCTGTTAAGTAAGGAACTATTCATTACGATGCTAAAATACCTTATTTTTACCATTAGCATTTAGATTTAACCTGTTCGTTTGAAGTTGAAATTTTGTTTCTGGCTGAAAGAGAATAGGCGGCCGAGGAGCTCTTTAACGCAATTCTAGATCCTAACAGCGACGGTAAGGTATATGCATTTGGCGCGGGAGTTGAATTGGTAGATCGGTAGTTAGTACGGCTTCCAAACGAGTAGGCTGCCGGGCGTTTTTCACGCATGGGGGGTACTTTTTCAGGAGAATATGCTCCTAAAGTATTGAAAATACTGCAGAGGTTAGTATAGATTAAATAGTAATTCGAATACTGTAGGAAAATACAATATTTAGAATATATACAAAATTGAACAGCAAAGGTTATTTATAATACTAATCAACAGATCTTATAGCTTATTTTCTAGCACCAAATAGTTAAACATTTTATGTTCAATATGCCCACTGTAACAACTTTGATATATCAGATAAATTTATCTCTAAGAGCTGAAAATATTGCCAATACAAAAATTAATATCAAAGACGTTATGTTAGTTATAGGTGTTTTCTAACGCTCATAGAATGAAAATTGAAAAATTATTTTTATAATCCATAAGCCATTGAGATATAGGGAAATAAATTATTCCACTTAGTAATTATGTTTATATCTACTAATACTATATTATTTCTAATATCAATGTAAGAAAATATTCCTTGCAAATTCCAGATAATGTGACATTATTTAGAGTACAACTCGATCTTTGGGATGATCTTATAATCTACCTGGCGCTGGCGTTTGAAAAGAAGAAGTAGTATTAATCCTTCCATGTAGAGTAAATGCTGGTGAGCCACTGGGACCGTTTCGCGTCATTCCTTGTTTTACTACGTATTGAGGACCCGGACTTGAAACGCTTGCAAAACGTAAAGATGAATGACGCATACCTAACGAATAAGCAGGACTCATTTTTCTAGTACAGTCGTGAGCTTTATAACCGACAGTTCCTGGTAGCATGTATTTTGCTGGGCCAGGCCCGCGATGTCTGGCCGCAACTAGCATTTCATTCCTGGTCTGAGCATCTGCCATTTTATGAACAACAACGTCAAGCGATTTTCTGCAGCGGCGAATTGACTGAGTAATGTACTATAGTACTGCTCTACAGACAATTTATAAGGTTAAGCTATCCTACGCCGAAAGTTTTGTATAATTTAGAGTCAACGCTATCGCCATGGTAACCTTTTCTTTTATTCATACAGTTGTGTATCGACTGTACTGTACTGTACAGTACAATACAGTACAATACGGCACTGTACACAGTACTGTACAGTACAGTACAATATCAATGTACTGTACAGTACTGTAGTCAGTGTAGTGCTCTAATAACTTGACTCAGAGGGGATTGTGGACGTCGGTAAACGCCAACGATAACGTCTGTATTATCCGGTGAAATTATCTGAGTTAGCTGTCGTCGAGGTGCCTAATAACACGCCTTGGTATTAGCATCTCTCGAGAATCAGCAGTAGAGGGCTTCTAAGAGAAATACCTGAAATATTTCTTTACGAGTCCCTTGTCTGATTAGTAATTAATTAGTACTATACACTGATGTCAGTCTCTGGTACAAAGTCTTTTTGATATAAAGTGTTGCAATACTGAGTCATTTATATTACAGTGCACTGTATTGTACCGATGGGAAGCACCGTAATGACCACCTAATCTTAATTTTGTATGCTGTACTCTATACAGTACAGTACGCTATGTCATGGACTACTGTACTAAAAGAATAGTTGGACTGATCACTCCCGCTACAGTACAGTTTTTATAGACTTAAAGTCAAGATTGCAACAAAGCAGTAATGTTGCTTTTTTTTTTACGATCCAGCTTTTACTGTCACTGATGTCTGCTCTATAACTACAGTAGGTAGAAAAGTGACTACTGTACTAAATAAGCTTTGGATAAGCAACTTTCATTGACTTTCCATTATAATGATGAAAAAAGAATAAACATAGAATCTTTATAGAGTTTTCTCTACAGCCATTTTCATTGTTACAATTTCTTATAACGGTTGTTATCGACAGAGCAAGATTTACCTGCATACGCAAGCGATCCTTAGACACACTATAATGATTGGTATAGAACTGACCACAGTACTAAGAACATTGTACCGCACTGTAGATACTTTACAGTACCTGCTAATCTTTAACTTGGTATGTCCATCACCGTATATTAGTTATCATAATGTGCTTTGTACCATTAACTAATCTTAATATAGCATTTCATAGCATTTCATCCGTGAATGCATTATTGAAAAGTAGAATTCTAGAAGCATAGCTGTGAATATAGTAGTGCCTAGCTATTACCAGGATATATATAATATCGAATGGTAATACTATCTGTTAATTATTAACGAATGGGTACATTATCGTAAAACCGCCAGCAAAGCGACGTGAGTTTGTACTAGTATTACTTAATCTAGAAAGTATCAGTCAATTCAAAAATCAAAATCGACCATCTATAACTCGTACACTGTACTGTATTACAGTATTATAGTAAAGTGTTAGCACAATATTTTGAGGAGATGAGATCTAAATATCTGTCGGTACAAGAGTGAACGTACAGTACTGTACTGTACTGTACTGTACTGTACTGTACTGTACTGTACTGTACTGTACAGTACTATACTGTATGTACTGTACTGTACAGTACATTGTACAGTACAGTTGTACAGTGTACAGTACACCCGTATGCTACTACTGTATACTGTACTGTACTGTATGTAGGGAATACAGTACAGTATGTACTGTATTGCAGTAAGCATAGTATGGGCCAGCATTTGCAGAGTGATCCTTTCACGAAACGTGGAGTGTCCCGGCGCCAAGAAAAGACCAATAGCGGTAAAGTACAGTACTGTACAGTATGTTACGAGTAGTCGAGTACAGATGATGATTGTAGTGTACTGTACAGTGTACAGGGTGTGTGTACATTACCGTACAGTACACTACAATCATCATCACATACTGTACAGTACGCGTAAAAACCATCTAGACTTGTTATCATCCAGAAATAGAAAGGCATCTTGGAATCAGTACTTTTTCAGTAGTCTATAATAATACTGCTACTGTAAGTGCAGAGTATCTACACTTGTAACAATGGCCATAATTTTAGATAACGGTTGTTACACTTGCAAAGTTGGCTTTTCCAATGAAACTAGACCTCGGTATGCCTTACGTGAAATAGTATGTTTCTAATATTTTTCTAAAGTAATTAGGAAAGCAATACAGCCATTTACCAGCTTACTCGTATGCACAGTTCCACATGTATTCGATAAGCTTGTGGTATTTACTCCTTGTATCCTTTTAGGTGCAGTACACTACTGCACAGAGCTGTGAAATAACGAAAACTCTAGTCTGGAATTGATTCTACTGTATTGATGTTATTATAGATTACGTTACTGTACTGTATTACACAGCAGTCTATTTCACTTTATATAATCTTCGTAAATAATAACTATGTAAACCATCAAGATGTTCAAAATGAGTACCTTACCGCATAATATGTATCTTTTACCTGCTTTGTGAAAGATTTCTACAATAACATTTACAATTACATCAGCAACACACGGATTGTAGGATTACTGTCCTTTTGAAATTATAAATGCTGTACAGTATCCTACATAAAATATTTGCAGTATTGGTCTGTTTCATGCAATCGCGCTATTATGTGATGGTACAGTGACATATGACTATAGTACAGTATAATTGCTGATATTGCGCTTAAGGCATTTTTCTTACAATTATATAAAGGTCTTTTCTTAAGAATATATCAAAAATTAATTTAGAAATTATACGGGTATTATTTATCTAACATAGCCTAGCTGTAAATTTTTTTGATTTAATTTATTGTTTTATGCAGATTATGTTCCCGTTTAAATTAATTATTTAAAACGTGTAATTTACTAGTAATATATAATCAAGGATTATCGATAAACATTACATAAAAATAACGCTATCCGGATGATTGTTTGATTTAGAGAATTCAGATTTATCCAAGCACAGTCATTTTTAAAATGTTCCACATTATGATGCGTGTAAATAAAACGTCAATCATCCATTATCTCATTAAATTTAGGCTTATGCTAAACAGCATAATCAAAGCGAAGAGTGAAAGGAGAACTAGCTTTATTAGTAACCAAATAAATGATTGCAAGGATCTGTCAGGAATATTCTATTTATTACCTTTACAGAAAGTAGGTTAAAAATATACTGATTATTGCTAATATTGTCTATTGACGGTACTGTACGATTTACACTATGCTAATTCCGATTTATTTCACTTAATGTATGGAAATATTGTTTGACGAACGTACGAATTTCTGAATACGTACCTATATGGATTTAACATAATACCTATTGTAGAGGTTATCAGAATGCATTTCGATGATCGGAACATATTACGAAGTACTACGATTTTTCCTTATGCTGGTCGTTGTGTACAGTATCTCGTACTCTTGTATGCAGCAGCAGATTAGAAATGTAGACCTTATACGTATTTATAACGCCGAATCTAGCGCAACAAAGCTCACATCGATTTGTACGCTACTTACTAAAATATGACTAATTAGCCTGACGTGTAGCTAAGATGATACAAGCGAAAAAAATCATGAGATGGATCAGTCATTTTGTTTTATTTCATTTAAATTATTAAATGCTGTCTATAAACTTTCAAAAAATTTAGGGATTTCTTATTGACTGGGACCTTGAAAGACAAATCTGGGATTATATTTTTTCGAAAGAAAACTTAAACTTAAATGTAAGAAATATTATGACTGTAGAGCTTGTCTTCATGCGATTTTTTGTATCGAATGTTCGTACATACCGTTTTCCTGCCTCGTTATGAATTCTACCAAGTTTAGATATTTCATCATGCCTTATAAATAGAAAGGGGATTGAAGTTTCTTTGCAATCATCTTGTAAATTCTTCAGAATGTAATGTTTTCTATAGAATCTTACGATCGCATTTTAGGTAGAATTTCAAGAACATAACATTGTGATCACCGAACCGCACTTCAATTTCACACCTGTTCGGGTAATAATTTTTAGTGTCGATTTTTAGTATTGTTAACGACTTCCTTAGGTATAACTATAAGATGTGTCCATTAGTATACGCGTAGTTCTCAGGTTCTATAAATACTTAAATAAAATGGAAAGAATTAAATTTTCTTTGTTCAATCGTAATTTATGGATCAGAAATCGATGGCTGAAGTAGTATTTGAAGAGTTTCAATTTAAGGGATTTTACACCACAGCTGGTATTATTATTTGTATATTATAATTACTTGTATATGTAAAAATCGTTAATATCATTAGGTTCTGGAAAGGAATAATAGTCCGGAGTATCTCATTTGGATTAACTTACAGCTAAAACTTTGCAATTGTAATTGTAGCTTCAACTTTAAGCTCTCGATCATATCTACGGGAAAGAAATCGCCACTATTGTGTTGTGATAGACAGTGGTTTTTCCTTTACGCATGTTGTTCCGTATTGTCATGACAGAAAGCTTGCTAGGGCAGTAAGGAGGTCGGTGCATTGGTGGTTGACAACATTTAAACTTTAAGATCATAAAAACTCAGCCTATCATCGATATTACGATATTTCCAGGATTGATGTTGGTGGTAAACTCATAACAAATCATATGAAGGATCTTATTTCGTATAGGTAAGGTCACAGATGAGATAACTCTTTACGGCATGGTTTCCTGACTAGCTTTAATTAATGACCCTACAGACAATTGAATGTCATGGATGAGACATACGTCGTAAATCAGGTATTAAATAATAAAGGATAATAACGCTTGAAATTTATAGATGTAATTCAGAAGTTTTTTCCGAGAAGTAACTTCTTTTTACTGTATTAGTTAAAAGAAGGAGCATGCTTCGTTTCAAAAGATTTTTTTGCTGACATGGAATTGGCTAAGTAAGATTAAAAGTATGAATAAAAATTTAATTTTTTAGTAAGATTCATTTACGTAGGCAATATTATTCAATCTAGAAATAGTGACAGGAAAGTTTCGTGTAAGTACGTTTTACCTGACTTCCAAAACATCAAGCAGGGATACATACAGGATGATAAGGTAGAATCATCATTGTTTTCATTTGATACATATTACGTGACATACCAAATATGAGTACGACATAGTCAATTTCATTCAAAGCATTCAGGGTCTCGGCTAGCTGTTAGCGAAGAGCAGGTATATGATCAGTTGTACTTACTCTAATTTGAGAATCTATCACTGTTATGTATGTAATATTGTATTCGCTAGATTGTGAAACTTAAGAATGAAAGATTTACCGTTCCCGAAGTTCTATTCAATCCATCTTACATAGGTAGTTTTAAGGTTTCAAGCAATAAAGATTATTGAAATATTTGTATTCTGAATGCTACCATCTCTAATCTATGTAGGAATTAATCAAATTGGAATATCTGAGGCCATTGTTAATGCTCTAGATGCAACGCCAAGAGGTAGGAGTACAGCATTTACTGTAATCATAATACGAGATATCGTGTAATGTTATACATATGAGGTAGGATAGTGTTATAGTTATAGGATGGTGTTTTGATATTGATAGGCTATTAATGATTAGAGTAACCGCACAATGTGAGCAAGAAATGAATTTTATCTGTATTTTTGCCTTAAATAGAAATACAACCATTGTTGTATAAAAATATTATTCTTACTGGTGGAAATGCAAAATTGCCTGGCTTTAAAGAGAGAATGTAGGTTATAGATTTCTCAACTAACTGAATGTAATTGATTTAAGATATCTCTTGCAACCGATACATCTTTTTTGTAATGATGAAGTAATCTTGAAATAACTTGATTCGAGAATCTTCTATATGTTCTACTGACTGAAAGCTATTGCTTGTCCAGTTTTATCTGCTATCCTTTACTCGTTTTTTGTTTCTAATCTTGACACTACAATAACTCGCTTCATAAATTTACGGTAATAACCGATCATACTAATGAGTAGTTAGCTTCAGATACTACAAGAAAGGTCAAGCTTGAGGCTTTACATTGTTCACCGTCTTTAATTCATGATCATTGTCCGGCCATGTAAATTCTTTTAATTATAATGAAAAAGGATCCCCAATTAACATTACATTATTATGCTCTTTACATAAAATTACAGATTCAACGATGTTCGCTCTATTACTAATGCAGATTTCGACGTTCAAATTTTTTCACCTGAAGAGTAAGTATTTATGTTAGCATTACTAAATTTTTTTGCATAATAGTTTATGTAGTATTGGTATTGTCTTTGCTATTACAGTCCTGTAACATACGCCTGGGAGTGTGGAGCTAAGGAAGTCCGTGATGGTGCTCTTGATAACCTATTTGTATCTCGAAAAGAATATGAAGAATTTGGCTATAATATCTGTAGAAATCGATTTTTTTAGAAAATTTTATTTTTCTAATTGAGCGTCATGCCATATACAACATTATTTGCCTACTTATATAATTAAATTTTAATGTATTAAACAAAAGGTATATTAAAATTATTTTGGAATTTTCTTGGGAATTGCTCAACGATTTCTGTGTAATCAAGCATTAAAGTCGCATCTGCAGTAATGCCCTAGGGTAGCCTTGCAATAATACCGTATGGTTTGGTCAGTAATTTGCACAAACCTTTAAGCCTGAAGCATACAGTAAATGAAATATATGAAAAAATCTAGGGCATCAATCTGTATGCGTGCATACACTTAAATGCATATACTATGTAGCGCATACGTAGATGTGTATTTCGTTGATAAAATGTTAACTTCTCACTGCGCTTCAAGAACATGAAAAGCCTCCACGGACAAGCGCAATCTACGTAGGAAAGAGAATGTAATGAAATGATCCTTACATACTGATTTATTTTTTATTATATTATGCACTACTAGTTCTTTCTCTACCGCTAAGAACGATTCATAAGCGCTCTTACTAAAATTGGAGTATCGATCATCTGTAGTCCTATTTTATGAATGAAAGCCTACTACTGTACAATAGATTGCACATGAACAACTTTATATCCACTTCGAATTTCTATACGACATACTTTCCATTGCAAGACGTTACCTAACCACTCTTTAAAGTGCAGTAATCTGCATACTATAAAGGGTGGTACTATTGATAATACCAATATTGAGTTTACATACACATCGCACTATTTGAATGAAATATAAGCATACTTGTGCAGTGGTTACAATACAGTATAAACCGTTTCGTGTAGACATAGGCTTCATAGTGCAGTATCTTTATAAACGAAAAGACAGGATGTTCTGTCAGTCCCTGGTTTGCAAACTCTAAAGATTGGATAACAGTGGCTATTCTCAACTCCCTCTCGATCCATAAGTTGACCCATTGTTGTACTGAATGATCTTATAATGTACACGCGTTTTCTATACTGGTTCTATTAATAATATAGTATAACAAGTGATTACTATAGTTGTCTGTGTCATGAGCAGGTGAAATCATAGCACCGAATGCTCGCTTACAGTATAGCACGCGAAACTAAGAATTCGTAAACTGTAATAGATCAAATATGCTATAACGCTAAATTTTAGTTTATATTTATAAATTTAAGTCCAGCTTCTTAAATACTTACACCTTAGTGTCATAGCCAAATCATGATCTAAAAGCATTATACTTTATTTCAATTTACCTCAAATGCTTAATGAAACCGATGAAGTACAGCAAATTAAAAAGCTCGTTCTAATCTATATAAAAGGAACGGCAATACTATTAAAGCGTGAGCTGTGCGAACTTTCACTAACATGCTATAGATCTCATAAAGTAATCCGCACTTATAATTTCTATTAATAATCAATCGTACTAATACCGTATCTGATGTATGAAATTACTACATATGAAGCTGAATCTTGCTACGCAATCGATCTTCTGCAGCGCCACTAACTTCGTCAATCTATCCGTCATTTAATGAAACGATAAAAGATATGATTTAATAGCATCACATGACAATTTCTAAATTTCAGCGTATGTATTTAACAAAAGTTATAAAGCATTTCACAGCTTTGAATTTTCTAGATCTTAGCAAGTCAGCACACACTACCTTAGAGCCGTTCTTATAAAAAGCAAACGTCGGCATCGCTCTTATACCAACGAATTCGGCGGTCTCCTGCAATTATATTTACTATATATTTGTTGTTTGATCTTCTAAACTTTAATTGTAGCCCGAGAATATGAAACAATTAAGTCTATTCCATGATATCTTGCGCCTTTACATACCTCATTCTCATCAACATCAATTTTAGCAAAGACCACGTCCTTATATTCATCGCTTTCGCTCATTTTCTGATGCGGCAAAAGACAGATTTTGTTAAATAATTATCAATCAAAGTGTAATTAAGGTACACGTAGACAATGTGCGCATAGTCGTAACACTAAGTCAGATTGATATTATTATTCAAAGGTATTCATTATAATTATCAAGTGGGGCAAAGCATAATTCTAACCTCAAAAATAGGCCCAATAAGTTTACACGGTTGACACCAGGTAGCGAAAAAATCAAATACTACTAATTTATCCTTTGCGTCTGAAAGAAATTTGTCAAACGCCTCCTGCAAAGTAATTTTTATTGTTAAGTACAGTACAGTATTAAGCTTCGAAGAAATACTTGTACCCTTCATTATTGTAATTTTATTGCATCAACAAAGACAATATGTTCAGGTGCATTAAACAGTAATTTACATTAATACACGCAAGCGAAGATATAACATCCATATTACGAAATGGATAAGCGGTCATGAATCGTAAATATTACTTTATAATTTTTTAATTGCATATGTACAATATGCAAAAGAACATTTATAAATATACAGTATGTTATATAATATAATCAGGGAAACAATATACAGTACAGTACACTATAATAGTATACTGTATACTGTATATAATCATAACTCTGATTACACAGGAACTAAAACAGTCGCGATGTTACTCTTAAATTAAGTTAAATATGCTAGTCTTGGATCAAATTTAGCAGAGATCTAAGCTTCTAAACCAGCCAAGAGCGATTCAATCTATAGTTGCAGTAAATGATTTATTTTATGACAACTAAAATTTTTGACTGATGTTAAAAATTTATTCTAAGAAGAAACTTAAAAATTGCATAAATGTTAAGGGATCAAACGCTTCAGCACTTTCCTAGTACAGAACAGTACAATAATTTAGTATTTATTTATCCATTTTAGCAGGGATTGCAAATTAGAGTCAAATGCGATATTTTGGTATGCTATAGAGTACGTGCGTATACTTAGAGGCAAAGGGATAGTTTTAGATTAATAGCTTACTAAGTAAGTGCTATGTAGGAAGATAAAATCTCCACCTTAGTCTCAATTACTTGCACCATCTTGCTTTCTTAAATTTTCTGTACTTGCCACAGGATCGCGTTTGCAGTGGTACAGTTCATGGAAACTGGAAACTGGTAACTCATCATCAGCAGCGAATAGTTTCACACTTTCACACCATGCGACCCTGTACAGTCTAAGTGTACAGTACAGTACTGTACTGTACACTGCCATGGACTAAACGACTAAAGTGTACAGTACTGTACACTACAGTGTTTTATGACGACCTTCATATAGTACTGTACTGTATTATGTAGAAGAATAGCTGGACCATGGGCTGGACAGTGGACAGTCCTCATTTCGTCCACAAATTGTGTCAAACACTTCGTTATGAATACACCTTTAGTATGCGGAAAGACGATTCTGAATTGAATGATTTTTTTCTAAATTAAATAATATTATATTGTATTACTTGTTGCTAAGCTCTGCTTATATACAGTATTTATAAGAAGCTGTTCATATGCTAGATGTCGGTATAAACTACTGTATTTGCACGTTAGTTTTAGTTACATTTTTCCCTGTTAAAGTAAGTATCTAAAACGAAATTAAAGACGCTATACTGTACAATATATTTCTAGCAGTCTATCATTGTACTGTATGTACTGTACGGTGACCGAGGAGGGCCAGTACTGTACTGTACAGACGTACAGTATATCACGAGTAGATTCTTATACTCGCGAACGCGTTCTCATACAGTAGATGTTAATTAATTAGTTGTCAATGGTAGCGTGATCAGTACAAATAAGTATAAGTTTTCATTTCTCGCCAGCTAAGTTATTAACGAAAGGCTTACTGAGCAATGTATATACTTGCAGATGTCTTGAATCCATTTTTCTCTCCGACATTAACAATAATTATGAGCGAAAATTAATAGAAAAGACTGACTGAGAAACAATACCGAACGCTATTTCTATTTGATAAAACGGCGGGTTAAAAATGGTAGACGGTAATAGCGTAATGTTTTACGATACCAACAAGTACAGCATTAAATCTAGAAGTTTAAAGCTCATACCGGCCGTACCGTAGAAATACAATACATTGCGGATCCGGTTTTTTAATTATAAAGGATATGTAAATCTATTAAGATTTCCCTGTTGAATCCTTATAACATCCGATTCTGCAAGTAAAATCTTGTATCAAGAATTCAACGTCCATTCTCGATACGCTGTAGCTGGTGTGGTGTCGTGATACTCGATTATATATTTATTAGAGACTCAGCAAGATCAATACTATAGTGTCATCTTAGAGATAACTAAAAATAGAACGCAAATACACCAACAAAAATCTTACTGTTAAATAATTATAATTAATAACTCAACATACAAATACGAAATCGCATTTTAAAGTTAAAACAGTTTATTTATTGCACGTTGAACTCACAATCCACTTAGATATAGTACTATAGTGAGATCACTATATTTGTAAATTGTGCTATGAATTGTTTAATTTACGTTTGCTTGTTGTCTGCAGATGCCAAATCAATTTAGTAGACGCACCGTTCTATCTGTAATATTTTCTTGTAAAGTTTGTTTTATGCTTAAATTTTTATACATTACACATTAACGTTGATGCGACTTGCTTTATAGATTACGATCTACGAGTACATTTACCATTTGACAGATATGGCATTTTGAGATTGACTCTTATCATAATAAGTGGTGTATAGCATCTTTCTAGCCTGTAAACGCATCATTGAATAGACAAAGATAACTTTAAGGATTAACAATATACAGCGTAATTCAGCTATAAAACGAGTATAATATAAATTGCCATTGTTAATAATAATCACTAGTGCACTGATTAAGCTAATGTAAGAAATTACGGAGTTACAACGGGAAGCTAATATATCTCAACAACTTCATTATAAAATACTTGCAAAATTACTAAATAGTTCTACCTTATAGCTATCAGACCCATCAAGCCATTCCCTGAATAAAAGAGTAAAATTGTTGTTATTAGTGCTAGATATTCCCGTTCGTTTATCCAATTCGACTATCTCACTAATTTATTAGGCTGCTACAACTCCCGATACGTAAAATCCTCCATTAGTGATAAAATATATTGCTAGAATTCATACGCATATAATTCTAATGACTAAGAATTGCAATTAATCTAATGTATCATATCTTAATTGCTACCATTTTTCTTAAGAGAACCCTACCAAGTATTACTTAACAGTTAAAATTACCGAATTGACACCGTGCGTATTACTCACTTATACAAAGCTTGTACTAAATCGTTTTCATTCGGTTTCCTTTTACTGTGTAACATCCAATTTAAAGAGAATGATAACATCCTTAATGAATCAACGTCCAGAAAAATATACATATACAGTACTTTGATCTGCTTAGTTTTACCCAGCTGAGTTATAACATTTTTCTAATTTCATCAAGTGGAGCCGTAAATTTGAATCCAAGTCTATTTTCGGCTGCCCACCCCCATTTAAGCACCCTAAGAACCATCAAAAATAAAATAAGTTCAAAGTTAGTATATCTATTACATTATTTATTTGATCGCTAATCGTAGCTGTTTGAAATAATCACAAATGATATTCAGTCTGACCTCCTGGACATGCCATAATTTCCACATAATCGTATAAACATTTACCGCGTTTCATTCTTTGAACGATATTCTACAAAGCATAAGCAGCACTTAAACTTTACCTGATTGTATCGATATTCCAAAAATAATTGATGAATCATTTTGTATGGGAGTAACATATTTGTATGAAATGCACAATAACTTACCTGAATGTTTCTGAACCCATACACAATAGCCCCTTTTAGGACAGATTTGCCGTCGATCTATGATAATCATAATTGAAGCATTAAGTTGACCATTGCACATAATTTAACGCAGAACCTGCGTTATAAATTTAGCCTATCATTTACTGTAAGAATAACTTCTCTGAAATCCTTATTTCGCACAGTTTTATAAATCATATTTTGTATTTTCAACTGAAATATCTAGCAAAATAAGGAACATAAGTTAAACAACCTGTTAATAATAAGAGTTAATTAATATATGAACATAACTTGATACAAACTACCAAAATCATTTCACCTCAGCTGCAGCTGTTTTAAAAACATTTTCCAAGTAGCCACCCTAAAGAATTGCGTGCATGAAGGCAACAATTTCTGCTTCTAAATATTGTACCACCTACCCATTAAAATTAACTGTAGCGTAATATACACACTTACTGAACCTCCACCATCATGTGTTAGCACCTCATTATTTTCATCCACGCTTACAAAACTATTTACAGACATTTAAATATTATCATCACTTAGTGACTAGTAGTCATATATAGCTTCTGTAAGTAAGGTATGGTCATTAGCACCCTATACATATCTTGTTTAGTACATATAAAATCTACAAGCGCGTTAGCTACTTTGTATACCATAGAGCTGATTTACTTACGGTCTATCTAAATTTTCAGATGTTCCGTTTACTACAACACAACCTCTTTCGTTAAAGATTTCCATTACTTCACCTTCAGATCAAACTTTAATTGTAAATACGGGTTAAAAATAGCTAATCCTATAAATATTAGTAAACCTGAGGTTAAAACGCAATCGACATCAGCAGCATTCAGGCTTTCATTGTAAAAATCATTTCTGGAAGCTTCTAGTTTCTTGTCGTAGCACGGCATTACAGTTACATGGTAGATGTCACTGGGGCTGCAAAATAAAAGTTTCCGTTGTTACTCATTTCATTTGATTTTGTTTCTTATTTGATATCAGTGCGACACTATAAAAGGACCATCTTTACCGTTTCCCAATTTGATTAGCAAAATAATCCTTAATTAGACTTCCCATGATCTGTTGTGGTGACTTTACGGCACTACAAATAACACAAGATTTCGGTTCTTGAAGCTATATTGCACCTACTTACCGTTGGAAAATTGCATAAAATGCTACAGGGCCATTGAGGCAGAGGATTAAATTGCAGTAATTTAAGTCGTAAGACAAGATATGTCACATATAGTTGAGATTACCTGAGGTAAGGTAATATAAATTTACCATGAATTTTCTCAGCGTAACAAATCCATCCTAAAAGTTATCAAATTTCTTCAATTACGAAAGTTATTATAAGGAAACCAATACATTATGCTTTAAGTTAATAAGAAACGCTATTGCCTATATTGACACACATGTAGTTAATATACACTGTACAAGTTACCTGGGCACGCAGATGCAAATACCGGTAGTTTACATGGACTGCTGCTACAATAGCGATCGATGAATTCCCGCTGGCTAAAGGGTTTCCAATATACAAATATCAGTCGTAATATTAAACAAAGTGGACGAAATTTAGATATAAGTGTAAAATGATAAGATCTAAAGTTAATAGTTAAATATCTGCCCTTTATATGTATCAATAGAAAGTAAAGTTACCTCTCTATTAGACTAAAATCTCGAGCGAAAGTGGCATCGAAAACGTAAGAAGCTCCTAATATAGCAACCAAATGTATCGTTGTAACACTAGTGCAATAGTTACAAGTGGTAATCATGCGTTATGTAACTGTTAAATATCAGACCTAAAACCTTCTTAAATGTTGCTGCTAACATTTTACCAATCTAGAACAAATAATGTCAGAACGTATATTATAGAGAGATCATTTTTTCGTGCTAGGCATAATTACGCAATTTAAAACCATAGCAAGTTTCTAACAAAGTACATATGTCTGAGCCGAAAACTATCAAAAAGGAAAAATATTTCCGTTTAAAGGATGTAACTTTCGTTATGAACCTGATTTATATCTAGATTATAATTCACAGCCAGCGCTGCACGGGACTGGGGTGATATAGATACTATAATAGTTTTCATTCTTGATTCTTGATGTGTCTATCAAAATTATAAATATATATGATTCACTAATAGCTAATTCATGCAAATGCAGATTGAAACTCTTTAATCTATTTGCTTAATTTATAGTTTATCTATGATTCTACCAAAGACTTAGATAAAAAGGGTGCAAGATCAAAATTATGCTTATATATGTATTTAATTCTACGCTTATACATACTTCTTGTAGCCTTTGATTCTTATCTAGAATGGCGTAAAATTCCTCTTTACTTTGCTTACTAATAAGCACACTCTCAGCTGATGTTATGCATCCGCTATATTCGCAGAAGACAAGGTTTAAAAAGATATTTTGTTAGGATTTTACTTAAAAAGTTCTTACTTACTATTTATCTAACCTGCATGCCAAGCAGTCGTTTAACGAGATTTTCACTTTCTCTGACTGCGAACGATGATTGTACTAAGATCGTATAATGTAGAAAGAAACACATTAATAATGCAACAATATGAATGTCCTGTGAAATAGTATTCCGCATTAAAACCATCCATAATGCATCAGGACAAGTTTTGAAGCATTTAATCGCTACCATCTAAAGTTGAATCCGCGAATTGTTACACTGTCAGCTGTCATTGACAGTACTATAACTTAAAATCGTATCAACTCCAGGGGAATAAGAGAAAACGCTCGTTTAATTTAAAATAAGTTGGACATAAGATATAATAAATCACGGTCATGAATGGATAGTTACGATGAAGCCTGGACTATCAAATAATTATTAAGGAGAAATAACCCGTATACTGTACAGCATTGCTTCATATCGAGCATACCTGTAGTGTTCACTAATGATATAAGAATTGATCTTTTAAATTTAAAATATTATAGTATATATAATTAATATACGCGTAAATTTTAAAATCAGTCATGAGCCGGAACAGAAACTATATATGTGTATATAAACTAGGAGCCGCAGGCAATTACAGAACTCAACTCAGGTTTAATATTACTGTAGACCCATCACGCTAGAAGACACTTATATACTTGTTTGGCTAAACAGGTCTAATTTCAGTACTGTTTGGACTGCTAGGTATTGCAATCAAATACGGTACTTCGTTTTTACCTTTTCGTGTTTATCCAACTTCGATGTGATTGGTTTTATACATTCCTACACAAATATAAATTTAGATTTATCCTTAAAGAATTTATTCTATGCATAAACTACTAACAAATATTTGATGTACTTTACGGGCTGTACTAACGTAGGTAGTTTATGTACTGTATACGTATGTTCAGCATTACCTGGGAAGGATTGATAAAATCATCTACATCGGCTATTTTCAGTACGCTGCTAAATGCCATTCCACAGATTCCATGTGCTGTACTATCCACTCACTCTCTCAGTAGTCACACAGATGAGTACTTTCGGATCCAATGCTATTGCAAACTTTGCGTTTAATTAATTAAGGAACTCCTATCAGCGACTTCTGCTCGTATTACACTAGCGACATCTTAAAAAATGTACAGTACTTCAGCTTAACACGTACTGTACAGTATACAGATAATACAGTACTGTAAAAGAAAGAAAAATGACTACAGTACAGTAGACTGATACTGTACTGTAAGTTACAGTACTGTAGTTACAGAGTTACAGTACAGTACTGTACAGTACAGTACAGTACTGTACAGTACACGTAATCTTCTGTACTATGTACTGTACAGTACAGTACATTGTACAGTACTGTACTGTACAGATTACGGGATTTGAAGTCAAGTACTGTACTGTACGGCATCAGAGATTTTAAGATTTGGAAAACAAAATCAACGCACTGTACACTGTACAGTGTACGGTACATGTACTGTACAGTACAGTACTTTGATTTCGTTTTCCAAATCTTAAAATCTCCAATAGAAGCAGAAGGAATGAAAACGAATTGCCTATATTAAGCATTAATATTTTGATCAAATTTTTTTGATAACTACTAAACTATACATAATTAATTAACAAGCCTATCACCGATTTACTTACCTATCATTTGTCTGCGCAGGATACTATAAGGTAGCTACAATGCATTAGAATACTAACCGACGGTAATCAATAAATGCCAAATTAAGGACCCTGCTGTACACTGTACCGTAGACCGTAGCTTGCCATCGTGTAAAAAAAGCCTAATTTTGATCATTCCGATTCTCTTAATTTTTCATTGTATCTATTTAATCCTAAGTTATATTTGAACGTTTATCATTGTGATCTTGGCGTAGTATTAGCTAAGTACTGTGTGTATTGCATATTACTCTATCGCAATAGCTCTGCTAATTAGCTCTTGAGTCTTGACTGCATTCACTCGAATTTACCACTGGTCAAGTCAATTAAACTAAATAAATCATCAGTTTCTCGACCACTACTGTACCTGCCGTCCTGCCTAATATCACTGTAAGTCTGCTGATAGTAATATAATTTTCTAGAATACAGTAGCATCATTAGTTCACCAAAATATCACGATTGCTAAAACTATGGTTAAACTCATTCAGTAAGGCGACGGGGACAAATATCTGATAATTTTGGCACTAATTACGAAATTGTTACAGTACCTAATACCTTGATATAATGTTGGTCTTCGAAGCTAACATAGCACTATAAAATTTAAATTTATGTAAAATACTAGTTCGTATTATTAAAAGATTATTAGTCGTGTTTTATTGTACTCCTGGCTAAAATTATTCTCAAACTTAGATTCGTACAGTATACGACAAAAATGGTTCCTCCGCCACCTCCCCCTCCACCGCCACCACCTTCAGGATCTGTCCCGAACATTGCGTCGTCCAAGTTGCTAAATCCTTCTGGAGAAGTTACACACTCAACCTCAGCTAAGCCAGACGAAAGTCGCAATTCACTACTTTCATCTATTCGTGCTGGAAAGCAGTTAAGGAAGACAACGACAGTTGATAAAAGTGGTCCGCTTCTGCCAAAAAGTACGGTAGTGACATAGTATTTCAGTTGTATTATTATCGTTATCAATAGCTTATTATTACAAATATGAAAGTTATGAGGCAAGAAATACACACGTCGTGATACCATAATTGCAATGACTGGTTGGAAGTACTACACTGTACTGTATGTTTGTGTTCTAACTTGTGATTACTCAAAATACTTAATTTTCGAAGAACAAACAAGCTCGGATTCAGGGAGTCGTACGGATCAAGTTAGTTCCCGTGGCCCTGCAAATCTTGGTGGGTTATTTGCAGGTGGAATGCCGAGTCTGAGACCAACAAATAGCCGCTTTTCATCGGCTGCTAATACAGGTTTGGCTATTAATAAAATCGTGTTTATTTATAAACAGCTCAAGATATCGATGTATTTGACTAACCACTTAGTTATTAGTTGCTTCTTTAAAGTTGTAATAGCACCGGTATCATTGGAAATTTGTTACTTATTCAATCGCTGTTGCATTCCGTTTCATAGGTAAGCCTACAAGCGATCAGCCGCCGTTCATGAAATTTCCGTCAAGATCATCTGACCAAATTTCAGTAAACCAGACAATTGGAACGGATAATAAATCTCAGGTAATTGAATTAATTATTATGTGCAATTACTTGACTACATAATGACCGTTCCAAACAATTTTTAGTTAAAGACAGCACTACAGAAGTTCTAACATGCAGGTTATTTCATTCTATAGTGAACATACTTGAATGCACTTAGGAAACAATCTTCTTCATTATTCAGGTTCCACACTTCTCTAATAGATCCGCCATTGAGTCACAATCAGCGACTCCAGCGACAAGAATTCAACGTAATCGCCCTAGTGAAATATCGTCAACATCTCAACAAACTGTAAGTGAGCCATCCAATATAGCGTCTACAATGCCATCATTTTCGTTACCTGATAGAATTCCAATGAATTCTGGAAGTTTCATGACATTTGAAGGTATCCAGAAACGTTATCGATTTAGATGATCATAGTAGCTGTTTATATTGCGTATTACAATATTACTATTTCTGGATTTGTAACCTATACTCCGTAACTTTGATATTTGCAAGCGAGTTTCGAATCACGTTTTACTTTTCAAGCCGAGCTGCCACCGTCTGAACCATTTAATCCAAATTTATCGAAAAATTATCCCAGTAAAAAAGAAAAAGAAAAGAGTAAATCTTTACGAACAGATTAATTTACCGCTAAGTATAAGAATCATAATTCTATCTGTAACTAATTATGTATTTACTACTATTTGTTGCAGCGAAATCTAAGGCACCTCTTCCTCCAAAAAATCACCATGATTTGAAAGAGACTTTCCGTGCACCAACGAGAGCAGCCCCGGATAGACCTGCGCCATTTCCTCCAGCAACAACTCGACCTGCTCCAGACAGGCCACCACCACCACGACCTAGTTCAAGACCCCCACCTCCGCCGCCTCCTAGGAAGAAATAAGGCTATCATTGATACGTTTTAATGACCTAGATATATATCAGGATACTGATGTTACACTATAGATGAATTGATTAATTATATTTATAATTATCTGTCAATTGGACTAAATTTTATATGCTTATAGTTGACTTTCTTATAAAAATATAGTAATATTGGTTTATAAATCTCTAGAACATTGCTTAAGAGTATGAGAACGCTTTTATATAAACTACAATTAATAAATGAGAGTCCCTCCCTTCATTCATTCAATAATAATTATCAGATACTTCTCACTGTAAAAAATCTTTTATTAATGGGACTTGTTTATTATCATTCTGTTCAATCGTTCTATCATATCGATAAAATTTTCGTTCGTTTAGTTACTTAGACGTGCATATAAAATTGGTTTACTGGAATTATTAATAATTAACATTTGCATTCAGTATCATACCAGTTAGAAAAGAGAATACTCGTACATTCTTTCCCTGAATGGCACGTATTCTAGTCATGATTTCGAACTCTGACTTGTCCTTAGCATATTTATGAATCGCAGTCGTTTATATCGTAACATCATCCATAAAAGTTTTTAAATTCTATTGTGCAATACGCATATATCTATTATGTAATTGTGGCTAACTTTGCAATTTTTGAAATGAACAACCTTTTGCCTTCAATTGCATTATCAAAATCTTAGCTTAAAATGTTTTCTAATGCTTTCGTTATTCCAAGAACTGATTAATGTTATCACTGTGATATATAATTACTTGCGATAATTAAAATTTCATTTCGTAAGATGATGTCTTACAATCAATGTGGAAAATTTGCAGGTTTAAATTCGTACTTTACAGAAGTCCAAACCTGCTATAGTTTTGCACATATCGGAATACTAACTGTAATCTCTCATTCTCTCGTATCTAAATTAGTAGCACCTTGTGAATCTCTAACGCCTCTGACATGCGGTACGCTTTAACGGTAATGCTAATACCTGTGATCAGATTAATATTTATTATCGATGACTCGCTCACTAGGTGTTATACAATATTTACTAATAGTAAAGGCAATTAATTCTGCAAGCCTAGCTACTGGATACCTCTTTACTGATAATTGTAATCATCCCCCATAGCTATAATTACGTCACCGCAAAATAATAGCGTTTGCAGCCATTTGAATTTCAACTTTGCAGTTATAATCAGTATTTTAAACAAGGCAGTATCAAATCAGCTGCTAACAGTTACAACCGGAAATCCCAATAATACAGGTTGCGGTTTATAGTAATTCATAGCAGCTATTGGGATTACACGAATGCACTTCCAAATGTCATTGGCATGCACATGCAAAGACATTTCTTCGATCCTATTGATAAGTATCGCGGACTTTAAAGTAGGAATATACAAATGCAGCATAATACTGCACATGTAATAGAAAAAGCATCATAATTTTAGCTACTACTATGACGTAGTTAGTACTAAAGTAAAGTACCGCTCATTCAAAATTGTAGATTTATAGCTAAGATCATGTATTCAATGTATCTAGGGACGAATAACTACAAATATTGCGATATCTTAGGAAAATCAACGCTGCAAATGATGTAGTTATCAGAAAATCAAATATATAAATTAATAAATTTTTAATACAATTATGAGCTTTATCTTAAACAGTGTTATTGCACTTACATAATCACAGATTATCTATTTATATATTTTATCTAAGAGTTTAATAATATCTAATTCAAATTTATGGAAGACGATTTCTTGCCGCGAAAATGACTGTACACTAGATAATTTGAGAAAATTAATACTGTTAGATAAAATACCAATACACGCATTATTATCACTGGATAGAAAACTACATAAAGTGTTAGAAAGATTTAATAAATATATTACGTTTATCTAACGTACCAATAAATTCTTCATTCAAGTCAACCAGTGACACTGAATTTTTTTCTCCTCCGAACATAATGGAAGCATTGTCGGGGCAAAAGCAAGAACAGTATACCTTACCCTAAATTCGAGCGATAAAGATCAATTGAAGCAACTTGTACAAGTTTAAACTATAAATACCCTTAAATCGAGTAGAAATATGATCTCATTCTTATAATATACTCACGATATTAAGGTTTTTTGAACTGATAAATTTTGGAGTATTCCCCTGGATATATGAAATAATTTTCCGTTAACTACACGTACTTATATGATAACGTATGGAATAGTTTACAAATCCAGTAGCATTTTGAATATCATTGATTAAATTTCTACGCAACAGCTGTTCAATCGAGTCGGAGTCACTTTGACTACGTGATAATATTTGGAACCGAATGTTGGAGCAATAATATCTGGAATACATAGATGAACTAAATTTTACCATAATTGTGAATGAATCCGTCACTGTATTACTAGGACTCTTGCAGAAAAAATTTGGCTCACGTTCACATAAAACGGAAAGACAACGCGAGTACTAGGGTGAAATTTTTCTGTGGAGTCCTTGATATGATTACCATAATATTAAAATGCAGTAAATAGTAAAATAATCATTACGAACACATAGATTTACAAAAGTATATCTGGGCAAAACATCACCCCATAAATTTGAGATACAGCAAAACGAAAGTAAAACTCTTACATTGCATGAATACTTTGTCTTCCATATTGTGTATTTAAGTATTTTAAAGTATGCAAAGTTCGCCCTAGCTTACTTACTGCATCATAACAAGTACTGACGTTAAGGTACTTTCCAAATTTAATTTAAATAGGCACCAAAATCGGGCCTCTGCACTCCGACAATCAATTATTTACGCCTAAGTGTTCATAATTAACTTTTAAGTAACAGTTGCAGATAGTATCTCACGAACTGCTAAATGAACGGTAAGAGTAAGGATACTGAAATATGTTGCTATAGTATTACTTAAGCTTATAAAATGATCCACAATACTCGTATTAAATGCTAGCGTAGACAAGCGACACAATGATAGACAAGATATTATCGTCAACACTATCAACCTGCACCTCATGTGAAGGCCTTTAAATTACCTCTATAATATCTCTTATGATTTTCGAAGTCGTAATAAACAACGTAATTACTGTAATTTCATTACATTCCATTTTTATGCTTAATGTACGACAGTATTACAACATGCAATCAATGCTATCGTACAAATCAACTTAAAGGAGACCAAAGAAAGCATTAACTGCAAATATAAAGCATAAAGCTTATAGAATGATATCAATTATTAATTTGAAAACGTATTTCCTCGTAATCTGTACGAATAGCGGCTGCCAGCTTCATGTTTTAAGTGTAACACATACGAGGTATGGTGCATAATAAATCTCAGCTTATTACCGTAATATCCCAGACTTTTACAGTCTTATCTATAGAAGACGTAACCAGAAGACCTTCTGTTTGATAACTCAGAGCAAGATCTAGCCATTTATGGAAAGAAATTACGATACGCGCTTAACTTATGCAATAAGCGGTCACTACTATTAAAGCGATTACGCACTTGCGGAAAACATTAAAAAAATAAATAACGAAAATCAGTTTATAGTTCTAAACCTGTAATAGACATGTTATGAGCACAGATCCGAAATATGTAGTCTCTGTTACGAACGTCAAAAGCATACACGGATCCATCATATAACCCAACCTGTAATAGCGCAAATGCAAAGCAATGAACTTATTAAAGACAACTATGCAGTCATATAGTTAATTTAGCAATATAGCTTTACATAGTTACATACCAAGAATACCGCAGGACAAAACGGGTTCCATATCACTTTTTCAATTTCATTAGCAGTATTCCATCGTATCGCAGACTTTAAAAGGAAAGCTCACTTTGATTATGACGATAACTCGTAACAAAAAAGCTGGACTTATATAACTATAATACATAATCGTTAACCTCTTGAATTCTACAATCCGTCAATTGTATCGTCCTTAGCAAAAGGAATTACGTTCGTGAACTTATATACAGATTATAGTTTTGCACACCAATATTGCGTAAGCGATAGATTAAATAGCATTGTACGCGTATTACTTATCAGTGGAACTAGTCAGTAAGAGCTGAGCCTCGAACGGATGCCATTGAATAGATTGTACCTTAAGAATAACGATGTTATATTTAGAAGGCAAAGATTGACTCACAATAATGGCAAGTGTTCATAAATGCCTCTTAAGCACTAAGATCAGTTAAATAACACAATCAACAAAATAAAATCAAGATCCTCCAGTCACATTTGCTATATACAACTCTACGCTAGATGGAACTGAGACTGATAAAATGTATGAAAGTTTTTCGCTAATGGCTTTAACCTTAAAGCTATAGTAGCCTGGTAATGAAAATATATAAATGTTACAAAATTCTGTTTCAGAAATTTTAAGACAAAATTTAGTACTGAAGAAATATAGCACATTCTAAAAGTCGCATGGTGCATTGATATTTGTGAATTGCGGTTCACGTTTTCGTAACAATAGATATGAATTTATAACTACAGTATCTGTAAGCGAAAATAAAATAATCACAACGTATGTGCAGTAAGGTGTAAGCAAACTTGTACCCACAACTGTATGGTTTAACAAAGAACCCTAGTAATGTTTCAGTGTTAATGAAAAGCCGGTAAAAAAATCTCCGAAAGTTGTCTTTCAGAATGAATTTCTAAAAATTGGATCATATTAAATCTAGGGCCTTAAGGTCCTTAATAAAACGATTTGGGAAATCTTAAAACGGGGAAGAGAGTTTAAATTAAGCTTAGTATAAACCATCAGTATTCTCAAAACCATGATTAGAGTTAATGGGTCAAGAACAGCCCTATGATATACGAAACTGTACTACGCCAAAAGATAGTAAGTGCTGTACGTGCCCTCGTTAAATCAAATAAGGTGCAGAATCTACAATTTGATCGTCTGAGTAAAGATTGAGGAGTGAACCATATGAATAATTAAAATCATAAATACGTAACACAATCTTGTAAGCTATAGTACAAACATACTATCGTATTGAATCAAACTCTCAGATTGTAACATACAGGCGGAAGAATCCTGCAAGTCGTGAAATTCCGCGTCCTACTGATCGTACCTTATCAGAATGGTGTGAGTATATATTTGATGTTTTAGCAAGTGTAATATCCCAAAGAATTACAGCCTGATCAGCTGATGCACTGGCAAGAATAGTCCTAGAAAACGAACGATTAAGGAATATGAAGATAATAGAAATTATGTGATGAAGGACATGTAATAATACTGCACGGTTGACAACAAGGATACTGTGTGATTTCATACATCTGCCATAAACTAGATATCAGATCCGGTATTTTCACTTTGTAAACTTTGATAGAAAGCTAATCTACTAATAATATGAATGGTTAAGTATGTCGATGGCAGAATTGTAGCGGACACGCTAGTCTCATAAATAGTAATCGTCACTGTATCGTAAACAGTAGTCTTGCTGAGCCTTACAATGCAATAAATTTGCACCCAGAAACTACGAGCTTAGATACAGTCATACAGTGCACATATTGAGCTGTATCTATACTGTATCTATGACGAGACAAAAAATACTAATTGCTAAATACTGAGACCGACGGAATGCTTACATCTTAAGGCGTTACCTTAGTTTCTTTTAAAATATCGAGATATATATGCAGCATAATGCACTTTATATACTATGTATAAACAGTCCAATAATTTAGCAATAATTGGTCAATATTCTTCATTATACAGATTTTCGATGAATACCTAGCAGATCTGTTCCACGACAAATCCAACACAGAATCATTGTGACTCTTCAATGGACTTTTAATCCTCCGTAGATTATCATCCTATCAAAGTAATTACCAAAATTTAAATACAGCAAGTTATAATGTATTAGCGGAAACGTTTGCGTTATGATATCCTAAATAAATCACTCACCGTTAGATTTGAAGCGTTCCCTAATGTAGCAACAGGTTGTAAACAATTAATGTTGTCGATATCCCATATTTCAATAAATGATGCTTTGGTTCCAACTGCAACAAGATTACCTGATGGCAAACATGGAAACATGTTCTTTTATTTATTCACTTCATATAGAAATATAAGAGGTCGTCTCACCATTTAAGTCATTTTCATTGCAGCTGCAATCTAAACTTTCGACACACAGCGGGCATGCATTTACCGGAATATCGTGATGAATATACCAATCTCCGTTCTCATAATTGTAAACTCAAATAATAATTTGACGTAGTTAATTATTGCAGGGCTTATCAATAATTTAATTAGTCGAAACAACTACGACGTACACTAACCTCTGCAGTGATAACTGAGGAATAAATAACTTACGATAAATTTCCAGAGCGTTGGCGTTATTATTCGTAACACCAACAACGGCTAAGTTATCATGTGGACCAATAATGATATCTGATGAACCTTCGCTTTCCTGGATAATTAATATAATTCGTATTCTTGATCCTTTCATGATTGCTTTATAAAATTTTTGAAGATACTTTTTAACTTCTTACCGTGTCAAATTGGCTTATAGAAGGATCTATTATATTATCTTCATAGGGATTAAGTTTATACAGGTCACAGACTTCATCTTAAATTGGTAACAAAATATATGGTAATAAATTAGTAGTGTAAAAAAGATTTACAAACTCAGAATGTGAGCATTTACTAGATAAACAGAAGCATCAAAACGCAAGAAAAAAATGCTGAGAAAGTTTAAGTTTCAAGTGGTGTCTACGTGCATTAGGCGTATCGCTTTATGCTTTAACTTAATACTACAGTACTGCGCTTTATATTATATCATAATATTGCAGTTGTGCTCCAATTCGTCACTAATTAATTTTCCTTGTAAAAGGTATTAAATTTCTATGGCTTATCCTGTCTAGTAATACGTACAGTATAAATGATTTTGACTGTTTTATTTTAATGAGAGAAAATCTGGGTATTTAAATAGTAATAATATAATAAGTAACAACGTAGCAAGTAGAGTACGTACTGTATACCCAACAGTCATTTCTGATTCAATTACAAAAGTTCATATAATGTTTATCACCTTGATCATAATCCTGTAAATTGTATTCTGATAATTCTTTGTCAATATCTGCCTCCGCCTGTACTGATCCATTCAATTCAAGTGTTTCGACATTTCCACTACTGAGCAAAATATGTACAATAGAATGATTATAAGTATTTACATATCTTCCCAAATCGCATCACATCTTACTATTTTTTAACAGCAGGATTCAGATCTTCCCTCGCCAACTTCAATAAGCTTTCCGGAGAATATTTACTCTAAAAATGCTCTGTGATCAGTACAGCACTTACAGTGTATAATAGTGTAAAATCAAGATTGCATTGGACCGCGAACTATCGATTAATTAAATCAAATTATATTAATATATTAATGCGATAGTACGAGTATCACGCATACGCGCATTCCGTGGAATTTCTACGAGTTTCGCTAGTAAATAAATAAATGTAAACATAATATGATATCGGTAACTTTCGCATACGTACAGTATGTCACTAGTTACCTTTGTTGGATGACTTCTTGCAATTCCTTTTGGAATCCAGCTTAAGCATGAAATAGGCATAACCTTGTCATGTACTGCTGTATCGTAATGAAATTACAGAGATAGCGATAAAATAATAAGATATACATCAACGTAGCCCAATTTTGAACTTAATGTGTCTTTTATGGAGACATGTTTACTGACAGTGAGTATATGACTAAGACTCATAACATGAGTATATTTCAGACAATAATATCGTTCTAACTTTACCCTGTCTACTTTGCCTTGCAGATTATTACTTTGTATTCACTCACGGCGCTGTACGTCTATCACATTCAATAGTTGGTGTATGTGCGGACCAAATGTGCAGTCTTCGATGATATTGCCACTTTCCATGCCCAAAAATAGTAACTCCAATCTACTGTTGACTCCGTAACAGCAGTAGTGGTAGTACTGTTATGACTGTAAATACAGATACGAATGTGGCAATGTAGCAAAGCTCAATCTACTCTGATTCACACAGCACTGTAATGTAGTACAGCTACGCCTGTTCAAGGTTGCTACGGCATAGCCACAGCAGGCGACAGCTACAGTACAGTAGATTGAGTTCATTACCGTAACACAGTAACATAAACATTACCGCGATACGCAAGTACAGTTTAAGTGTACTGTACAGTATGTACTGTACACTGTACAGTACAGTACAGTGTACGGACACTGTAGTAGTACAGTACAGTATAGTACCGTACAGCACATGGAAGATTTATCCTTATGGCTCAGGTACTGTACTGTACTGTACTGTACAGTGCACTGTACAAGTCGTACGCTACCTATCCAGGAGTCTACTGTAGACTAGGACTAAATAATGCATGACGATGTATGATCAGCTCCAAACTCCGCTTTAAAATATGGCGATGAAGACGAGGTGTTTTACTTTGTCATAGTAGTTTAGCTTCTAAGTACGGTACAGTAGTGAGAATAGAGTGCTCAGCATCTGATTTGATACCACACAGTGTAGGAAGTGATTCAGTGACATCATTATTTAAAGTGAGGTGATAAAATCGAGGTGTTATACTTCCATGTCTAAGTGTTAGTCAGTTTCATATTAAGTGAGATGACAATATTGAGAACTTTAGTCACTTAATACGGTACACTAAAATGTAAATAAATATGGTGCTAACTATGGAATATGACAGGCTCGGCCGCAGTACCGTAATTTACACTGACCATGCTCAGCTACTATATACAGTACAGTACTGTACTGTACAGTACAGTGTACACTAGTGTACAGTACTGTACAATACAGTACAGTTACGTTACACCATTCGTGGATTGGTTCAGCTGCTGATGGTACTGTACAGTGTACAGTACGGCACAGTACTGTACAGTACAGTACAGTCATACTACCGTACTTAACGTTAAATCACAACATACTGTACTGTACTTCGCGTAATTATCGTGGTAAAATGGAGGAACGAAAAGTTCTGAACTTGATTTATGATTATTTTGAAAAAAATAAATTCTTTAAAAGTTCTAAAACTCTTGTAGAGGAAAGGTAACTTTGCTATTCTATAGATAGAGTAAAAGAAAATGCCCGCTGCGCCAGTTACACCATTCGAAAATATTCAACCGTACTAGAATTACCGTATGAGATTCGTATCTAATATTTGTGAGCGTACAATTGTAATAATAATTAATAATTAATTATAATTGATCTTGGATCTACAGTACAGTATATGTACTGTATTGCCTTCTACCTTCCTTAGAAACGATTTTGTCTGTGAATTTATGTATTACCATAATATTGTTACGAAGGGAAATGCGCTATAGTATTAGAATACGAGCGGATGAATTCTTACCATTCAATAGCTAAATTATGTACTGTACTACTAAGTTGATGCACAGCACGGTACAGTAAGTTAATTTTTAAGATATTACAAAATATGCAACTTCTCATTAATTTATAATTTAATTAATAGTTTAATATAGTACCGGTACGCGTATGTGTATACCACTGTAAAGTAGCTAAAGATTTCTGTAAACAAAAACGAGTTAGAGCTTGAAAATGGTCCCTGTTTTGCCATTATTCACCAGTTATAGAATAGCTGGGCAGTATTTGAGATCCTTTATACAGACTATGCAATATGCAGTCTCTATATATCTCTAGGCAACATACGATTAGTATATTGCTACTGTAGCGTAAATATAACAAACATCTCCATCTCTCTCATCATAACGAATGTACAGTACTATTGTCTATTATTTTAAGTGTGTGTGTGTATCATCAATAGGTCGGCATAGTTAGTTCTGATGTTATTGTATTCATTTCTATTACAGTGGAATACCGATCAACAAGGATATAATAAATAGCACCTTTCCTTTGCAGCATGTGCTAGGTTTGATTGAGCATGATATGGAGATGAGCACTATAATAAATTAATAGTACTAGTGCAAACTCCCGTCGCTTTGCTGACGGTTTACGATAATATGCTCATTTAACAGATAGTACTACTATTTGTCGTAGACCTGTCAGAGGTTCAGTAACTTTAGACCGAGTAGTGTATTGTAGAACATGTACTAAAGTGGACTTAGGACTTTGAGAATACCTCAGCCGCGGTATGTTTAACTTTAGGGACAGCTAATCTTGTAATGACCTAAGTCAGAGTTTTATTCTTGCCCTTTTTGTCTGTCAGCTTTATTATCTAGATCATAGCTTATTAATAAGGCTAGCAACTACAAAACATGTGTTACTGTACAAAATGTAACTGCTGCATTTTCTTACAGACGAATATGAAAATTCCAGTCGAATCAATATTTCTCTCCCAAACGCTTTGGTTAGTATAACGTTTGATGCAATGTTCACTGTACCAACTTCAGTATGCCTCTTATAATGGTGTACACACTTTGGCTGAGTTTTTTGATGAACAACTTGAAATTTGATATACGAATATATTAACATTTTCCAGCTGTTACCAGGAGATAACACCTACATTAACAAGGTATGCTACAACGAAAAAGACAATTGATGAATGTTTGGCCTTTAAGGATTAAGTTAGGATAGGTTCATTTGATGACAGCATAACTGAAGAAGTTTAAGGAGGGCTTTCTGCTTCAAATTTACAATATCTACTATAACATCGTGAAATTAAGCCAACACCTACAATGATATAATCATGTCTATAGTATGTCGTGATTTTAAGAACAGAATTACCCTATTTACAATTTAGTTTATCTTTCGTATTATAGGCTTCTATGTCTTTAAATTACATAACTGAAGGTGAAAACATTCTCTCAACAAATTTCTCAGACGATAGAGGTGTGAATAATCGTTAAAAATACGATAATAGAAATAGAAATTATCTTACCTTTGAAATAACGTTTAAGTAACTGTAACGTAGACTCGGCTCTATACGAATGTTTTTTGTTATGACTTTGAAAGTATGCTACTTTTGAAACTGTGTTATTGATACTTTAGTTTAATTGCAGAACTTTTTTAATTTTCATATTTGCTTTTCTGACTATTCATCATAAACGATATTATAATTTAGACACTTTTCTCAGCTGCAAGAAGGTATTCTAATAATATACTAGATAAACTTATACTTTCTAAAGTAGTATTTCAATTTGTACTCCAAACAGATCTTATTCTAGGCACTGCTAAAGGAAAGACAATTCTCATAAAAATTCCAGAATGCATTGACGGTATCAAGGAAGAACAGCTTATATTAAATGCTAATACATACCACAACCATAAAGGTGGAGTCTTGGATGTAGACATCAATCCGTGTCGTAGGTTGGTTTGCTATAATTTTATTCTGTGTATTTATGTACTAGCAATAGAAAGATACTGAGTTTAAAGCTACACCATGAAATAAAGTTTATGAGTACGGGGAGTGCTCATCACCATAAAGATATTTTAGATATGCAGTGGTATTTTTACGGTTCATTTAAGGAATAATATGTTGGTTTTAGGTTATTCTGCGTTAAAGTTTTTAATTATTGAATATACGGTAGTGCTTACTACAATTTGGTATCTGTAGTCACTCTATACTTTACCATTTCAATGTTTCGCAACCGGATTACATCCGATTTCGATGTATATGTTTTGCCTTCTGGTACAAAATAGTTAACTAGTAAACCGTGTACGATAACGTACAAAAATGATTTTGAATGAGACAATTGTTTTATCTTTACAATTTCGTGGGTGGAAACTTGCTTAGACTATTTTTATCTGGCGGTATGGATCGTAAAATTTACTTGACGGAATTATCATATGAAGACAAAAAGCCATTACAAGAGTGGTCAGTACATAACAAGTGAGATATTGTAATGTAAACAACTTAATCTTTACACCGTCAGGTAATTTCCTCAAAATGTTGATAAATGTTTCACGGAAGCACTTAACGTAGTATAATTCATTTTTCATTAGCCTCTTATAGCCGTCTAAACTCTAAATTGCAGTATCTCCTTGACTCGAATTTTTTTATGATATTGTATCAAAGATACGTTGTGAGAGTTAGATGGGCCCCATCTGGCAAAAGTTTCATTTCAGGTTCCTACGACAATAGTGTCAACTTTTTTAGGTAAGTAAATAAAATGTAATTCTCCCTTTTCAGTCCATAATTATTTAACAGGTACATGTACAAGATTAACATATTAATATTTTTTAAAATACAAAATTTAATATCAGAGAAGATAAAACAGTTACGAATCATTATTATAATGTGAAAGCATTGAAATTTGGTGGAAGCGTAGAAGCAGTCTGTTTTCTTAAGGTAGTCCTTATTTCCACAAGATTCACATTTTATATGAAACATATAGTTGATGTAGCTTACAACAAGTGTATGTGTTAGAATGAGGACACTGCTGTAATATCCATTAGAAATGATCATCGGCTACATATTTTTAACTGTGACGACGATCCGTATCAGGTTAGATAAATTTTTTTACCGTGCTGCTGACAGCTTAGATACTGTACTGAATGTAATACTTTTAAGCCTGTTGTAAACCGTCCTTTTTAGACGCGATGTATCAATATGAATGCTATTGGTGACAATTTCGTAAGCTTCACAGCTATGGACATATGTGTGAGCCCAGATAATAATTTTGTAACTGTAGCAACTGGTAAGCTGTTTATCTATAGTAAATCTGTAATTGCTTATAAACTTACGCGTTTTTACCTGACTATTTGCTACCACTGTTGTACTTAGACACCAGTCGCATCATTTTATATGAAATTAAAACTGGACAGCAGGTCGGTTAAGTAAATGTTTTAATATTATTAAGAAATAAAGTTATATTCAATTTAAAAATGTCTTTAACTTTTAGCTATTAAATTTCTATGGAGCAACGAATGACGGTTTTAGTCAACCCAGACACTGTTGGCACCCGGATGGTCACTACTTGTATAGTGTAAGTATTAACTCAGTCGATTCATTTTAGATTATACCTTATGCAGCAAAATAACACTACGTTTTAATATTTCTTCTATAGACATCTCAGGATAATTGTATCTATGTCTGGGAAATATCTACTCAACAAATAGTATCGAAGTTGAAAGTACACACTAACGTAGTGGTAATCTCCTTTATCTTCGATATCTTTTACTTTAATGATTTTCTATGATCTCAAACGCTTCTTATTTTTATTGCAGCGTCATATATCTATCAGTGACAAACTAAAAATTCTAGTTTCTGGAGGTTACGACGCTACCGCAGTGTTATGGAAACGTGTCTGACCTGTTATCTCTCGGTATTTGAGCTCTTATATGCGACAACTTGTCCATACTGTTTTAACCAAAAATAGCTACGGCAATTACCTCAAATCTTGCACACATGTACAAGCTGCGTAGTTAATTAATGCTATTTGCATACCAAGTGGTAGTAACTTGCAAAATTAAGCCATCGGCGCTAGATAAGCTTTATAAAGTGAAAATGAATATCGATTGCAGTAAAAATGTTTAGCAAAATTGTGTTGAGTGACCAGATATTTATAACTTTATGTGTGTGGGGATGCAAAGAACCGTCCGCAGGAATTATAGTGTCAGTTACACATCATAAAGGTTACCTCCGATTTAGGTTAATTTTTAAGTTCTTCTATTATTGTTTAAAATTAAAAGATTTACTTATTACAATTCTTTTCGGTCTGCATCCCGTAATTAGGCGGCTGTTTAATATACTCGTATAACAAGGATTATTTATGATACCTTTAATTACTGACGACCAACTTCAAATAACAATATCAAAGCTATCACTCATTTCATCACAGGCCACTAAAATATATCTTACTTTCTATTACTCATTTTATAGGCCAGTGAAATACATCTATATTTAAGGTACTAATACTGCATTTGCAGGAGGTTGCGCCATTAGTAGTCTCTAATCAGTATTTAAACTATTTGTAATTATTTCAACGCAGACACATGCATGTTGGTAAAAAAAGCATACAAGATAGATGGGAGTTTACGTAATATTAAATCATCATTAACGGTAATTATAAGATATTTCACAGCTCCTTTCGTGACTAAGATTAGATGAAGAAACGTATTCTATTCTTCTGTTGTAACAATTAAACAATTGTTTGTAATTACTATTTAAGTTTTATAACTATACAAAATTCGAATGATACTTAACGGTGCAGTAAAATCTTGAGTTAACCGTTTCGAGGTATCGTACTGTATATTCAATTCAATTTAATCTAGTGGAATCTCCGTAAATAGGTGTGCTATCGTACATCACTTCATAGCACCAGTGTTACAATATATTGCATCTAGGAATTCATTGATAGCAGATCATTTATTGCAGCATTAACATTCCAACCATTTGATGCTAGCACTGATCGAATCACTTCTTCATCAATAGTTGGAAACATCCCCTTGATGCTTTCCACACTTGCAGTAGACTCATATGATGATGTCATCTGACTGATCTGTGCGTTCATATCATAACCCTGTCTGTTACTGGTTTGAGTAGGATTGGGTACGGCATGCTGTTGGACCGGAGAACCAGATGGAGGCTATTTTGAATATTTAAATATCCATTTTCAAACTTTTTAAAGAAGTTACCGACATGACGATCTGTCAGCTAAGAAAGCAACACCAATACATACATAATAGGATAAAATCAATTTGATCATTCCCTCTTTGTTCTCTCCTTGCTTTCCAGTTAATGAATACCAGTCTTCGACCGTTTCGTGATTCATCACAGCTTCAGGAATATTAATGTGCATCCACGCAATACGATCATCGCTAACAATGGACCTCTGTGGAAGACCCATATTAGTCTAATCATATATTCATCACTCATTGCATTGTTTTTCACTAACCTCACTATAAATCTCCAGATATATAGAGTCTACACCTGATGGAAGCGGACTATATTCCAGCAAAATCAGAATATCATTAAATGGTAGCTCACGTGTCATTCATTATAAACATTTCAATAATTAATTGAACCATCGTAGCACTTTTACAAAGGATTATTGCTTACAAAGTGAATGTCTTATTCCATCTTGGAGTTTTAGAACCATTGCCATCCGTTGGTGTTTCCATAACATTGTGGCCTACTCGAATTTTACAGTATGGGTCCATGCGGGTATATCCATAATTCTTAACGAGCTTTGCCTAAAAACAAAAATGATCTCCACAGTTTCTCTATTTAAGTATTTAAAATGTGACAGATCATAAAAGATTACGCACACGCGTAATATGCAACTTGCGGAAACTTCAAATGTATGTTAAAAAATACTGAATCGTCATCGTTTTCATATGCTACTCAGTTTAGTACCATAGTGTATGTTGTACAATGAACGTCGCATTAATTAATTACATCAACATCTAAAAAGCCATCACTTAAAGAGATTTACGCGTATACTGTAAACAGAAAAGTATCGAAAGTTCATTAGAAAAGTTTGCAATTTCGAAATCAGTATAGTTGCAGTACCTGTGCTACTGTTATCTTTAGTGTTCCCTGCGTTTGCACAATCGGATAATAATTTATTGGCGAAAAATGAACTTGAGATTGGAACCCAGTCTGCTGGAAAGGAACAACAGGCCTTGAAGAAGATATTCTTAAAAAGTCATCGGATAAATTACCAGTTACAACTTTATTCCGCCATTTTTGTAATTGATTGTTGTGATTACTATTTGTCTGGGTAACCTCCATTTAGCAAACAGCTAATATTGGTAATTTCCTTAACTTTATTAACCTTTGTAAGAATAAATCGAAAGTAATTTAATAATATTTTATCGAAGAGAACGCTACAAGCTGATAGTTTGTAATAAATCGGCACGTAGAGAGCAGGGTTTGATTAGGGACTTGTGAGAGATCTTAGAGACAGTCCCGGTAATAAATTGGCCTGTACGAATTACAGTACAGTACAGTACACTGTACAGTATAACTTTGGTAAAACTAAAATTGTTAGCATACAGTACAGTACAGTAAAACTCAGACAACATGATGGTCACAGGACTTTATAGAGTACTGTACAGTGTGAAGTACCGTACGCTACAGTGTACAGTACTGTACTGTTAGCGAGTGCATCAGTACAGTACAGTGGCCTAAAGGGACAACTTAATCCTCGATAAAAATAGCTATTTCGGATGGTCTCTCAGAAATTTCACTCTCCCCCGTAGAAAATACGCTTTCCTCCAGAAAGTACGGGGGAAAGTGTAATTTCTGAGGGACCATGCGAAATAGCTATTTTTATCGAGCATTACGTTGTCCCTTTTGGGCCACCGTACATCGGGGACTTCTCAAGTAAAAATCCTTACCAAAGTCTCCTTTATGCACACTGTGCATGGTCCAATGTACTGTACAGTACAGTTATAACACACTCATTACAGCATATTGCACAACACTGATATACTGTACAGTACTGTATTTTTGTTATTGTTTTAAAACACTGTTCTTTTATTCCACTGAAGGGGACTTCTGAACGAAAATTTTTCTTCCTCCATAAGAAAAAAGACGGGACGGGACCCTTCACTATTCCGTTTCTTTTTTTGATTTGATTTCAGAATTTCAATTAGAATTGGAGGATTTCTGTTTAGTAGTCATTACAGTTGCGTATGGGCACTCTGCCTAGAATTACCTACTACTAACTGTGTGCAAAATCTTACATACGCATACAGTGTATAATAACGATATACAGTAATGTACACTAGTGTACAGTACAGTATATAGAGAGTAATAGTACTGTACAGAGTACAGTACAGTGTAAGATTTGAGAAATGTAAGAACGTAGATGTTGATGTTGACATCTACGTAAATGGGTGTGTATCAGACCTCTACACGAGCCGAACCATACGCCTATTAAAGTATTTCGTATTAACGTATTAACCTCTCTTGCCCGTACTGTGGTGTACAGTACTAAACTGTAAGTCTGTAAGTCCAGAGAAGTCCCGACACGTCACTAGTTCCAAGTACAGTTTGAAGTTCAGCTCCAATGGACTCTGTTTTAACGAAAAAAGCTGATTTTAATAATTATCAGAAGGTTAGGTGATTCTATACGGATCTGATTCAGATTTGGCAAATCACGTAAAAGCACAGTCTTGAGTCAGCATTTGCTTGACAAATAATACATAGTTAGCTAGTATGCGTACAGTACATATGTGATAGTTACTAAAAATATGGTTAAATCGCCATTGATAGAATTCACTTTTTTATTTTCTAACAAAAGTATTATGATCTCTGTAGAACTCAGACGAAATTGAATTACAATGGTGCAATACACGCACTGTATTATTTTCAGTTAACGAAACCGTCGGAACCCTTGCAAAAGCTCTCAAAATATTCGAGGTAACTTCACAACGATCGTCTTTAAGTTTTAAGTAAGATTTTCTGACGTCTTGTCTTGGATTAGGGCCTAGCAGCATGTCGCTTTTTTAAATTGATCAGATTAAGAAAACAATAACTTTCTTGTCGTACACGTAATTGTGATATCACATAGTTAACATTATCATACTTCCATAATTAATTAATAAGCACCGTTATACAAATTTACTACTATCTACCTTATTAATAATTATTTAAAGGCATTAGTGATTAGTTCTAACATTTTATACAGATCGAGAATATCAATCTTACGCACATTGAATCCCGGCCATCCAAAAAGCAAGCAGGATACTACGATTTTTATGTGGATTGCGAGTGCAGTAATACTGAAACCTTACAACGTGTTACGTCCAGACTGCAAGATTATGCAGTAAATGTGGGCGTTCTGTCAACTCAGCCTCTAAAAGATGATATTGGTGATAACTCGTCAGGTAAAACATTTTGTATATTAAATACAATGTACAATAACCGTATGGGCCCACCTTTGCGATCTCGCTAAATATAAAATGTTGTCAGCGTTAAAGTAACTAAGAAATTACAATTTATTTACCTCCTTAGTGCCATGGTTTCCGAGAAAAATATCTGACCTTGATAAGTTTGCAAATCGTATACTATCCTACGGTGCGGAATTAAATGCAGATCATCCGGTAGAGTCTTGCATACTGACACGTTATCTAAAATTTCTTATTTTTACTGATTTTAAAAAGGGTCAATTTACACTTTGATAGGGATTTAAGGATGCGATTTATCGTGCACGACGAAAGGAATTCGCTGATATTGCTTTCAATTATAAACAGTAATATCAATATTGAACCAATATCGTGCAGCTTTAAATTTATGACTTCCAATTTCTGTCATTCTTATTGTACATCAATAGCCTTTATTAATTTATTCGTATAAGCAGCATATAAATATAATACAGTAAATGTATAATTTGGAAATATCTACTTTAATTACTAATTGCGTCGCAAATATTACTTATTGCAGTGGTCAACCAATCCCTCGAATCAAATATACTGAAGAGGAGATAAAAACTTGGTTAGCATGTTATCTAAGTATAAAATTTTCATACGATATATATTAGATTATAGTAACAGACGTAACTCCAATCGAAATAGGAATACCATTTTTAGTAAGCTAACTACCCTTTATCCCACCCATGCTTGTGCTGAGCATTGCCATGTTTTCCCCTTGCTAATGGATAATTGTGGTTATCGGGAAGATAATATTCCGCAGCTGGAAGACATATCTAAATTTCTTAAAGGTGAAAACAGGTCTAATTTTGTACGCGTAATTCTTTTCTTTATATTACCAGTGTCTTATCGTTTAAGTAACTCTGGATGCGAAAAGGCAATTTTGGCTTACTTAAAATTTCTGATTTGTAAACCTATTTTAGATTGTACCGGATTTCAAGTTAGACCAGTCGCTGGTCTCCTTTCTGCACGGGATTTCCTTGCCGGATTAGCGTTTCGGGTTTTCCATTGTACTCAGTATATTAGACATCCAACAATGCCGTTATATACGCCGGAGCCGTAAGATGCAATTACACTAAATGGTTTATATTTAGGTTAATGCTAAGTGTTTAATACACCTCCGCAGTAAAACTTCTATTTTCTCAAATTCACTTTAAGAGATCTGTGTCATGAAGTCTTAGGCCATGTCCCCCTATTTGCAGATGGGAACTTCGCTCAATTTTCACAAGTGAGATAATGAGTGTCTTGAGTATTTTCTATGCAATTTTTAGAATATGCTACGTAACTCATCAAAGGTACTTCGCTTAAATAGGAGATAGGCCTTGCTTCTCTCGGTGCACCGGATGAGTTTATAGACAAGCTCTCTACGGTATTGTTAACTGAGAGCTGTATTTTAAACTGCATTGTATTTATGTAGCCCTACAGTTCTTTAAGATATAGTAGTAAACCCTTTCTCTATTCTGCATAAGCTCTACTGGTTCACTGTTGAATTTGGACTCTGCCGTCAAAATGGAGAAATTAAAGCGTATGGTGCTGGTCTCCTATCATCGTTTGGTGAACTGGAAGTAAATACATGTAACAATTCATTTAAGTATAAATTTTTTAATAAGTAAACCTGAGAAGTATCCTTAGTATTGATTGTCGTATTCGAATAATGTATGTAATGGAACCGTATTTATGATACATCATATTAACATAGATCTATTCTTAGTACTGCCTCAGTGAGAAACCGAAAATCCTACCGTTCGATCCAGACAAGGTATGTTCAACAACATACCCGATAACATGCTATCAACCGACATATTTTCTGGCCGAGAGCTTTGAAGACGCCAAAAAGAAGTTAATGTATGATGTGATAATTGCACTTGTTCAAAGAACTGACTTTTGCATCCACGTACACCTATTAAAGTAAAATTTTAAATGCTGTGATAACTGAATTTTAGTGCCTTTGCCAGGAAGATACCAAGAATCTTCAATGTGCGTTATGATCCTTATACCCAATCGATTGAAGTAATCGATAGCAAAGAACAAATATTGCACCTTATTAATGATGTCCAAGAGGAAATGGATATCTTATTCACATCATTAAGACAACTATCTGTATCCAGTAATTAAAATATCTTCCACTAGAAAACTTGGTTACCTGCAAACATAATTTACAATAAGAAATTTTCAAACCATATCGTATTTGTAATTTTTGATAATTGATAATACTATGGGAATATTTAGAGATTGCTATGATTGATCCGCAAATGAAGCACACTCGGTTTAAATTCGAGCGTTAGCCATCCGATAAATGATGCATAATAATATTAATTCATTAACCGAGTACACGTATCGTTACTGTGCAATTTGTTTGATCTTTCTGTCAATGAACTAAGTGGTTAAATTGTATCAAGTAGCCTAACTAATGAGCTGCTTGATAGCTTTATGCTTAGCGTACGATTGACGGAAAATCTCTTATGATACTGGACATACATGGGTATGCCTATATATAATTAATACACGAGTACTGCTTATAGTATCACAACCAAGTAAAAATTATAACTTTAGTATCATTACATTGCAGAAACAATGATCTTTTCAACCATATGAAAATAGACTTATCTCTAGTTTTGCTCGCATGTTACTACTTAATCGATACGCATTTAAGACGCAGGTATGTAGCTTCGCGTATTTTACTCAGTAACGCTAATAAAACTCACGTATTCCTGAATGAAACTGTAAATCTTTACATCAGATTATTTCTTCATTAATCAATTTATATCATTACGATGAAGAAATATGCGTAAATGTTCTAATGATACGGATGCGCAAGAATCTTAGAGTATCTTTGTTTACGACGGATTAAAGTCAGCGCTGCTTGAATATTTATCAATACTTGCTGCAGCATTATCTGTAAAAATATCACAAAAAGCTATGTTGTCGGCTTTAAAATTCACTCAGTTACTGATCAATATTCGTTATTTCTAATATAAACTAAACTAAATAGTGATACTTGTAGTACATACGATAAATGGAATATTACGTACTTTGTTAAATGTTAAATACACTTCGAACGAGGAAGATTCGACTTCATCAGTGACGAACAAAAAATAAAAAAAATTCGTTTATATTGATCATTGTACAGTAGTGCACACCTACCAGTAACAAGTAGCGCATATTCTGTTACCCCTTCTAATTCACAAAAGTGATGCCAACGAAAAAATGATTTTTACGGCGATTGTTGAATAACTTGCCTAAATCTGCTATCTGAAACATTAACATTCAGGCTAGTCTCTAGTTGTAACTTTAAAAGGATCATGCCATGAAAGTGCTTTTTAGGTATCTTAATGTGCAGATAATTGCTAAATCTGATGCCTGAAACATTTAATATCCAGATTCATCTTAGTATCATATATAAATGCATTCAGATGCATGCTTCCAAGATCGAAGAAAATCAATTTTTCTTCATTTGTATTTAAATAAAAAACTGTACCACACAATGTATACAAGTAGTCTGTACAATGGTGTGCTAAGATTAGCACATTGTACTTTGCTGAAACGTGGCCGACTTTCACGATACCACAGCACATACTGCTACTAAAAAATGTGCTTTTAAGATATCTAAGAAATAACATAACTGCCTTACATGATGTAATCAATCAGGAAACTGTAATAAATAGTAAAGAATTAGGAACGTTACAATTCCAAAGGTTAAACATATTCCTAAATGCAGTAATATACTTCTATTTAGGTTGTACTAGGGGCACTTCACCGCCCAATTTAGTCAGGAAATGTAAATTGATATAATCCTACTGTACTGTACACGTAACTATATTGACTCTCAACACTATCATATAAGTTTCGTTAGAGAAAGCCAGGGCATTTATTCAGCTAATTTAGCTGAAGAATGTAGCATCATAAGAAAAGTTTGTGATTACAAAAAGTCATTAGTTCACTGATGCTCTAAATTATTTTTAAATTGTTACTTCTGCCAAAAATGAACATTCCATAAAGACATCTGACATAAATACGTTAAGATCAAACTATGAACGAAATCGAACAGTCTTGTATTTCGTTTCACTGAAGACGTACAGCATTAATGAACCCACGCCAGGTTTAATAAAAATTAGGAAAGATGCGAAAAGACTCATGTAAAATGAAATATTCATCGAAATCTCGGAACTTTCCCTCGTTGTTTTGGCCTTTTCTTTGAAGCTGCGATTAGTTTTCTATAAAGTCAGATGTTTGCCAAATCATAGTAAGAATAAAAGGTGCACCCATATATCAAATTATAGACATCCAAGGGTAAATTCCCATTTTACTTAAAGTGTACTACCTAAGAAACGATAAGTACCTTTTCCTTTCAGATTTCTGTAAATCATAAGACGCCACAGTTCGAATAGGATCGCGTTTAATTGGAATTTTAGTTGACTTCTTCTTTCGTCTGTAGAATTTTAACAAGAAATCAATTTCTTGTACGTAGGGCTCTAATTCGCAAGTAAAAATATTGTGCAATCCCACCTGTTAAGCATTTTATTTTGAAAAATCCATTTCGGTACATCGCAATTTGAAGCTTTCATAATGTTCGCAATACTACATCAGTAATGGTAACTTTTAAATGATTACTAATTATAATTTATTTATAATATATATTACATTCTATTAATAACCTTCGTAAATATGGTACGTCATTTTGAGTAAAAAATGTAACTGCTTTTCCTTTTCGACCAGCTCGACCGGCTCTTCCTAAATTCAACGGTGATTTAAAGTACCGAAATCAAAGGAAAATATTTCAACTACACCTACAATCATCGTATAAGCAGAAAATACACAAAATCATATCTATATTACCAACCAATACGGTGAATATAAGCAATCCCAGTAATCGGGAAATCGTAATTTATAACCAAGTTTACTCCTTTAAAATCAATACCGCGACTCATCAACTCGGTTGCAATTAGAATCCAAATCTGCAATTAAGAAAGTAATTAACTGCGCAAAATAAGTCCGCAAATCATTCTTCAGAATTTACACTAAGCTTCAAAGAGTTCTTTACCTTTCCTAAGCGGAAATTTTTGACCACGTTATCCCTCTACAATGGCATATTTTTGAAAAATACTTGTCTATTACGCAGAATTCCAAAAGCTAAAGCTTATACCCATATGCACGATATCTTAAATCACCTGTGCTTGTGTTCTATCTGAATGAATTACTTCCACATTTATTCCATCATAAATCAGTTCTTGAAAAAGTTGCTTAGCTCTTTCTTTGTCCTGAACAAACACAAGTGCCGGTGGATCAAAATCCTGCGAATAAAAAAGATTTTATATTGCATAATAAAGTCATGTCAATAACTACAGTCTGCTGTCCTCAAAACCTAACACCAATAATATAGAAGTATAGTGCAATCCACCTTCCTAATAATGTCTCGTAAGGCTAGCAACTTGCCGTCTTCCTGACCAACAAATTTAAGTTCTTGACTGACTGTTTCTGCAGCTGCGTTTCTTTAGATAATCAAGAGAATATATTAAGATTATACTATTCTATAACTTACTGCTCATTTCAACACCAAAATATAAAACACACTACTATGACCTGTTATAAATTTGTTATCAATTAAGAAGAGCTCGGCTACCGTAGGCTTACCTTCGGCCAACTATGACATGTAAAGGATTATCTAAATGCGACCTACACCAATTCTCAACCTCAAAAGATAATGTAGCACTAAACAATGCCCGACGCACTTTCGGGTTATTACAATAATTATAAATTATTCCAACCTAAGAGGGTTTAAAAGCAAATGCATCATGCCGGTGATCAGGTTTTCGCGCAGAAATGATAAAATGATGATCAAACCAACCTGCTCTCTAAAGCTGCTTCTACCACTTTCGAAAAACTTATCCGCTTCGTCAAATATTAATAATTCCACACTACAAAATTCCAGGTTAAACAATAGATAATTTAAAGATTATGGTGTTCATAATGATGCTAAACAACAAGCCACAATATACAGTAGTATAACAACCTGCTAAGATCAATTGATGCCACTGTTGAATAGTTCCGAGACAGACACTGGATTAAGCGACTTGGTGTCGCAATTAATATATCTGTCATATATATATATAATATATACAGTACTAGTCTCAGTTTGTTATCCGTTGCATATGCTTATTCAAGCATAAGTATTATTCTAACAGTTTCGAATATTTAAAATACATGGATATCATCCACTTTTTCTATTCGAATCTCAATTTCTTGTTACCGTATCGCTTTGATGATTGCAATCCGAAATTGTTACTGGTAGCATTGCATTTTTTTAGATAATAAACTTTTAATCCAGATCCTAAAGCAATCCTATTACATTCCTGATAAATCTAAATTCATCCAAATAATTACAGTTATAATTATAATTAGTAGTAGCTGTAATCCATAATTTGTAAAAAATTTCTGGAAACTGCGTTACACAGTACAATAACGGCCTCTTTGCTCGACCGATTATGTGGGCTGCGAGTAAAACTTATGCTCTTTAACTAAAATAAGCCTAGATTTACTATGCCTTTACCTGTTTCGCTAGTTCCCTAGTCGGAGATAATATCATTGTTCTGAAACCTTTATTCTGTGTCGACTGCGTTAGCAGGTAATTATAGAAATTTCACGAAATTAACCAAAGAGAAAATCTTCTAGGTAGTTTGTAATCTCATTTAGTATATAAATCTGATTAAATCAGCTAGTCGTATGCATCGCTACTAAAACTCACTTTCAATGTCAGTAAAACTGGTAAAATAAAAGCTAAAGATTTTCCGCTTCCGGTGGGAGCGCAAGCCAATAATTCTCTCTCCTGTCACACAGAAAACTTGAGTAGTTTTAGCAACATTGGACCAGAATCATAAGTGAGCAAACTATAAAATGAGCAATATAGCACTGAAACAATGCAAATATTACCCCCAATATTATCGGAATCGATTGCATCTGCACGGGCGTAGGCTTTCGATAACCATATTTGGCTAAATTATCCAATAGATATGATCGTGCGCCATACCTACAAAAAAATCTATGTTAATGCGGAATACTGTACAGTACATGTACAGTATAGTATTGATGGCATGCATACTTGCATAGCTTTCAACTTTTCTTACAGTTAGTTAAAAGACATAAGAATGATATAAAGCACGATACAAGTAGAACACACTAACGTTTTACGAAGCTCTTCAAAGTTTGTGATTGGATCCGGAATATCAGGACCATGTACAAAAATACTATTCTCATGCCGAATAAGGTTAGCCTGATATTTTTACACGTGGTTTAAGCCATTATTATTCTACATTCTTGTCACAATACTGTATGATCATTTAATTAATTATAAACATAGAATGTACCCTATCTGATGTAATGTTATCCTTTATAACCCTAGTTCCTGTGAAAAATTTAAAATAATTGCAAATCAATCTTACAGCAGATCAAAGATGTCAATCTTGTCATACATAAAGCCTTAAAGACTGCAATTCGGTACCGGTTTCAAATGGAATCCCTTTGCTATGAAACACTGCCTTGTGATTTTTAACTTGGAAGTTATCAGGTATGGACTCTATGACACCTGATCTTAAATACTTATCTTGCAGCCCACCGGTATTTGCAAAAAAATTTAGGTTTTGTTCAATATTTTCTGTGCTACCGTCAATTTCAACCTCAAAAGCAAAAACAAGATATCCAAGTTTAGCTATCACTTAGAATCAATTAAAGTAAATGTAACAGTAAGAGTACAGTAACTTGTCAACTTCAACAGAAAGGAACCCTTTAGACTGTAATATTAATATTGCGAATAACGGTACCTGCTTCAGTCGTGCACCAGACTCCCGTAATGTAGTGCCAACGGCCAACTTTGAATACTGTTTGTTAGCCATTTTTCTGTTGGACTGTCACTGCCTTGAAATTTATAAGACTGTGCGCTTAGATTATATTATACAGTACTGTACTGTACAGTACAGTACAGTGCTGTGTTTTGCAATACACTTACAGTACTTGATCTCCACTACTGTATACTGTACTGTACTTTAATTGATTATGAAAAATTTTACCATAGGAATTAGTATGAGAAATTAAGTATAGGAATTAGTATGTGAAATTTGTTATATAGGATTTAGTATACGAAATTTCGTTATAGGACTTAGTATGAGAAATCTTGGATAGGAATTGGTATGAGAAATTTTATTAGAGGAATTAGTATGAGAAATGATTTAAATACTGTACTGTACTGTACTGTACTGTATATACAGTAGTATTGTTTTTGCTGTAATACATACAGTACAGTATAGATGTTATATAGCTATCTCGTGATATCGATCTCGTAGTGTGTATTTGCAATATATCTTATTCTGAATCATCTGCATATCGTGTTTGATTATTATCCTACGTAGCCTTGGATCTACTATACTGTATGACCTCCCACATTACAAATATGCCGCAATTTGTTGTCGATTAACTCAATTAAATCCTAAATCCTATTCTGAATTCAATATACTGTAGTTTCCGAGATTATACTGTACTGTACTGTACTGTACAGTAAAATAAGATTATTTACAGTACACACAGTACAGTATAGTACTGTACAGTACTGTACTGTACACTATTTACGCTAAGTATCTGAGTAATCGGGCTTATTATGGCTGGGCCTACTGTACTGTACAGTACTGTACAGTACAGTCTACAGTATGAATTCTCATTTCATAGTACTGTAGATAAATGGCTCAGGCATGACTCAGGGCTATCACGTAAGAAAATTTATCAGAAAATTTATTACTTACTTCTATTAAAAATCTATGCCACTATACGTATTCAATTTCCGAATTATAATCTTTGAAAAATTTGAAATATGAGAAAATTCTCTTTGTAATAAGCCTTAAGAGATGTTCTAATGTTTTAGCACTACATGATGCAGTGTATCATTCTTAGGATATATTTTGCAATAGTGTACTACTGCATACAGTACTGTATATCAACAGATCAATTACACAATTCCTTTAGCTACAGCGTTATCTTTCCCGCGTTAACAAACTAGATTTGTATTTAGCGTTCGACGTACAGTAGTTTGTAATAACAGGTTATACGTATTTTGAAAGTGTCATCATCATTGATTTATCGTCGATAATAATGGATACTGTCCAATAGGTGCTATAACTAGAATATCCCACTCTTAAGAGACTAAAATAATTCTGTGTAATACTATCACCGTCACTCAAGCGACAAGTGCTTTACTAGCACTAGGCAATTATTGATAGGGTACTTTTCTGGCCGTTTATTTGAAAAGCAGGTGTACTAGTATAACCAAACAAGTAAGTAAAAAGGCCATTACAAAAATTGAGCTGGGCATTGTGATAAGTGAAACCGACAGAACAGCAATTTCTTTCATGGATTGCTGTTTTTATATAATTAATCCCTACAACAGAAAAATACGACACATGATTTGATAACGAAAAGCTAGAAAGGAATCTACAAGTATTTGCACATGTAGCAAGAACTTTATTGAAGCTCTTACAATTATAATCAACAATTACAGGTTAGATATATCATGCTGCCACATATATGGTAATGATGAGGAGCTATATTACCTATCAGACTTGCATTGTACAGGCTTAATACATGAAGTGTCTAACACAAAGAACGACAGCAGTGTGGCTGTACGGACAGATCTAATCCGTACAATATACGAATCATTAACTGTATTTCTAACTGTCGCTAAAGTAAAATGCACTGGTTTCTTTTAAATCCTGAATCGCACAACATAAAAACACGATCCAAAGTGCACTAGCACATTTTCTCATTTTTATGGTGGCAACTATTTACCTTGTTTTTTCAAGGCGCTCGGATTTCTCAGGATGAAGACTTTTATCCGGACTATCTATTTGTCGCTCCCTACTTCCACTACGCCTTCTTTTCTTAACGTAGTGTACATTACGATCAGTTTCTACATTAGTACTACGCTTTCTATTCTTACTGCTTTTAGTTTTTTTGTCCTCATAATACGACTCGTCACTACATGAGCTTTGCTCCCTCTTCCTAGATTTATCAAGACATCTTTCCTTGCTTAAACTGTATCTACTTTCTTTTTTATCGACAGATTTGATTTCGTCATAGTCATTGCGTTTTTTATCTCTACTCCTACTGTATTTATGATCTCTATCTGAGTATTTTTCTCCACTACGATGTCTTTTCTTTGAATGACTACTGTGAGATCCTTCGTCTTTGCTTCGTCTAGATCGATCTCTACTTCTGCTTCTCCTTCTCCGCTCATAACTATGACCATACTTCAATCTTTCCTTACTGGCGCTTTCACTGGCTTGCTCTTTACTTACATGTTTCTGTTTTACATAGTCGTCTGTTCTACTATGAAGTTCTTCTTTAGATTGATGTGGACTTAGACTTGCTCTGTTTCTATCACGGTCTCTATCTCTAGTTTTACTGTTCTTAGTGAGCTGAATTGTCTCAAAGTTGCCACTGCGATCGGAACTCCTACGTCCTGTAGGAGATTGTCTATCGTAACTTCGAGATCTCAAGGTCTCCTGAGTTTTTCTCTTGATCTGCCGATAGTTCTCTAATTTATTCCTAATGTCCTTTTGTACAGGTACAGGTATACGAGGAAAATATGTACTGAACCATTCAAGTTTTGAAAGCATTGTTTCGCATAACTCTCCAATAGTAATCAACTGTCCACCACCTGCTCTAACATCGAGCTCCTGATATAGAATATGCAATATTTATCTTGAATTAATGGCACTAGGGCTCTAATAATTCTTATATACTTGTACACAGTAAAATTTAAACATGAATAAGCTTTAGAACTGCTAAAAAGCTATATCGTTAGTGTATCTAACCTCATTATCCTCAAGGTAAGATTCATACCAATCCCATAAGTCGGCCGGTGGTTGAGTGTATCTGCGTATATGTACGTTAATAGGATATCATTTTATTATCATATTTGTTCTCCTAGGTAATATAAAACACGCTACCAAGATTATGGAACTACATGTAAATCTTACTCTGTATCTAGCTACTACTATAATTATGAGGATTGACTCCTTTATAATGAAGTACGATTGCTACCTGATGTACATAAAACCAAGACCGCGAATATAAGGAGAATCAGAATGCGTTAATAAACCATTAACCTGTTTGCGTGTTAGACGCAAAGTAAATAATTTATAAAGTAAACAATAAGCGGTTGATACAATTCCGCCAGTTCCAACACCACGAACCTGTAATGATAAGTAAGGCTTAATTAAAACCGCAAATCTTTGAAACATGCTTACTAAAACTAGTTATAATGACTCCCATTGTGCGATACCGTAGTAGAAAATTGTTAGTACTATTAGTATAGACTACAAAAACAGTATTACATGATTCAATCTTCCGAAATGCTAATACAAGTCGATGCCATTTTGTCTACATTATGTGACTGCATTGAAATTCAAATTTTACTACGTTTTCAAGTACATATATTCACATGTTGCGGTTAAAAAAGGTGCAATCGCAGTGATCTCATAAGATCGATCCGCTACTAAGTTATTGGTTCACTCAAAAGTTATTCTTCAATTTTTTGATATCAGGCTTGATAAATAACCGCATATCGAGACCATTAACACTTAGTATACCGTACAACTACAGGATAATTCGATATTTCGCGAAACACACCGCACAAGTTACTATAAATAGATATGGTTTAAGCAAGTGCGCGTTCTATGAACCGCTGAACTAGGATTAACATACAGTACTACCTACTACCTACTTTTTGCCTGTAATTCAAAACATTGGATAAATGAAAGTAATCTAGCTGGTAACAGTTGCGTTTCGTAATGCAATACTGTATACCAAAAGAGCACTTAATAATGATACGGTAAATCGCGCCACAGTAGTGCAAAACAGTTCTTACATGATCACTGTATTTCATCCAATTTACAAAAATACGTATAGATTTATCACAGTTTTCTTACTTACTCCGCCACACATTCCGACTTGATTTGACAAATTTCTGCTACCTCTCTCCCACGGCTCCAAATGGTTTACCTTCAACACCAAACCAAATTACGTGCATAAATATAGATATGGATGCATTAACAACAATAAAATGAAATTATAATTTTCCTTACACAATAAATTTAAAAAATAAAAGTAATATTCAATATTAATACAGTAGTAATAATATCTATTCGATAGATCACCATCCAATTGAACTTATCGTATAATCGAGTCGGACGAGTTGAGAATTACAGCATTTAAGTAGATGTAATGCAGAATATAAAGGAACATAATTTACAAACCTTATAATAGATTTCGTCCACGACTTCATGATATGTTTTCAAGGTAAATAGTTCGTTCTTAAAATACGGAGAAGAGATTATATTAGTATAAACCATATTATTTAAGTTCATCGTCTTTTCACTTCCGTGGAAAGGTAAAACATTGCCTTTATTCTTGTTTTTCTTGCGTCCGCCATCTTCTTCCGCCATGATGAAACGAACGGCGTAACTCTACTGTACTCTACTGTACAGTACTGTAGTTGTCAAAAGTTTTGATCGTACTGTACTGTACTTTACACCTAAAAGTTTCCTGATTACAGTATGAAGTCGCTCTACAGTACAGTACACTTGAGACGTTTCAGCGGTACTTTCGACGTTATTTGTACTGTACTGTACATCAATTTAAGAAAGCTAAGCGGTCTGAGGTACTGTACGGTACTGTACCTCTAAAAGTACTGTACTGTACAGTACACGGTAAAGTCAGATTCAGTAAATCTTTTAAACTGTAAGCTACTGTACACTGTACAGTAGCTTAACTAGCTTTATTTATCCGATATCATGCTTCCCGTATACTGGATAAAAATCAACTGGCAGAACCAACTTTACTTTAGTTTAACTTTTATAATATCAATTAAATCAGCAGCAGTATAGCATACAGATCACGATTAAATACTTTTACGGTAGTCGGGAAATGTCTAGCACTATTACAATAGCTGAATCGCTAGAAAATGGAGAGAATAACGACGAACAGGAAGAAGCAAATACTTCACGCAGTCAGTTTCGGGTAACACGAGCTCAAGTTATAAGGCGCCAACTATCGGCAAATCCGGCTCATTTACCAGTTTCAGAACAAGAGGTAATTAATGAAACAAGTAGCATATTTCGTAGTTTTGTTGTCGAAAGCTACCAGGCCGAACGGGATGGTGGGATTATTGCAGAAGAAGTTCGTTCTTTTGCGGATCAAGTACAGTCATCTAGCAATCAAACGATCACACCATCATCTCCTACATCTGAAATAGGACGCCATTTAGCGCAGCTGGGTGACTCATATAGTGTCCGTTTCCAAAATGAATTTCGATTGATGATAACGCATTTAGATATAAACCCAGGAACAGCCTACAGAACCTTTGCTGGTGTTGCTAGACGTTTATTTCGTGATGGTATTTCTTGGCGACGAATTGTCACTCTTATGGCTTTCGGATATCAGATAGCTATAGATGTTATGCGAAGTGGAGTTCAGGGCTTCTTAAGTCGAATATGTAATTTTATCGTAAGATTTATCTCCGGCGAGCACATTGCCAATTGGATAGCAAGGCAAGGAGGCTGGGTAAGTAATATCATTTTTATATGCGAACTATCGCACTATATTGAATTAGTGAGTTTTTCCATGGTACTTTGTATAAAGTGCACTTCGAGGTACTGTACTTACAGTTGACTGAACATTAAATGCGGGGACTAATAAAAAGATGTATGTCTGTTCTTAGAAGTACCTGTTAAATGCACTACACTGTACAGTACTTGTACAGCATTGCTCAATTATTAGTATAGTTACGATCATTGCATTGTAAACTATTGTAACTTTTGAATTAACTTGCTTTATCACAAGCGTGCAGCTCGATACGAAGGACTTGCTTCGCCTGGGTGGCCGGCAATTATTGGTGTGGCTACAGCAGCGGCTGCATCTGTATTTGGTGTCCTATGGCTTTCAGGCTATTTTAGAGAATAACAGCACAATACTTATACATCCAAAGTAGATATTGGCACTTTATTCTTTGTTTATAAAAAATGAGTACACAGTTTTAAACACTGGTCAGTACGGACAGTATATGTGTATAATGTTATATCAGAACATGTGAAAAGTTCTTATTTCTATCGAAATAATTGTAAATAGAATCAACATTTTTTATATGGATGTCATTAATTAAAGGTCTGCTTACATTACTTTGTATCCTTTATCTACATGCACAAGTTATAAATGTCTTCATTAATCAGATCTTAATGCACGTACACATGACAAATCATAATTTAATTTACTGATTCGTAAAGGCATGACTGCTAGGAGTATCTAGTAGTTCATGTTAAAGGTATTTTGTAAATTGATAATTCGTAACAGAGTAGAATCGTAAATATCTGTACATGTAAACACACTATGAATACAGTCAATAACAAGGTACAAAAAATATTTGAGTCTACAGCATATTAACTAATCAAAGCTGATATGTATTATCACTAGAGCTCAGAGTATCGGTAAAAGTTATTGCAATAGAGTTAGCCTTATAAATTGAGTAAATGAAAAGTTTAAAAACTTTAACATTTACTGTGCTTATCGGTATTTATGAATCAATACAATAATTAACCTGTGTAACCCGTTACTAATTGTTAAATACTTATATTTTCGATAAATAATAATAAATAATGAATGCAAAATTGTGAATACGTGAAAACGCATATATGCATGCTGCTGATAGACCTAAAATTCTGTTATGAGATATCATGGAACAGTAAATGATTGATTAATACATAAGCAGTAACATCGCAGAATTAGTTAGTTGGCCATATTTTAATTGATGTATAACAGATTATGCATGAAGTAATAAATGTTGAGAGTAAACCTAAACATCCAGTCTTTGAGATATTTGCGCTTGCAACATCACGAACATTCTGAATTCGATAGAATAGGATATTTTCAGTAAGCTGACACTGAACGAAAAATCGCGTGCTAGTTGTTAAGTAAGAACGAATTATCGATTCTAAAAATCCAGCGCAGGCCGAACATAGCATTAATGGCCACTGTGGAGGATAATTCGACCAGATTGACGAAGAGGTACACAAGCATAAGGAAAGGTAATATGTAATTCCTATCAATAAACCTCCAACAGCACCTGTTAAAGTACCCAAAATTGCAATAGCTTCATTGGCTCGTAAAGGAAGCATTCCGAAGGTAGAAATCAAATGAGGCGATATTCTTCCCGAGGTTAGTCTGACCTCTGTCGCCAAAGTATCGCCAGTCCAGCAAGCCCATGATGTCATGACAGCTATCCCGAGGATAGAGGCGTTATAATGTTTCGAGAAATTAATTGGTAATTCACCTAAACCAACAGTGACGGCGTAAAAGTATGACAGCAAAGCTGATAGTCCTCCGATAAAAATCATTTGATACCAGTTCTTCTCGCCAGCTAGAGAATTGAGTGTGCATCCAGTACATAAGAATAAAAAACATCTGCAATGAATATCCTGTATATTTCTTCATACGGTGCCTGTATTCAAACAGTACAACCTGCTACCTTAGCTAACACTTAGTAAAATATATTGCCTATCTTAAACATACTTATGTAGATACGATCTCCATTTAGTATTCATCAATGACTGATAAAAGCACATTACGTATTTAACACCAAATCCGTAAAAAATTAAAAACGGTTTTACGAATTAAGATACACTTGCAGTGCCTGTTATTGACAGCCAGAGTATTTAAAGCTAGTATTCAAACATTCGTATCTTCGAATAATAGGCTAGAATAGACTACTAGAAATAAAGTATGGTAAACAATACGATGCTGTAAAGATAGGAAGCATGATCATAACGCAACACCGATTGTACACTAAATTAAAGACAGCCCACCCCCGTAATTACTGTACGAAAAATTTACTATGAGAAGTTAAACATACAGTACTGTAACTGGAGACATTTTACATAGAAATTCTGCGCAAAATGACTGAGGCTGGTATGCTATGGAGCGTCACATCTTTGATTAATTAGATAAACTGAGACAATATCAAAGTAATTTCATATACGCGTACTATGGATAGCATTAAATATATTATCATAATATCATAATTTAGAGGAATCCTGAAAGACGTTAAGATAATTTACGGTTAGCTGGAGAAACAAGTCAACATTCTAATTTCCACTAGAAATTGAATATGATCGTACATGTCAGCATACAGTATATAGGCTTTCTATGGCAGTATTGCATATTATACGAAACTAGAATTTTTGATTGCACTTACCACTAATATCAGTGTACCCGTTTTTACTTTTCACTCTAAAACTGATTGATTTTATTGCAATGAATAAATACGCAGCAAAGCTGAAGAAGAAGCAGCTACTAGTCAAAATGAGCACAAATCCAAGTATAGAGCTTGATATAGCCCCTGAGAAATTCAAAAGCCTTAATTCATAGCATTTTGTAGCTACGATTACGGGAACATAAGTACATATGAACCAACTAATAGGGGTAGTTCTCGACCACAGCAAATCATAATTTATAGACAAATTCTGTTCCGTAATAATTGATGAGATGAACCAAAAGAACATGGATAACGGAAGAGATGCAATAAAAAAAATGAAATAAATGAGCATATCTACTGAAAGCGCATACGAATTGTCTATTTACAAAAAGAAGTTCATACGTTCATACCACATTCACATCATCTACGATGAATAAAATAAAATAAACAAATAAATGCTATAGTAAGGAGCTTGAGGTAGAGTAGCTCGTTATGATTCGTATTCGTTCCAAAGTGTACAGTATATACAGTATTGTACAGTACAGTAATATGTTCAGCCAGGAAAATTGTAGATATACTGTATATTCACTATTGTACGCGAAGTATAACGAACGAAGGGTCTACTAGTAATTAATTGATTATAATAGCTTGCCGATGCTACGATTACTGTACTGTACTGTAGTTTACATTACAGTACAGTATATCGATAAGCGCAGTACAGAACTGTACACTGTACAGTACGATGTATTGCTGAAAAACGAAACCTTACGCCGAACGAATAATAATTTAGCTAAACTCTTCAAACTATTGACTATAAAATTTTTTCGAAATTACTTCAGCTAAAATCTAACGAAGACTAGTTTAAGAGGGGGAAGTGGAGGAAATTCGAATGCTTTAGTCAAATTCTTCATAGTAGATAGCAATGGTATCATACAGGATACGATACAGTAAGTCCAGGTACAGTTGTACACTAAATGTACAGTACAGCACGCGAAGGCCGCTTTGAAGTGTACAGTACTATACAGAATATAGGCTACAGTACTATAAACCATAGTTTTAGATTCACACGGTACAGTACACCGAGTACGGTTGAGTGACACAACAGATCGACTTCGGTGCGCCGTCCGTACAACTGTACCTGGACTCTATCGTATACCGTATGATATCATCGCTATGAACTACTGTAATATTAAAAATGAGATGGAAGCATCCGAATTTCCTCCACCTCACCTTCTTAAAAGAATCTTCGCTAGATTTTAAACAAAGTAACATCCAAAAAACAATCATTGTCGGTAGTTTGAAGAGCTGAGGTAGATAATTAGTCGCTCGGCGTGAAGTTTTGTATTTCACCAACACACCCTACTGTATAGTACAGTAGAGCGGAATGACAAAGCGTAACTGTCAGGCAGACGGACAAATAGCTTTGCAAAATACTGTATACAATATATACCGTATAAAGATGTTTATATGTTTAGTACAGTAAGCTATATTTATAGAAACGTTAATAACATAGTTATACCCTTTTAGGAGTCCCTACCTTTATCAGGTCCATCCATACTCAATGCAGAAAGGGCACGATAATAGTTAATTATACTATACTAACATCAAATTAATTGTCTCAGGGATTGCGCTGTTACGTAACAGTGACACACTAGCCGTATATTTCACTTAAAACTCCTTTTTTGTATCGGTCTGTTCAAAATTTCCACTTTAAGTAATAATAGAAATTCACTTATTAATTACTGTATACTGTACTATAATATACGAAATTGAAAAATTAGTTAAATTTGTTATCTGTTGACTAGTTTTAGTACATTACTAGTACTTATATAATGCATCAATAACATAGCAAAAACACTATCGGACACACACGTAAAGTACACTTGGCGGTTTCTATAATTTCTAAAATTACAGTAATTCACTTGCGGTGGCTACTCAATAATGAGTACAGTATGAACATCGATATAACTGCGCGTACTAATGAAACTACCCACTAAACCCTAGATTGACATACCTATCTACTCCGAAGAACTTCTATGAAATTGTAAGCTAACATACGTAAGTTAAAGTCCTAATAGAAATAAAAAATGAGTTAACATAAACTTTAAAACTAAAGCGCTTATACACCTTAATGCCCGTTAGCATAAAACGGTCTTCCGTATGCGTATAAGTATACTGGTACAGTGTGATAATAATATTGAATTACTGTACTCTCTCACTCAATAAATAGAATTTATTTATCTCACCTAGTTATACTGTGCTCAGTTCAAGTACGTTCACAGCGTATGATTGGACTACCGATACTAACAATTTATTCCATATATGTTAGGTTATCAAGATTCTCCAATCGCAGATAATTTATAAAATCTACCACATTGTTAGACCCATCACAAATTATAATGCTATAATTACTTTACGCAGGTAGTCCATGCTTCATTACGAAGATAAAATCAAGGCTGAAATTACAATTAAAGAACTAGCAGCATTACCGACAGACATGCGGATCATTTATCATTAAAGTAACATTCATTGAAGGATCATCAACTAACGAATTCTATCGGCGTATGATTAACTAAAATAAGTTTTCATTTATGGATATTTCCAGTAACTAATATCAAAGTATCGCAATTTATCCGTCAACAGAATGAATCTATGATTAAATTCATACAATATACCATGCAATTATAGCAAGCATGCGAAAAAGTAAATCAAATCAAATCAAATTTTTCCCGTACGCATAAACGTAGATTATTATGCTGCATAAATTTTAAACTCAGTGATGAATGCCAATTACATTTCCCAAAGACCAAGGCCTGCGTCATTACAAGCCTGCCTGCGCCTAAAAAATATCATGATTACAATTAAAGCCCTAATACCCTCAATGACGTCATACCTAATATTACAACTTACGGTTAAGACAATAAAAAGATCAATACATTGAACTCACTTTTCTATTTAATCCTTCTCTGATTCTTCTACCGTACTCAGGGTCAACTTTCGAGAAGTTTTCGATAGCCCGCTCCTGTAAAAACGATTGTGCCATACATAAATGTCCCACAATATTATTAACCAATGCTGTTCTCTCCTGCTCATTAAGAACTTTTCGCCAAAATACTGTCACTTGTGTAAAATTATCATCATCTGCTGTATTATAGCGTTTCACATCACCGATAACCTACATACCGAAACAAATATCAAATACGTTACTCATGATCGAAGTTTTCGAAAATTAATTTCATAAAATCTACATACTTGGACCGTATGTGGAGTAGCTCTATTAACATTTGCAATAGGACCATTAAAACTATTAGGATAATAGTTTGGAACGCCACCTTTGAAGAGAATATGTCGAATATGTTAATTTGAAATCTACTAAGAGTTTATGTCTTTTACCAAAAATAGCATAACTTACTGTGGTTGTCATTGAAGGTTTGTGGACCATCTCTTTGATAATTACCAACTTTCGTTGCATAGGGACAATTAACAGGTAACTGAGCATAGTTAGTTCCAAGGCGATGTCGATGAGTATCATTATAAGAAAACAAACGTCCCTGTATACATCATGTAGAAAAATTGAGTCCAATCAGCAGATTACGTTATAAACGTTTAATTTACATACAAATTACCTGCAGCATTTTATCAGGCGATGGTTCTATTCCAGGAACAAAATTAGCCGGAGCAAAAGCTATTTGTTCCACTTCGGCAAAATAATTTTTCGGATTGCGGTTCAAGACCATTTTTCCAACAGGAATCAAGGGAAATTCACTATGAGGCCAAATCTTATATTGACGCAAATTTGAAATTACTTTTCGATTTTCTTAAGAAAAAATATGTAATTGATGCTATAAGCTAACTTTCGTCACATCAAAGGGATTAAAGCGCCACTTCTCAGCCTGCTCAAAAGTCATTATTTGAAGATACATGGTCCAAGACGGCTGAAAGTTTAAAGATAGAAACGTTAGGTAATCAATGATTGATTAGTTTTACAGTAAAACATTTAAACTATAAAATAATTATTAGTACAGAGTTTCCACTGGCAATTGCGTTATATAAATCTCTCATTGCATAATCGGGATCTAATCCACTAATTTCTTGAGCTTTTTCTCCTGTTAAATTCCTAATGCCTTGATCAGTCTAAAAGATGATAGATTAGAAATTTTACAATATTTTATGAAGAATGAATGAAATTTGATAGAATTTTCTAGACCTTCAGATGAAACTTGCAGTAAACAGCTTCGTTGTCTGCATTTACTAGCTTGAATGTATGACTCCCGTATCCATTCATGTGTCTGTATCCATCCGGAGTGCCGCGATCCGTAAACAAGAAGGAAACCTGGTGAGTTGTTTCTCGTCGGAGGCTAATAAAATCCCAAAACATGTCAGGATCCTAAATAAATTACAAAGATAATTAAATTATAAGTATGCTTGGTGTTGTTCACCTTAAATAAATAATATCCATTACTTATGAAGGCAATTAGATAAAACCAACCTACCTTCAGATGGGTTACAGGATTTCTTTTTTGGGTGTGAATAAAACTAGGAAACTAAAAAAGAGACTTGATAATAAGCAAACCAAGCCAAACGTATGTATCGTCAATCTACTTTTTGACTTCACCGAAATAACACAAGGTACAGTATGCTACGTCATAATTTAATACACTTTATTCCTATATTAGCCATACCAAGATGGGATCTCTTATAAAGAAAATTGGAGTGTTATTACCAACTAAATCCCAGTTGCCCTCTTCCGTATAGAATTTAAGGGCAAACCCACGAGGATCTCTAGCAGTATCCGCACTTCCTGATTCGCCGCCTAGTAATGAACAGTTAGTACAGTTACCGTATAATTATCGTGGAAGTAGACATAAAAAAATCCGTATACCATTACTGTACCGCGATCAATACGAGACATTTACTTTGAGCTTAAAACGTAGCAGAGACAGTATGTACGGCGTACCTACGGTGGAAAAACGTACAGCCATAGGTGTACGTTTGCCGACATTTTCAAATACTTTCGCCTTACAATATTTTGTAATATCGTGCGTAACCTCAAAGTAGCCGAATGCACCTACAGGCAATAAAGAAAATAAATATTACGAACACGATTGTCATTGGCGATTTATATCATTTTATATCTGCAAAGTGCGATTGACTCTAGTTAATTATTGTTTTATTTATGTATTTACGTATTACTCTACATCAATGTATGTATGGTAGTTATTGAAACGCATTTGCGATCGCGTAACTGATAAATAAACATTTTATAGTAGGTAATACGTAACCATATTCTCAATACTGTATATTAGCACTGTACTCGTATTTATCCATACAAAGTAACATAGATTAACGTGAATGTGTACTATTACTGTAATACAAATTACGGATGGCTCTGCAATCACCTGCTCCTTTAGCGTGAACAACTCTCTCTGGGATACGCTCACGATCGAAATGAGCCATATGATCAATTAAAGTAATATCCTGAAGTAGAATAGGTCCACGAGGTCCCACTGTAACGGAATCAGTGATACTTTCAGCAGGAGCACCATGACTAGTCGTCAAAGTAGTAGGATCCTATAGATACATACGTATATGCGTATAAGTGAATTGCAATATTTTAATATATTACGTTATGCTTATTTAGCTAACATTGCTAAAAGGTTAGAGACGACTTAGAATAACGCGAATAATCCAATTTATAAATTTTACTTGCAGATCAGAGAAACGAACGCGTTAAAATGTACAGTACATACTGGTATAGTTATCTGTAAAACGTAATTGCGTAATTGCAGCTAACAGCATACAGTATTTGCTAATTTCACATTACAGTGTACGTTAATGAGCTGGAGATCAATTTTCTTCGCCATATGGAACAAATTCATCTACAATTCTGAATTATATTCTCAATATGAGCTGTTGACAACACTACACACAGCAATCGTATTACGACATACGGTACTTAGCAATAAACTACAGTAGCAAAAGCCAGCACAGTTCCGTACATACAATGCTATGTTCCAGTACAGCTGGTTATTAGTTTAAAAGAAAGTTCATATTATAACGAAATTCGTATGTTGTGCGTAGACCCAAAGTATTTTCGTAAGGTATCTAGCGAACTCTTAGTGGTACATGCTGGTACAGTTGCATAATACATGAGCAAAATAACGAAATTTTAACTGGATCAACGAAATAGTCTTGAAGCGCTTACTTCCGTAAAGCAAGCTAGCTCTTAAAACTAGGTACATAATTGTACTGCATGTACCAGTGTGGACACTGTACTGTATGTACAGTATATGCGTGTGTGTATTTATGGTTGAGATCGCAATACCGTACAGTAATAGTAGGTGGTCGCGTAGCAGGTTGGTTAAATGTATTTAATGACTAGCTATCGAACACGATGCAGAGGAGATTCAGAGGATAGTCTTTATTGCAATCTCCGTATGCAACTATACAGTAATTTTATTAGCATAGTGTATCTACATATCCACTGTGTTTTGATTACATATTTACGCACTATCAACATATTTTACTCTTCATGTGTTGTTACGTTGTTACCAGTGGTTCTAGGGCTCCGCGGAGATCTAAGATCCCCAAACAACACTGGTTGTCACATAGATACAAAGATACGGGTAAGTGGTTCTACCATCGCGTTACGCCTGATGAAATTAGCATAGCTTAATGATGAATGCGGGACTGTCCTCTGTAATTACGTGATGGCATCTATCGTATTTATATGCAGTTAATTCTCGTTTAACTTAATTTTTAAGTATCAGTACTGTATACTGTAAACATACTGTATTGTAGAAAGCAGTATTCATATGGAATACAACGCAAAATCCGAAATCAGATCTGTACCGAAATTGTTAATAAAAATCAAAAAACTAAAAAACCAGTCGATCGATTGTTCGGCTGGTATTGGGATTAGTGGATGAAGAAGAATTGTATTTGCATACTATGGAGAATACCAACCAGGGGCTTCTTTCTTAAATTTTAGAAGTCCTGATTATCAAAACGTCGAGTTGCATTATACTCGCCATCAATTACTGTAATTAATTAATCAATATACAGTACAGTACAGTACTGTACAGTACATCTCACAGTACTGTACAACGGCAGCGCGATTAATCTAATGTTCATGCAAAGAGATATAAGATCATCTAATTACTGTACACGTATAAAATAACATACGTTGTTTTCACGAAATTCTTTGAGTTGATCGGCAGCCTTATCTCTGGAATTTTTTGACATCTTTTTCGGATTTCTGGACGTGAATCGGGCGATGACAGAGCTGATGTGAGCGTAGCCTCAACCGGTAGTATGGCAACTATTGAACTGAGTGCACAGGTCAAATTTTATCCCTACAAAAACCTCGCCAACTCCCATGCTCGAAAATATTGACACAGGCTCACATGCTCAACTGCAGTACTGTACTGTACTGTATGTACTGTAAGATGCCGGACTCTAATGTACAGTACTTACCGTACAGTACATACAGTGTCGAGTACTGTACAGTACTCTCCTCTAATAACTGCTCTGTAGTTGCTGTACTGTACTGTACTGTACGGTACAAAGTCCGTTGCTAATTGTACTACAGTATACTGTACTGTACAGTACAGTACAGTAATCAAACCAAACTGCTTACTGTTACTGTACTGTACACTGTACAATGTACTGTAAGAGGTCACGAATGATTACTGTAGTCATGGACTGCTAAATCTACTGTACTGTACTGTACAGTACAGTACAGTACTGTAGTCAATGTTAACAGTACAGTACAATTTTTGTAAAATACTGTACTGTACTGTACACTGTACAGTACAGTACTGTAACAGTTTCGTCTGTTTTCGTTATTCAAGTACTGTACTGACCGTACTGTAATGTTTACAATTTAACTTGAACTTTGTAGTCAAGTACGCGGTTTAATCTAGAAAAGAAATGTTTGAGGTGCAGGCTTTTTTATTACGCTTCATAAAGATAAACACTTTATTGACTAGCAAATAGTTCACGATCAATATTTCATGGCAGTAACATATTTCACCATTTAATCTACCGGTACTTAGCGTACTATTAGTACTATGCCAGGGACAACTCAACAAAAAATTGCAACCTTTCAGCCTAAATTGGATATGGCAAAATTTAAATTAATCAACTAGTATACTGTACTACACACACACTACCGTGAAGCAAGTTAAGGTTCAATCACTTCATGAATCAATAGGATCAGCGCAGCGTCCATTCTTCTTAAAAGAAGCACAGTACTCGGTGAAAAATGAACCTTACTTAGAAACACATGCACCTTGTGTTGCCCAATACAATTGATCCCATCGACTGGGGTAATTAATATTGATCGGCTCGTCGATATGTACAGGATCATTGAAAGACATTCCCCATCGAAGCACAGAATCGGCTTGTACTTTGTTTATGAAGCACTTTACCCCTGATGGAGCAGTACTCAAAGATCGTAAGCAGTTGCTATTACAAAACACACCAGTAGCTCCATCCACCACATTCATGTCAATTGCGTGGCCAATCATATGATTACTGCGAGAAGCCGGTTGCACAATAGCACCACTGACGTCAGCGTTCGCACGATATGAGCTTGTGATGTATACCTAATAACAGGAAGATACTCAAGAATGATTCCTTTTACCTCTACAGTACAGTACTGTACAGTATACTGTAGTATGGTGTACAGTACTGTACTGTACTGTACTGTACATACAGTATTAATTAAGGGTTTCTAAAAAATGTACTGTACAGTACTGTACATACAGTATCTACAGTACATTTGTAAGGCACTTTAGAATCGATATACTGTACAGTACAGTACTAGCTACAAAGTCATACTGTACAGTATTAAATATTATTATTAAATCGCCGTGCCCCTAATAGCTGAGTTTATACAGTATGTGAAAAGAATCTTATGATTTAAACAGTGCTACATAAACAATCAATCCTACTACAGTAGTACTGTACCTGTACATTACAAGATGAAGCCCAACTATTAATTTTGTCCATTTGTGGCACGAAACCAACTTCAACGGTGCATGTTGAACCGATTATCTTAGATCCTGTGTACTTTGTCAGAGGACAACCTCCTATCGATAAAGAACATATAGAATGCTTACTATTGATAGGGTCTAGAAGATAGCCTAATAATAACATTAGTCGTGCACGATCGTCCATTGTTTCTTACGTTGTTTAGCATTACTATTCGTCAGTTACTGTACAATTTAAACTGTATTAAAAAATCTAGATTTTAAAATAAGTAAACTCCCAACAGCTTCACGGTTTAGTGTACATAAGTAGCCATCTCCTGATATAAATTCTTAAGGAATTCTATTTAATAAAAGCCAACTATCGCCGTTTCAAATACTGATCCAACACCATCTTAAAAAATTACAAAAACTGGTGTTTGAGATGTTTCAGCATAGAATTCTGAACATCCAAGTTAAAATTCACAACGCTAAAAACACCGTTGTACTGTATTGTACTGTACAGTACAATGTGCACATTAGATACTGTACAGTATACTGTACTGTACTGTACTGCACTAAAAGAAACCATTCTTAGTTACTGTATTACCGCTGCTTCCACCAGTACAACACTTGACATTGGACGGGCCAGGGCAATAACCCGCGTAAGTTGTTCCACTGCAATGGCTTGTAAGCATGCAGTTACCAGTATTGCTTTTACAAGACTGACCTTTGACAGCAAAAACGAAGTTCACAGTCAATCATTTGCTGATTCACATTTGTAAATAATAATGCAGTCTAGATATCAAAGATAATTGCCTACTTTACGCGTATAGCATTTTTGCTAGGCTCGCACTGAGAGTGACAACACTGTTCCATAGCTGTACTACTCACCTACTTTAGGACAGCACTGGATATTCCATGGCCCAGCACATTGCCCAGTTATGGTCGACCCAGTATGACAATTTTGATAGTCTTGGCAACTACCCCAGCTACCATTACAGTCTTCACCAAGACCATGGGCTAAGTACAGTATGTAAATATCATGTTATATATAATATGACGAATACCTTTCAAAATACTAACCGGAGTAAATTAAAATGATATAAAATAATATAATTACCACAGGCAAATATAACGGCGAAGATAGTAAAAATTTTCATATTTTCGTGATAATTCGATTATGCAGTGAAATTATTTATCTACCTGCTTCTGAAGTGTGTAAAATTCTACCAACAGTAGATATTTATACCTATTCATCTTCATGGTGTCTAAGTAATGCCATGTTCGTTGATAATTATAATATGTTTTAACTGTAAAGTCAATATTTCCATCAACGACCCAAAAGGTTTTCTATTCTCTGATAACTATAAATTACATATACTAATAGTAAACAAAAATTGAGATTGGTTAATTTATAATTGTATATACTGTACGTTTACATGCTAATAAAACAAAAGCGAAGCCTTACAATTTACATAGCTATTTACTTCTAATCTCCATTTGAACGCCTCACATTAGTAAACAAATTATAAAGAGATTCTCTACATTTTCATAGGAATCCTTAACAACGTAATATATCATGAAATTAAAATGTTATAGTAAGCTTTAACTTAAAACCCTCTAATTAACTATCCAAAACATAAACTTATCAACAAAATATAGAAAAATACTTTTCTCATTCTCCTTTTTTGAAGGTATATATCGCGCTTAACAAGAATCTCTTAAGACTGTTAAAATTTATCTACTTAAAAATGAGGCAAAACTGAACGATCACCATCCTGTGCTTTTGAGCGTTAGGTTTTACATTCAGATAACAACATACAGAATTACTCTGAATACGATGTCCAATAAACAAGAAAACTATGGCGATAAAGTAGACATAATACTATGATCATTATATACCATTTTTAATAATGCTGTATAACATGTAGGATTAGCAATTACTGTAAGAAAAGTGGCTAATGAGCGTATCATCATACTGCATCGTACTTGTTAACCTTAAAATAAATTAAATACGCTTCGAGATACTACGACTAATTACATCATATTACAAGAAATTATGGGATATGCAAATATGTACTGATTCGCTAAAACAGCAATACAGTAGTTAGGCAAACGAATTATAATTAATTAGATAATATAATATTATATATTTTCAAATTATGATATTTTGTGATTACCAAAGATGGCATCATTAGTACTCCAGAACAACCAGTTCCTTAATCTCTTCATATACTTCTTAACATACGCCATTGAACACTTATGTCTGTAACATTATATATAGTTCGCTTGACTGTTATTCATAACTGCTTAGCTGCAGTGTATAATATCAAGCATCTGTTACTTTAGACTATTTAGATATTTTATTAATTTGTATTGGGGATCGACTACAGTAATAGCCAAATAGTCTCCTAAAGATTTATCAAGAACCAAGTAGGACTATAGGATTTTTCTTTTTTAGCTATATGCGATAGACCCCTAAACTAAAGCAAATTGATGACCTTGAAGATAAGGTTTGCTTTCTATGAAGAACGTTTGACGTAACTTTTTAAATTACTTGTACAATTACCTCATTATTGTTAAATCCAATAAAATTAAATGAGAAATTAAGTCAACTGTTAAATAAAATAAGTTAAGGGTCTCCATGTTTATAGCCGATTATAATCAATCATTGCTCTTAAGAGGTTCGTTTCGAGGTAGTAACTGTCAAAAACAATATCTAACTACACCGTTCGCCAAAAAAGTAAACAAAATCCTATGTTCCTATCAAAACTACGGCAATAAGCAAGTACCGGTACTTGTATTAGCAAAGTATATACTATAATTATAGAAACTAACTTTAACTGAGCTAATTGATGGTATAAAGAAAATAGGGTAAATTTCTATAAAATATGAGTAATCGCAAAGTTTGATCATCTATAAAAATGCTTGTATATAGTGCAGAACTAATATTTATAATTACTAGGATAAAATACGTATATTAAATTTATATATTTCCCGTTTCTCCGCTCTTATTACTACATATAGACTTTAAAGTAGTAACTTAGCTCATCCTTTGCTATGATGTATATTTTTTTAATTTTCGCAAAACATTAAACCGGAACTTAATCTTTTAAAAAAACTTAATCTAGTATAAACGATAGTTTCTACCAGTGCTCCATACAATGCAATGTCAATGAGTACATGTATTGCATATACGAGTGGATAGAGCTAAACTTTTATATCTTAGAAACTACAGTACAAATACAGTACCAAATGTTTAATCTAAGCAGCTTGATATTCTGAACACTATGAATCCTACGATATAAAAGTGCAATAATTTAGTTAACATATTTAATTCATATAGAATGTACTACTGTAAAAGTTGTCCAATTTTCATCACTTCCTCACACCGCTTAAATTCAGATACTCTTTAATATTGCACATATCTGTTGGGAAATGATATAAAATCATGGAAAAGCTATAGCCAAGCCAGTCTATATACTGTACACTAAGGTAGTTTATTCTGAAATGCTTTAGATAGCTTAGCTTTTCTTCATGGCTTTATTAAACCCTTAAGTTACGTTCTTTGATAATATTTATATATTTTATGTAATTAACGACGTATGCCTGAGCAATTCCAGAGCGATAATTTAGTTGAGTTATTGTTTTGTGATTAGCTAAAGTCGCATAAACCTGTTTTATTTCTTATGTATCTTTACGAATTCTTGTATTATAAATCTCGCTTTGTAACAGTATAGATTCAGTTAAAACAAGATCACTATTGTTTTTAATTCTACCTTGTAATCATGGATATTCCTATGAATGCTAATCAGCTGACAGTTGCGATTAAATCTTATAACTATTCTACATTACGATTATGGGCGACACAAGTATAAAAGCCATCGACTTTCGATCAATAAAGGAAATACGTATGAGTTAGTAGATAATTTTGCGCAAACTTTAACTATTTGTACAATTTCCAGTATCCTATGCTACTGTAGTTGAAAGTAAAATGAACTTTCAATACAATTGTTAGTATCAACTTAGACAATGATACTCTACGATCAGGACTACTAAAAAATTCTTAGTAACTTTTGGTAATATACTACCTGTAGAATATATTTTACGCTTTGGACATAGACATAGTAATCTCTAGGCTCAGTATATTAATTTTTGCTAATAATTTTCACTTTGAACTTTATTTGAGCTAAATTGATTTGTGTGTTATTTTGTATATAGATAACTGGCCTTATAGACGTTAAAAATTTTCAATCACTTCTTTTATATTTGAAAATCGGAATAGTGTTCTATAGCTGACTTTTAAACGCAGATAAACACTGCCCAGCTTTGTACGCTTTAGATTTTAATAGCGCTGTACTTAGCGAAATGAATGGGAACACTGTATGCTCTAGAGATGAAAGCGGTATCTGCTAACTTCAAATATTTCAGTATTGAATCAGGGAATCTTATAAACTTTGTAGGTGAATCTGTATCTCATAATATTCAGACTATATGAGCTAGGATATTTTAGCAAAGTAGGTGTGTTTTTAATAAATAATTTGGTAATTATCACAATGCAGTATTGACATAAGCGATGCCAGTAACCGTGCATGCCCGTATCGGACGGATATGAGCAATAAGATATACGTACAGTAGGAATCATCTCTTACTCGTTGCAAAGAATTATTCTTATACTGCAAAATTACTCTACAACTACTGTATGTCATTGCAAGTTTTAATGGGAATAGGTTGCTTGTAAATTCGCGACAATTGATTTAATGATAAGAACGATGTACTCGTACTGTACATGAAAGCGGAATACTCTTGATCAAACTGGTAAAGCTATAAGAATATACGCATTCTTGTAAGGACTCTACTGTAGCCTTTAGTAAGATTTTAGGATATTAGTACTACGTTATGTACTACATGTGTAAAGAGATAACTGCTAGTAAACTTTTTAAGAAAGATTAATTCAGGAAACGTAAATTGTTATTGTACTCAGTTGTTATATTAGAAACAATAGCAAACATGTTAATAAATGAAAATAATTTAATTACTTCTATGAAACCAAACAAGATGTATTACAAATATTACAATAACGCTTTACTGCGATAAGATCTAAATCAAAGGATCTAATTACTTATGGCACTATCGCCGTAAAACGAATTAGTACAACACATTTAGTTAACGGGAATATATGTTGTAGTAATGATCATAATACGTGTTTCGAGGAGTTTTAACTACAAAATTAAAACGATCAAGTATTCAATACCGAGAACAGTATTGTTATCAAAACACTACACATAGCAAAGGTACTCCACAATAGCTGAAATGTTTTTGAGTAGATATTAGTAATCGAAATCTAATAGCAATGATTACATGCACAACACAAAATACTTTTCAAATTATAATTAATTGTTTGCTTTACTGTATAAATTCTTTACTGATTGCTAGAATCCTGAAGTAATAACATTTACTTTTCTGTCAGTGTTAAATGTAAGTAACACCATATGAGTACATATGCGAAATGCGTAACTTAGTAATTTGACATAGATATTGTCTTAATGACTTGAATTAAGTATCTATTATATAATGCATGATCATGATATGTATAGTACAATATAAAGAATTAAGTAAAAATTAATCAGTAGTGCAATTAGTTCATATATTGCAAAGCCAAATAGTAATGGATTACATATATTTGACTTATACTGTTGCAATTGTTATGTTCAATCAATAACAGTAAATGTCAACCGTGCTCCATCGTTAATGATTATATAATAACATCTTCATTAGCCTTATAACAGTTTACTATGACGTACAGTACTGTATTAAACCCTGACGATATTAAATTAGTTTTATCTATTAAACAGAAAGTATGCACAAGTACCAATAGCAACAGCCATAGTTGCAGTAAAAATACTAGACTTTTCATTCTCATTTTTCTTGTCGAAATGATCCAGAAAGCCATCCTAAGAAGAATATGCATATCTTTAACGTAATATAGTTTGGCTATTGCTAAATGTAGTCAGTCAAAAAATGAACATCGCTAGCAAAAATGCGTAAATATAACCATTTTAACAAACTTAAAGGTATCTTAGTGGCGACCTTTTTAACTGTGCCTCATACGAGATATCAAATCATTACCGTAGTAGGAGCCTACCGTACGTATGACATGTAATAATATTAATAAGCATCTTTTCCCATAACCCAACATAAATAAGTCACACTGCAAAAATGTTGATACTAGTACTTTCAATACATCTGACGGAACAATGTATTACTATGTTCCATTCTAACAATACGAAACTACACTAGGAGTTAGCAAAGATTACTGTAATAGGTGTTAATGTGATCAAAATAAACGCAGTGTCCACGGTAAACTATTGAAAAACCTGTATAACGATAGACAAAATATTTATCGAATCCATCTGTAAATGATGTTTAAATTTCAGTTCCATGTTATAAAATTTAATGGTTAGATAACATAATAACTAAAACGCCAATTGTATCTACTGCAAGATGCCTCAAAAATTATTTATTTATTATGACGAAGGGAAGAATGAATGTTACGGCACTGTGGTGGTAGAATCTTAATTTCTAAAAGGTATACTATTAATATTAGCTATTTTTGTACTGCATTGATTATGAAACATACAGGTAGAATGCAAAAGTCTCAGCATACTGTAAAACGGTAACATTTCACATGGTCTCTAGTTTACTGACCTACAGTATTACTACATAATACTACATACCAATCCCGAACCGTCCTTCCCTTAAAAACTCCCGGCTTTTATACCCTCGACGGTAGATTATACTATTATACCGTAGGTGTCTGCAGAATCTACCGTAAGCCTTCCTAACACTTGAAAGTCCTAATCATTGTGGTCCTTCCCTATGGTCCTAACATAGCTATTCTCTGTCATATTGTAGGTACTGCACTAATCTTAGCACTTTCGAAATGTCAGTTATGTTGTACAGGTAGTGGTACAGTGTTCTTTCTTCAGTAACCTCTGGTATAAGTCTGTATGTACAAACTGCACGGGCTAGTAATTATAATATAATGGTGTAGTGCATTGGTTACAAAACATAAGATAACTGTAAAAACCTCTTAGCTAAAAGGGAAGGCGTATAAAATACAGTAGCACAGTATTAATAACAGGTGTACAGTAACTGTTTATTAACTGTAAACCAAAATCTTCGCACAGAAGAATTTCGGATAATGTTGTGTAGCACGATTTCTATATTACATTTCGTTGTCAGACTCAGACTTACATATTCAGCGCAGTCAGTATCAGTGAATTGCACAATTTTTCGAACCTCACACGACTCAGGTAAGAAGATTGTAACGCATGAACTGGAAGTAAGTGCTGAAATTCATAGTCTTCGATTCGTGCATATATTTACGTTAGTTACTAATCTCCTATAGGTAAGAAATTTCGTAATCTCTTCTATATTTAGGGTTGGAGTAAATTACACTACTTTCACTGCAAAGAATTTATTGTCCACCATACGTAGACTACATATCTGAAGTGTGTACAGTAATAACGAGCTCTGAATTAGCGCATCAGACTTATAGCCGCATTTTACCTGTACTTAGACTATAGTAAACGAAAAAATAGTAAAAATATCAAGACTATATGGGCCTACAGTAACATACATAGGAAGAAGGTCTACGAAAAGTTTACGACACAATTTATGCTCACCCAAGATCTGTTCGCTTCGATCCAGGTAGATAATTTCGTATGCATATATCTTGCAACCCATCCATAAACGCTCTTCACGTATTCAGGCATCCCATTTCGTTTAAAGTGGATCGCCAGCCTACTTGAAAAAACAATAAATGCGACTATCCTACCCCAGTTGATACCCGTAGAAAATAACTCATTAACGACACCCACAAACGTTGGGTAAGCAGTTGTATCCGTAATAGTTAATCTTTCGCACATATTACTGAAAGAATCCTTAAATTTTCCCTCCAATTCATTTCCAACTTCTTTCAAGCGTTCGGATACTTTCTTGGTTTTAACATCTTTTATATCACATCGATACGGTCCATCTAAAAGACCTTCATTAAATAACCGAGACTGGATATAATCCTTGATTATATTCTTATAAACTAAGAACTGTTCGTCATCCAAGAAACCATTAGTACCTTTGAAGTTAGTCAATGTAGGTTTTAAAGTTTTTATTTTCTGAGAAGATGCCTCATCGAAGGAAGATGTCATTTTCAATCTTGAAATATCTGTAAACTTATTTTACTTCCAATGCGTTTCAAATACCTAAAAGTGGATCACATAATCTAGACTGCTCTAAGAAGCTATTCTTAACTTATTTTTCTAATTCCAAATGAAATTTTTTTTAATTTTACCGTCTCTAAGATGATGGTTAAATACGCAGTTACTAGTACAGATACGCGAAAAGTAAACGTAAAAATAATAAAAAAAAAAGTAGTCACCGTATGTACAGTGTACTGTACTGTACAGTACTGTATTAAAGGTAAAAGTTTTTCTTTTACTCGCGTGTCGTACCGTGTACAGTACTGTACTGTATAGTACGGTGGCCCAGAAGGCTCAGACAATGACGGTAAAAATAGCACGTACTGTACGTAGTACAGTACAATATTGCACATTAGACCGATGAAAAACGAAACTTTTTCAGTCGCTGATTTGGCTAAGAATGAGGCGTTCGATGGAACACTAGCTCGAACTCGCGTAATTAACTACAGTACTGTACAGCAAGTGAACTACGTACTGTATAGTACAGTATGATATCACAGTGCTAGAACTGTTACTGTTTTGTACAAAGTTTCATCCAACTTAAGGTGCGTACCAAATATCCGCTGAAACTTTGTACTGTACAGTACTGTACTGTACTGTACTGTACTGTACAGTACTGTACTGTAGATTAGGACTTTTACCGTACTTTCATTATAAGAATTCCCTGTACTGTGCACAGTTTGAGAATTTCGCAACAAATCATAATAAAGTTTTGCGACAACTGCCAGTTGATGAAAGAAATAAAATAAGAAAAACCTGCATTATGGTAGATTACAGTAAATGGGACAACATCGAGGTAAATGACGATTTAAATTTAAAGCACAGAGCAACGTGCTAATATCAAATGAATTTCGTTGAGTTATTCTAGAACCTTCTTACCTGTTCGTTACGTGCTAAGTGTGCGTATGAAAGCTGATGTTGCTTTGACAGACAGTATTCAAATTAGTCAGCATTTCAGAAATGTAATTGCTGATTTATAAAGTAACGAATAAAACTTGTACGAAAAACGTGGAATTATCACGTTACTAGTCAAATTTTAATAATTTAGTTGCCAAGTGCTAAGTTAACTCATGGTTAATTTGTATGTCTTGATCTTCAAGTTTAACTTTCCAGTATGCAAGCACTGTACTCGTATTTCAATTTTGTATTCATGATGAATACCGATTTTCCTTCTTTGCCTGGATACGAGTTCCTATAATGCTGTACTGTACAGTGTATAGTCATGTACAAATGTGATGACTTATTCCAGACAGTACATTTACTTGTTACGCCTTTTCTTGATTCTACGATGGCCCATGAGGATTACCTGCTATCTTATACAAGATATGCTGCTGTACAGGATTGTTATAGCACTCATAAGTTGTATATCGTGGAGCGATCTTGTAGATTGCTACAACAATCCTGTACAGCAGCATATCTTCTATGAGATAGCAGGTAACCCTCATGGGCCATCGTATTCGATACTGTGTTTTTCCGACATAAATCTGAACTTTGAGTATTTTCTTGGTTATATGTACTAGATTAGTGATGATGAAGATGATACTCATCCTAATATCGACACTGCTAGTCTTTTCCGTTGGCGTCACCAAGCAAGATTGCAACGAATGGAAGAAGCAAAAAGTGAAAAAGATGAATATCGTCAACAACGAGAAAAGTTAGTAGTACCTGAATTATTATAGACCGATATCTCTTTTTACTGGTTCTATTTTTGGAATGTACTACGAAATATTTATCTATGTGCAGTTTAATATGCTAACAATGACAGCTACTATGAGAACCTAAACATTGGGTATACTGATAATAGCCTTGTTCTCAATGTCCAAACTTTACAGATGTGAAGCCAATTTAAGAGCAACAGAAACTAAAATTTATCAGGTACTGCTACTGTACAGTATATCTGCGTAGCTAATATGGTATACAGTATAATAAATAAACAATAAAGGTAATTAGCTTATATAACAAACTGATAAAATGCTTCAATATTGATTTAATTTCTCAACGAAAGTACTCCATGTTGTTAGATTTCTTTGTTTCGACAATCATTAATGCCGATTATTTTAAACTCTACCTTTATACTATACTATGGTAGTGCATAGTACATCTACTTGTCATCAGCTCTAGTTACCACTCAGATATGTCATTGCATAGTCATACCATACCTTTAGCACGCAACTTAACAAATACACAATGGTCGTGATCACTTAGTTGTTATCAGGTAACGTTAAAATTGCATTTCTAAGAGCATTATGATATATAGTATCAATTTAGAAATTCTTAACAATTGTGCATAAAGTATGATAATTAAGAATGTCTAATATATGCCGCACAATTTGGACAGATATAACGCTGCGATCTCTTTACGTAACTGACTTTGACTACTATTGATATGGTTACCACATAGATACAACTGTGCGTTAGGTCAATGTGGCTACAGCTTTGTTAAGACTTACGAGAAACTAATATACAGTATTAAACTTGATAACTAATCATAACATATACCTGTATATTATGTTACAATGCTGCAATACTATATACAGCTCGAACAGACGAAAGAAAAGGATACCACTGAATTGAATCATTACAAGACTCGATTATCAGAATTATTGGAGGAAGTAAGCTTACTTTCAGTTACACTACGTTGATTATAATAGCATCATAGTGGAATATTGACGATAATTACTGTATCATGGTTAATAGCAATTAGCAGAGATCAATTTAAAATAGTATTTGATACTAAAGACCACTTTTGATCTGATAATTTTACTCCATCACTCTAGATAAACCAACTCGAAGAAAAACGAAAAGAATTAGAAAGAAAAGAAATAGTATGCTAAGAATCTTTTCTACATCTAGTTGTCCAATAACAATATACACTTATATAATCAAGTTTACTACAGCTCGTTGGTATTACGATGCAGTTATAGTTTCTCACATTCGCTTCCTGATCCTTATATGGAAATTTCTAGTTATCAAAATGAGCTCATATGTTATTATAATATTTACTCACCTGATTTACTATGGAATTCACCAACTTATAAGCCATTTATTCTCAACTATCAACTGTGATTTATACATTGCAACACTTATGTTATCTTATTAAACTTGATATTTAAAATTCGAAACAGAAAACACCTTGGAACGTGGACACATTAAGCCGCGAAGGCTTTAAGAAAACGGTAATAATATTTACGATACTGATAGCAAATAAATAAAGCATCACTCAATTTATCCAGACTAAGACTTATTGCACTGCACTTTGCATTTATCGAACTTTTATCCAAGATTATCAATAAGCCAAACCAAGAACAGGAAGGAAGTACAGAGCAATTATCAGATGAAGACAAGTCTAAATTATGGGTTAGTTAAAAAACTAGATACTATTCAAAGTGACTATTGGTTGTGCATCTATTGACAGAAGATCAGCAGTAAAAATAAACGCATCTATTGCATTCGCTTATAGGAAGACTTTATTAGTAAGCATCAAGTTAAATTAGAAAAATTTGCTGATATGGAAGCAAATTGGGACTCTACAAAAGGATATTTAACGGAGAACCCTGTCCTGTTATGCGAAGAAGCAGCTAATTTCTTAGCACTTTTGTGTATAGACTTAGAACTAGAAGAGGTGATGCTGTTGAAAGGCTCTCCATTCGGAATTTGATTAAATATGAATATATAATTGTAAATAAATTGAAATTTTTGGTTTGCTTTAAGGATAAAGAGAAACTTCACAAAGTTGCTTTTCATACAGTTACCATGCATTTCATTTTGGAACTGGCAAAGCAATTGAAGACGAATCCCCGAGCAACAGTAGAAGCATTTTTTAAACGGTGATTCAGTTAGGGTTAATAGAACCAAAGCACATTATTAGGATTACGGTATCAATACCTGTTATGTATTGGTGCTAAAACCAACAACTAAAAATTTATTATAGAATTCAAAAGGCTGATAAGCAATATCTAGATGCATTTTTTGATGAACTGAGATCGTTTAAGGATAGAGTGAAAGACCGTGCCCAAGCAAGAATTAAAAAAGCAGAAGAGGTACGAAAACATTTTTTCCTTTCAATTCTGTATTTACTCGCTTTGATGATATATAAATTCCGTGATAAACGTACATTCGAAGTACTGGATTTATATCGTAGTAACTTGAGCTTCTTATTAAAGGAAGAAAGGCAAAAACGGTTAGGCCCTGGTGGTCTTGACCCTGCTGAAATTTTCGAATCTATGCCTACGGTGCGTACGTATATGATGAGCACAATTATGAGTACCTCTTATCTTAGTGTGCCTATTTTTGCCGTTGGTTGTTTATAACTTTCGACAGGAATTACAAGAGTGTTTCGAATCTAAAGACATTCCAAAGTTGCAGGCAGTACTAAGCGCAATGCCAAAAGAGGAAGCCGAAGATTGGTTGAATAAAGCTATTGCTTCTGGTTTATGGATACCCAACGCTGACGAAGGACGTGATGACATCGGAAATCACGGTACTCCAAACACCTCTGACCAATAAATTTTTTCTTCTCCAGGATTAAGTCGTCTCTTTCAAACATAATCTCATTACTTATATGGTAGCATAAGTAGCCTTACAAAAGAATGAATTGATTTAAATAGCTAATACTCTACAAATTAATAATTATGTGAACCCTGTTCCTTTTAGTTTATGCCTACTATTTATGCTTACTCCGTTTTAGGATGCATAAAACATGTAACATTACCGCAATCTAAGTTGATGTAATAAAAAACTTAACACGATAACTATACCATCATTAGATCTACAGTTTAATTTCTTTCTTAGATTCTTAGCACTACAGTACCATTACTAAAACAAACATTACTGTATTGTGGTTCTATGGTTTATCTTACGTGAGTAAGTACTATCGTCGTCATAGCATCGCTCACATTCGTGCTGTACTTATTACATAAGCTAATATTACTGCTAACAATCTTTCTGTTTGCTTGTCATCATTTTTAAATATTATTGATCACGCTGTAGTGTATATGACTTCATTTGTGTAATAGTGAATGCAATGGCACTAGAATTTTACTGTAATGTACGTCATTCATAATGTCAAGGATTAATTCTAGTCAAAGTAATTTTTATCAAAATTTACCCCTAACACCATTATTACCGAAATCATTGATTTTATTTTAACAATAGCAATTTACATACACGTAAATTTTCTTGTGCTTAGACAAGTCACAAGATGACCTAACTAAAGATCTTACTATACCGAGTCATCGGAAGACATAAAGTATAGCATTCTACGGGCTATTCTCATATACTACATAATGTAATCAGTCCTAGGCGATCAATGGCTACAGACATTACAGTTGCTGAAATATTGTGTATAATTATTAATCAATCAACATGCATTCACCGCTACCGCTAGACATGTTACATTTGTAATAGTTCTGTGATATCCGATGTTGTTATTTATATTAATGTAGTTGTAGTATCAATTTACGTTGATTTATTCCAGATATTAATTCAATTGAGAATTAATAGATGATGACGTTGTTGAAGGGATCCTAGGTCTTTCTTCCAGTTTGCTATAGTCAACGTGAAATTCCTTCGCAACTTTACGCCAACTATGACAATCAAAGTAATGATAGGTGCCTCGCTCATATGTGTTGGTTTTAACCTGCGGATCTACGCCAGGAGCTCTTGTGATCCATACCCTGTCGTCTTTATGAAAGCGCCATTCTCTATCATAACTTTAAGAGATAAAATAAATATAAATACGGTTATATGTTTGCATCCAATAATGCAATATTAGAAATTCAACTGATAGTATTAGCAACAGGCCTTACAGTTCATTGGCAGCAGCCAGTTGAATAAAATCACCACCAAAATTATAATACAAATAAAATAACAAATCTTCATTATATCTATTCAATTTAATCGCTGCCAACTGACCATTCCACGAAAAATGAGAATATACGCAAGTTAATTACAATTCACAACCGAGTCATAATTCATTGTAAAGTACCTTATCTCTTATATACATATTAGTCAAATATTCGGGTGGAACATTAAAATCTATTGACGTATAGAAAGTCAAATTAGTAACCCATTTAGAAGGTCGATGCAAAACACATGTTTTTCATATTGTTTTAATTGTACTTCTAAACCTCATCTATGATAATAACATTGTTCCACAAGTACATGTAGTATCCCATTAAGAAAAAGACTAAATACAATAACCGATTTATATCTTTGTGTACAGTAACGTATCAATGGAATTCGAATATTATAACTCTAAGAAACGGCTGTAAGCTACTCGCTTATAATACATAGTCTACAAAGCTGAATATCTTGTTTTAGAGATTGTATAATTTTATCTACATTGGATTGCAGTGACACAGACCAATATCTTGTGGTCGTCCTTGTGTTTCACTCCAGGGTGATGAGAAAGTATTGAAAAGATTCCTAAAAGAAAGTAAAATATATAATAATTGGAATGACATCTATTGCAGGCTGTAATCTAAATTCATTAGAACGGTTCTCCAGTATTAGTGTCAAACTTACTCAGTAGAATTTAAATTGAGCCCTAAAGTTGTCAAGTCGCTACAAAATTGCAAAAATAAATTTATTACGTAAATTTTATGTAACACCAATCGGTGACGAAAGTACTGCCAATGTCACCAAGTATCAATACGGGTAGCAAAACTGATATAAATTGTTAAAATACAAATTCATACATGATGATAGCAGTTCATACTTTCCTAAAGCTAATGCTACCAAATTAGGATCACTTTCAGCGGCGCGAATGAAGGATAATAGCCCAAACATACCAAATTGATCCGTAACCATACCAGCTACAAAGATATATTTTGAGAATAATCGAAACCATCCCAGAATAACCATAGATTTTAGAAATAAAGTATCGCCGACATAAAATAGCAATGCTACCTTTTAATCCGTTGTGATTTGACGGTTGTAAAATATGTTTAGAACCTTCAGCAGTAAATCTGCAGACACAAAGAAAAGGGTCTAGAAATCGCTTATAAGACAATCTCGAATAAGATCTTATACCTCGCAGTTATATCTTTAGTATTCGCCGTTGATTGATTTGCACCACTGGTACTTCGAGTTTCAGCTATTGAATAAATTAAAAATTTTGGCTTATTGCAAATGAAACACCTTCATCAGGTTTAGGTTAAAATAATATACTACTTCAATCAGTATCTCTTACTATTGAAAAAATTCGTTTGAGCTCCACCTGTTTGCTGCATTTTATGTATATAAGAAAGGAGTTATTTTATCAGTTAAAGTTATCATCAGAAATGAACGATCACTTGCTTAAGCTAAACTGTAATCTATTTCATAAATATTTGAGTAGCTATATATTCAGTAAAAGAAAATAAAAAGAAACCAACTTCGGCTAAACCTAAAGATAAAGCCTAATACCGTATGTGAACCATTCCCATGTTTACTTAAGAGACCGTCTTGCATATTAACTTCAACAGATGCTATGTATATGTAGTTTCAGAAATTAATAATGTTAATCATATTATCAGATACAGTACATTAAATAATTAAAGCCGCCTAAGACCTTGTTTATAACTAGAAGATAGAGCAGGAAAGTCTTCGTTATGTATGATGAATTCGGAACTTTGCTCTGATTTTGACATCATACCTTCAGTTAGGAAGCCAGTGAACTTTAAGAAAAACTATTATGAATCAATCGAGTTAAAACACTATTGTTACCATAGTTAGGTTTCAATTGATTAGAAACTGATTGCGTCATAGTAGCAGAATTGTTTTTTCTACCATCACCAGCGGACAATTCAGGAAATTCAGACATATCAAGGCTGTTCGATGATGAAGATATGTCCGCTCCTAAAATGTTATGCAGATTTCAAGAATTAAAATACCTTTGCAGTGAAACAAGATGAAGACTAAAAAATAACCGCTACTATTTACCAGCTGCAGCAGAATACGAAGTCACCATAAAAGAAGAATTGATAGATGAAGAAGACCCTTGCAGCTTTATAAACATACAGAATTAGTTATAATGTTTTAGGAACGATAGATAATGTAAGCAAGCTGGTTACCGGGCCTCTAATAACTGAGAAATTGCTATTATTGGAAGAAAATGGCAACCTAAAGTTCAATAAAATTCGTAGTAATTGTTGAAATAATAATCTCACCCTAAGTTAGAGTATTAATATAAAATAATATAACAAACCTGGCAGAAGGCTTAGAATGTTGTTGCAAAACGTGGCTAGAAGATATTTTAACACAAAAGTTTATTAAAAACAAAGAGTAGTATATTCACTAATAATTCAAAATAATAATTTAACACTTTAAAATTATATTAAAAAAGACCAACGTTCTCATACAGTGATCCCCGCAATATGTCACTTAACTGACCTTCCAGGTGAACCAGATCCAACGCTTTGGCTACCAGTAGGAAGTTTAATTCCGCTACTCGATATCGCAGCATTCGTAGTCATAGTGCGGAAAGACTACATAGGTACATTAATAAGTTTATTTAATTTAATTAACGTGATTTGGACAAATACTATCCAAAACATTGTACATATATCCTTCAATTAGAAAGTTCACCTGAGGACCAGCGCTACTTGTTGACATACTTTGCAAGACTGTTTCATAAATACGAGTCAAAGATTAGCGATAATTATATCATGAAAGTAACAACCAACATCCTAATGTTTTTAACTTAGAAGCGACGCATTGTTATTACTTGACCTTGTGAAGTAGGATTAAAATTGCTACCTTGCTGTGAAAATGACGAATACAGTTGTCCGATCTGCGAAGGCGACTAATTTATTATGCCCACTATTAGATTAGTGTATTACAGAATAAAGATAGCTAACCATGTGCAGTAGCATTTTATGAAAAGGGAATGACAACTTACTTCTTCGCGGGAAGGCAAAGTAGCTGGATTTTTGTAAAGGCTTTGAAAAACAGATTCATCCTCTAAATCTTCGTCTCTGTAAAACTATGAATAGGAAGAAGTAGATTATGATGCCTCTAACAGAATAATTTCAGATTGACATAAGCAACGTAGCTCAAGTATCGCTAAGATGATAATGGTTGACAATTATTCTCCTGGTCAGTAATATTTTCTGTAACTTCAATAACCATATTTACGATAAACAAGCGCGAACGATGTTTACGTTTCGTATGAATTCATTTTTAAATTAATGAAGACAATAGTACGCATTTGGAAATCTTAATACCAGACATTCTACAGCACGAATATGCTAGTAATGATCAGAAATCGCCGATATTTAATTGCCAGTACTGCTACGGTATATTAATTAGCGAATAAACTACAGTACTGTGTAAATGCTTTCATTAATCAAGGTTAAAGTGTATAGCAACTACTAAAGTAAATAATGATCGTAAAATAATAATAGTGATCTTAATATCCGTAAATGGGTAAAATACAAACAGTAATTTGCGTTTCTCATGTACTGTACTATGTACATACATACCTATGTATGCAAAGCTATTGATGTGATATTACAGTGATATACAAAATTCTCACACCTAGACTAACACTTACGTATACTGTACTGTATGCGTAGAACATTTGAGTACCTACATTACGTATTATACAGATAAGAATAACTAAAAGAAAAAGGTAGACTCTTCTATCTACTGGATATCGTTAGCAATAAATCTATGTAAATCGATGACTTTGTACAGATTGCAGAACGCAGTAAAATCCGTATAAAACTTGGCTAGGTACTGTACTGTATAATTAAAGCATGAATGGAAAACTTATTTCTTCGCACTTAAAAATATAATAGCAACTGGGTATCAATGTTATTCAAACGCATTAGTACTATTCTCAGAGTATCTAGTGTACCTCCTATAGAAACTTATATTTTAATCCGTTCATCAGTGTTGTCGTTTAAGGCATTAATTCGTAATCAGTTAGTTACAGTATCGTGTAGTGGACTATATAACCCAAGGAACACTTGTCTTTCGCTAGCAAAAAAAATTAATGCTATACTGGAAGGTATAGTACACAGTACATGCACCAAAGTTACTAATTTTCAAACATAATTTACCAGTACATCTGCACAGACAGAACTTTTTAATAGTCCATGTCTTAACTAATTTTACTGCTGACTGAATTGACACAACGTCTGCTGAAGATAACTCAAATTTTTTTAAATTTATCAATTCTGTTACAGCATTGGAAATTTACTATAATACATCAATATTAGTAATAAATTTATAGTAAAGTCAAACTGAACTACAACAAAATGTGTACAAAATTTATATAAGCGCATTTACTCCTTTGATTCCTTTCTTATATCCAGATAACATAGTTTTCCTCATAGAGCCTATTATTTAAATAAATCATAAATTTCAAATAATAGTGTAAGAAAACTAGAGTCATATAGTAAAGATATGTAATTAAATCCAATAAGCTAATACATAAAAGAATTTACATTTCTGCGCCATCAAACTATGGACTAACGTACGTACCCTGACTACCGAGATCTTGATTTTTCTTTTGCAGTTGACTATCAGCGTAAAGTTAGAATATGTAATCAATATGACATTATAAAGATTAAGGCTAAAGCACTGTAAACCCCTTATTAGATTGAACGGAAGATCAAATGCAGTAGTAATATCTCAGTCACTACACTCCAAGATTTTATGCTGACAATTGCAAATAAACACGCAACATGAAAATAACGAAACTTCGAAAAGTCTAACACTACTGCTGTATAAGACTCGAGGCTGTCAAACGAAATGCGTAGGAATGGATGTAAGCAAAACTACCGTACTAGCGAGCATGAAGAAAATATTATGTACAATAGATAAATCGATCTAATACTACAGCACCTAGATTCATGAGATAAAGTAAAGCATATTTAGACAACAAGTATAATACGTACGGATTAATTGTAGGCATTTCTCCTAAAGGCGGACGTTGAAAAGACATGACCATCAAGACGGATTTTCGCGAACAGATTACAGTTAGTTATGGGCTTATGGCCATAGACCAATAAGTTAGGTGTTTGCATAGTACTGTATATAGATCATAAAGGTATTGAACCGAACCGAACCTTTCTTAGGTTTAGTACTGTACAGTGTACTGTACAGTGCTATAGTGTACAGTATACAGTACAATAAACCCTTAAAAAAGTTCCTTTATTACTTCATTACTCTAGCCTAACTGTAAAGTACGGTAGTACTGTACTGTACACTACCATACTGTACACCAGATATTGATAGATACTGTACAGTACATTGTACAATAATGTGTACTGTACAGTACACACAGTGGCCGAGAATACTGTATGCATACCGTACAGTACTTTACACTTCAGTACAGAACAGTACTGTACGGTACAGTACAGTACTTTATAGTGCTGCATGCTGTAGCCTACTGTACAGCACGTACTGTACAGTACAGTACAGTGTACAGTGTACAGTAGAAATTCTTTTTTCACAACTGTACAGTACAGTACAGTACAGATTTTGTTCTGTGAAGTTGTCCCTTTTGGGCCACCGTACTGTACTGTACAGTGTACAGTATGCTGGCTGTCTCAATGGACAGTAGGCCCATTTGTTTTGCACTGAAATTCATCGTACTGTGGTTACAGTACTGTACTATACAGTACTGTACACTTCGCTGAAAACAGTCTACTGTACCGTACTGTATCTACTGTCCTGTACTGTTCTGCAGTACTGTATACGAGTACAATTCATAAAGGCACTCATTGACTCGGTGAACACTAAATACTAAATCTCTACAGTAAATCAAGTCTTACTTTTGCACAACACATCCCGTACTGGGCCGTACACCCTCAGTACAGTACTGTAATGTGTACCGTACTTGTACTGTACGTTATTTACAGTAGATGAGTCATACAGTACTGTACAGTACAGTACAATGTACAGTACAATATTATTGTGTGCTTAGCAGGCTTCAACTTTAACGTTCAGGGTTATACAGTACAGTACAGTACAGTACAGTACACTACACTACACTACCATACGCTATTGCAAGATATACTGTAGTGATTGGTACTGTACATTCATTACATACATACAGTACTTCGCCCTGCACGTCTGTATGAAGATCAAAATCTATTCGAGTTATCAACTGCCATATGCGTAGAGTAGGACCGTATAACGAAAAAAGTCCCCGTACCATTAAAAATTTTCTAAGAAGATGACGAGCACCAGCAAAACATCTAAATTTAAGGTGGTCCTGCTTGGAGAAGGCTGTGTTGGCAAAACGTCTATTGTGTTGCGCTACTGTGAGAACAAGTTTAACGAGAAGCATCTTAGCACGTTACAAGTACGCTATTTGAGGCAATATTGTCTCTTCGATATGATGCCAGATAGTTACTACTTACTAGTGTAGTGCTAGATCATGTATCAGCATGATAGCACATCGGTGGCAGGGACTGCTGAATGTAAATTGTGTCGACTTACAGTACAGTTGTGCATAATCTTCGTTTCTGTAGTTTCGCTAACAATTATATGAAACACAGAACTTAGAATACACCTAGTGTTCTTCAAAATACAATACGACAATTATATACTTTATAAATTATTACTGCTTACTATCACAGTTTCAGTTAAGCTAATATTACTATTAGATATTTTCTATGATAACGCGCGGTACGAATGCAGTACTCATAGGTCAATAAGATATACGTGATCATTAAAATTTCCCTAATATAATATTGATTGAATATGGTATTCTTTCCTACTATCTTGAAGTAATATAGTGTAATAGGAGTCTAATTATTTAAGATGTATGTATTATAGTTTATGATATACGTACAGATATAGTGGTACTAAGATTTTTAACTGCTTACTTTCTCGATTATATCAGTCATAATTGTAATCATATAATAAAACGGAATACTCTAGGCTTCGTATCTGGAGAAGAAATTGAATATTGGTGGAAAAAGGATTAATTTGGCAATTTGGGTAAATACTTTATGATAGGATGTTCATTTTTTGTAGCATATATCTTCTTATGCAACTGCTATCTGGAACAGGACACCGCAGGACAGGAAAGATTTCATGCACTCGGCCCCATCTACTACAGGGAAAGGTTTGTATGTTCGTACGTATATTATTATACGTATGTATCTCTTAAAGTTTCGTATATTTATGGCATAAGTCATTCAATTCTGATCTGTCAAATTTCATTTTGGGAGTTACTCAGATTAATGTATAATTCGTATACTTTACTAGTCATGGAGCAATATTAGTTTATGATATCACGGACGAAGATTCCTTTATGAAGGTAGCCTGATAACTAGAAAGTCTTTGACCTGTTAAATTGACCGTACAGCGCATCTTCCTTTCAGATTTATGTTGCTCTTTCGATGTAATGTGTAAATATGCATACGTTACAATTTTAAAAAGGTAAAGAAATGGGTTAAGGAACTAAGGAAGATGTTGGGAAACGAAATTTGTTTGTGTATAGTCGGTAAGTAAAAGTATAGAAATATTCTCTATGTAATGGCTATGATAGTAATTACGTATCTATTCATGGTAGGTAACAAGATAGATTTGGAAAAAGATAGGACTGTGCATGTAACCAGAGCGGAGGAGTTAGTCTTATTTTATATCTTCCATCTAGCAATTCTCGATAACTTAGAAAGTTTATACTTTGTCTGTGTTATATCACTTTCATACAGTTACGCTCAGTCCGTTGGCGCTGTTCACTTCCATACATCTGCAAAGATGAATAAGGGGATAGAAGAAGTATTTCTTAATTTAACAAAAAGTGAGTCTTCAACAGTAAATTAAAAAATTAATGAAGTTTACATGTTACAGTAAAGCAGCGGCTTGCACGTTATCTTGTATCTCTAAAACACCTATGATATTAACTATAACGTCAATGAATTCAGGAATGCTGGCAGCGCAAGATGATAATACAAATACTGCAGGAAAGCAAGGTGGCAGTCGAAAAAGTGTTGTTATCATTGATGATGAACCCCTACAGCAAAGTAGCGGCTGTTGTGGAAGTAGTTGAATTGTCTGAAACCCTGTGTACTGTTAAATACTATAAATTGATACGTATTAACAATTATTGGTCACCTTAACTATAGCCTTACTGATGTCAGATACATGTTTAGGCGTTCATTTACTGTATAATGATATTAAAACTATATATACTGATATCCTGGTAATGTACATAATTTATTGATTGATCGATACTATGTTCTGTGTATTGAATGAATTTCGTACCTGGTATTGTCGCGTTAATATTATAAAGAATTTGTGTGCTGAGATTGTTGATGTAATTCGGGATTTTTATAAACGTACCATATTATCCTACGTACTGCACATCTTTTATAGCTATTGGAAACTTTGGACAGTATAATGTACACTATACAGTACATAATTGATCCGTATTAACTTTGGTTGCGTAGCTATTGCCATTACTGTACTGTACTATGACATTCATGACATCCTGCGTACAGATTGGATGTAGCATATACGATCTGGTTCTTAGTGTCATAAATATCAATTAAATTTAAAATCTAAAAGTCTTTATATTATACTATAGACTTGCGTATAAAATAAGAATTTGATTGTATTACCTCAATTTTTGAGAATAAATGACTAGTGCTTGTGATAATTTGCTAATGCAACTGACGCTGTGTAAGGTTAAAATAAAATGCCTACGATGCCATCGTTGCGTCTAAAACCCAAAGCATTGGCCCGTTGCGAATAGTGAGGGAGTTTACCGTATTGCACTTCTGACAGTAATAAAACCATCTACGTAAGAACTCTTTCTAATTCTAGATTTAGTACAGTGACGAGACTTTAATTTGTTTTATAGTTAACTAGCTCCTTACCCAAGAAATACCTGTTAATGGCTAGCTTTGTATTGTACTGATTTTTACACAGAATACAATACTGTACACTGTATTAGTACTCACTATAGATCATAACGGCTCGAACTGAACCGAACCTTTCTCAGGTCTAATTAGTAGTACTAGTATAAAAGGTAGGATTGTACTATACGATGGGCGTATATTGCTATGTCATGTAGGTGTTCAAGAAGAAGCTCACAGGGTGGCTTACGTAAATTGCTCGTTAGGATACACTTCTAAATACTGACCCTCAAGTACTTAATTGCGGTGTAAAAATTGGTTCATCAATTAGTTTACAATGCTTTAAAAGTATGGTTTAATAGCTGCGATCTCGAATTTAGTACGCACTTTCATACCTTGTTCGTGCGTTTTATGATAGGTATTATAGTATAACATAAACTACTAGACAAATAAGTACATATAGTATTCTAAGGGTCTCTAGTATTCACTATTCTCTTATTATAGTACTGTACAACTAGCTTAACATCTTGTCGCTTCGCTGACAGAGATACTACAGTCTTTTCAATTTTTTAATATAATGATTTTTAACTTTATGAAACTTTAAGCATCATTCTTTCTGATACCAGCAGCTACATACTCTTCTCTAAATTGTTAAATTAAATTAAAATAGGTACCCTACTATATATAGTGCCAACCTATATGAAACAAATATCGAGTTTGTTACCGAAAAGTATACGTACAGTTTAGCAATTAAAATGAATAGCAAGATTTTTATAATCTTATCATGTCCAGGTAACAATACAGTAATTAGTACTGTAGTGGGAACTGTAATGTTTGGAACGCATACAGTATAGTATGCACTAGTGTATTACTAATAATACTGATATGAGATGGAATGTACAGTACACTGTATAGTGTACAGTATACAGTAACACGTCGAGATTAGAAATAAAGAGCAGATTATACACGTGCGATTCGAACGTAGTCTAAACTAAACGTATTAACAGATGTCTTGCTATATAGTATTTCTATTTCTGTACCCACAATATGTAAATGAGTTCACTGTGAGCATCAAGTAGTTTCATTATCGTGGTTTATCTTGAAAGACATGTTAGGTAGCTTATTAGATACCTTTAGTTTGATTATTCGTATATTAATCATTCTGGCTTAAAGAGAGAATCCTTTCGTGATTGCACATAATAGGATAAAGTGTGTATTAGTTTTAATACAGTTGACGTATTTTATGTCTAATATTCAACACACTATCCGAAATAAACTGTATTCGCCAAAGAAATTGACTGCAACTTTTCGATATAAAGTGATACTTAACGTAGCAAGCAGTAGTTATCTACGAACAATATAGTATAAACTTTTCTACCTGAGGATGACTACAAATTTCACCCCGTGAAATTAACATATATGTGTATATCTCTTAATTAGTTGCATTAGCGTGAGTATACTAAAGTTACGATTTAGAAATGACGTTAAACGATAAAATATTTCAGATAATCATCAACGGTTAGCTAATAATTTTTAAAAGTGATCTTAGCTATGCCTCGTCATATTAAAGTAGAAGCTTTGGCTTTAAAACAAGTATAGTAAATGTACGAGTATAAATAATAGCTTCCAGTTGCACAGTACATGCACATTAGTACAAATATTTAGAAATGAAACTCTTTCAATTATAATACATCAGTATTTTAATACAGTAAATAACATTAATAATTGTTAATTCACACTTAATAGTTCACATTGTAATAAGACTATGTACTTAACAATTCAACTCTGGCATTATTATGTTCGAAATACCTGGTAGCAATTTAAATGGCGTCTCAAAGTAACTAATGCATGCTATTGATTGATGACTAACATCTACAAAATTTTGTATAACGATATGTTTTCCCTCGGATTTTGCGGCAACAGATACACTGGTAATACGTCGTTCGCACTGAACGGTAAGGTATTCCATTTTAGCTGATTTTTATAACTGAAGAATTCGATTATACCTGGCTGAGCATTGCATCGATAATTATAATTCGTGCAGTAAAAGAAGAAAATTCAAAGTTGTCCATTTCAGCAAATCACCCATAGCGACTCTATACGAAATCAAATAATAAAATACTATATCCCCTTCTAAATCAAAGTAATATTGAAGTTGATCTATTCTATAACTGAAAATAAAAAATTGTAGTAATTGCAATAATAGCAACATGAATACCTGTAGAGACCCTAAAACTCCGCTTGCCATGTTTGATAGTTTGTTGGTAACGCGAGACACACCCTCCTTAATCTGGTCGAGATCAATTGATGGGGCATCGACCTGACTTTTCTTATTACCACTTGAGCCAAAGAAATCATCACTTGAAATTGCAGTAGCACCATGGAAATGTTCCGTGCTTCTCGTTGTTTCCGCCTTTAAAAAAATATCTTTTTTAGGGTAGCTGTAGTATACTTAATAATGTTATATTTAAAGAAATTATAAGATACATATATGATCTGGAACACAAGAATATCACCCCCGCTAGAGTGAATTTCGGGGGATTTGTGATATCATTTTGTTCCGGACAATCATATACACTTATGTCTATTATTAATCACCCTATTGCCTTCTCTTCCGAAATATTGGCTAGAAGATATACTCTTAGCATTACCAAATTTTTTTATTGCGTCATCTATAGCAAAAGAATAGATAATAACACGTTATAGAGCTTGATTTGTATAGTATTTCCATTTTCGTGTAAATGAAGATGTAAAATAAACTCGACCAGATGAAGTGTCGCGTTCTGTTTTCGGTTCAGTTCTTCTTTTGTGGAAATTGTTAAAAAATCGTTTATAGAATAACGGTCAATCAGCAATGTAAATTGATTAGAATAATGTTTAGTAGGATTTTAAAAGCATTTTATACCGAGCGGATATATCTCTAGATCTGGACGATAGTGACATAGCTGATGACTTTACGGATGGTGCTGCAGCCGCTTCTCGTTCATCTACTTCGAAATACCCTTTCTCACTTTTCCTCGAACTTTTCCAATCATTCATATCGGAAAAAGGACTGTCATATCTACTGAGTATAGCAGAAGTCTTATTCATACCGATTAATTAGATAATTAATCGAAGTAAAATTTAAGACCAACCTTAATATGTTATCATACCTGGAAGGTTGAGTGCTTTCAAAGTTGCCAAAAAAGTCCGTATCAAAACTTGTGGGTTGATTTGCAAATTTACTTTTAGTTGAGATGCTACCAGCTGGATCTTCCTGATCAATTTCAACCATGCTGGCAGCAACAGAATGACTTTGAGCACTATCGAAATATCAAGTGAATAGATAATAATTAAGATAGAAAAATATATTTTTGATCCATTATACGCTATAATTAGCTCAAGGATACAAGAAGCGTTACCTAGCAGGTAATCGACCACCCATTGCCATGCCAAGTCTTTCCATTTGCTCAGCTTTCTTTGGATCAGTTTCACGTAATTTAGTCATACCTGCTTTTTTCTCTTGATATACAAACCTAGTAGGAGTTCTATCAAAACGTTTCAAATTTTTAGAATTCTTACATATAACCATAATACATTTGTAAGTACACGCATATGTAAATATATCGAAAATACCGATTCTCGATATCATTTAATTCTTGTTCGGCAACTAAGCCAGATTCTCTTTCTTTTCTTAATATTTCTTCATCCTGAGCAGCAGCACTTTCAACAATACTAAAATCTGTTGTAATTTTTCTAGCGCCTAGTCCCTGCTTGCTACTTGCCTGTATTATTGTTTGGTATTAGAACTGTATGTACATCTGACTTTTAGTCTATCTTTAAAATCGAGAACTTACGCCTTTTTTCTTGCCCGTGATGGGCTTTCTCTTACCAATAGTGGATGCTGAAAAGAATGACAAGTAACCTTAGTAATTGTATAGTGATGATCGGAATTTGAAGTAATGCAACCAGTGCCGCTTTCAAATTTTTACGGTCTACCTTGCTTCCTTGTTCCCGATTCAACTCCATCGACTCTAACAGTAGCAACCTTTACAGTATCTGTAATCAGAATATTTGTTAAGATCTATGATAAAAGTATTAAGTCCAACATCGATAGTTGTTCTATCATACGATAATACATCACATTTACTTAAACGAAATGTAAACAGTGATTATAAATTTAACTATAATTAATTTTTACATTATTTGTATTTTCGATCATGCACTTCGTGAAGTGGTAAGCTCTGTTTATCACGTCCATTACGGTACGTGAAATAATATCAAGTTATTGTGCACTACTACTAACGTAATCGAAGCATATAATAACAATATTCGAACTTTGTAATAGTAGTGCAAGGTACTAAAACTTGATTTGCTTTAAATTCGAAGTTGGTCTTTACTTATGCATACAGTTCTATTATCTGTAGAATGTGGAACATGTAGCAAAAGTCGTAGTATTAGGAATCGTTGTATGGCATTATAGTCGTTATTCTGGTAAGTATGAGTAAACAGTAAGTTGTCACATATTTCTGTTAGTATAAATTACTCGTACATCAAAACGCCGTAAACATAACTATTTTCGACTACGGAATCTCTTACCGGTAATTGTCAAGAATAATTAATAATTAAATTAGATTAACGAACCAGGTTCAGGATTTTCGTTAACTTTTAAGGTATCAACCGCAGGTTGTTCTCTCTTCGGTTGCTGATACCTATTGGATAAATGATCCGTAGTCACTCGTGGAAAGTCCTTTTTTTCTTCTGCATCCGCAAGGAATGGAAAAGCTGCAGGAGCGCTTACTACTGACGATACATCTTTAAAGAAATCACCCTCTTTTGTAGTTGGGCTTGGACTAGTAATATTCTGCAATTTCGTATTGATGTCAATCTTTGAAACATGAAGGTAAAAGTAATTACGTACTGTTGCCGTTAAAAATTAAATACAAGAGTATGTGTGCAAGATAGTAGGGCCATAGTTATGATTAAATATTACCGTGCTAGTACCATATTGTTTCAGGGTCACAGCAGCAAGGCTTGCAAGTTTTTCACGGTACATTCTTGCTACTCGACTGAATAGTAATGAGATTTAACGGAATTCGCATTAAGATTAGTCAGTATCTTGACTTTAGTTAGTTTAAGTGAACCACGATAATCTTAAATATATTACCTCTGGTACTTTGCCGAAGCATCCGTAACTGTTAGACCATGCGATTGAAAAAATTCTCTCTATGAAAAATATGTTACAAGTACAATTTATAAGACAAAATATACATTTTTCTAAAGTATTTGTAAGTGCGAGTTAGTACACCTTTACTATATGAATACAGAAACAAACAGTATTACTGGAATCTACTAACAGCATTAGCGTTTCCTCCAACTTGCATTTGTCTTAACTGTAACCAATTCCATTGATCAAGTAAGGTTGATCTATGATAAAAAATATATCACAAAAATTGCAGTAATTTACCTTTCTGTTTCATTATCTATATGTATAGTTGATCATTACACTATTAACGTATGTATTGTACCTAACAAAACTGATATGAACACCTAATGAACGATGAATTGCCGAACAGTCAAGGCATAGAAATATTCCATACGTGACAGATGACCAAGTGGCATTTTTGGAATTACAGTCAAAGCAAATCTAGGGATACACGTATACAGTACACTCGCATGAGTCCAAATCAGGTGATTCAGGCATACAAATTATACAAGACCAATTACGAATCATAAAGCATATTACATACCTTATTGCTAGGGATGGAGCTTAGTTTCTTGAAAATAGCAACAATTTGCGCTTTTGTAGCTACGGGCACGTCCGACATTTCTCAATCATCGGTTAGACAGTGGTTAACACTGTTAAGTGAACTGGTACAGACTGAGAGTGTTCGTAGTATACTGTACTGTACACTGTACAGGACGATGTACACTTGTACTGTACAGCACGGTACAGTACTGTATGTATCACTGGTCAGCACAATAGCATATCGTTGTTACAGCCCCTGACTAAAATTTTCTACCAAAAGTCCCTAGAACTGGTACAGTGTACACTAGTTATTAAAGAGACCCTTTCTCTATTTTTAATTTTGAGAAAATTACTTATTAAGGGTCTCTAGTGTACAGTACTGTACAGAACACTGAGTACAGAGTACTGTACAGGTACACTGTACACGTTCCTGGTTAGTGTCATGTACTCTGCTTTCTAACAAGTGTGAGCTAGATTTTGCGAGCACAACACTGTCACAGTGGCTATATTATTTTTTCTTTGCAAAGTACTGTACAGTACGGTACAGTACAGTACAGTACTGCATTCTTGTACAGTACAAAAATTTAATTTTAATACTGTACTGTACAGTACAGTACAGTACCGTACAGTATAGGTAAAGGCAATAAATGGTCGTGTCACACGACTGCATTATCATCCAGTGTGTGTGTATGTGACATTGTACAATGCACAAATCTCCTCCACTGTGCAACAACCTCTACAACGCAAAAACCTTTTCCACAAGTAGGACCAAACGGAACACGCAACTACGCTGACTCAGCTGAGCGCAAAACGTGCACCAGATGTACATTGTACACAGCACAGTACAGTACAGTACAATGCGCTATGAGCGCTTGTGCGAGAAGGTTTTGTGCTTTGGAGTAGGTTATTGCACTGTACAGTACTGTATAAAGGACTTGTTGCACAGCGCACACTTGCAACTGAGATAGCACAGCACCGGTGAAGCAGATATAAGCCAAGTACTGTACTGTACTGACCATCGGTAATCGTACCCTACAGTACTGTATACTGTACTGTACTGTATATTGTACAATGTACAGTGTACAGTACACGATCGTGCTCCAAATCAGCTGCCAGTCAAGTTTCAGGTTGATTTTGCACAGTATGGTGTACGGTTACAGCTGTAGCGTATTGTAAAATGAGCACAATAAAAAGTCAGCCACACCATTTTTGCAGCTTTCGCCCTTTCTCTTCTTTCGAGTAGTCCCTGCTTTAAATATGACTACACGAAAGCAAAATAAAAATTCATAGTTAATTTATCTTTACCTTATCAGTAATAAGTTAGTTATACTGATCAAAATGATAACGCAAATACTGTAGTATACAGTATAGCACGTGAAGTACAATATGAACGAGGGATCGACTATAGGTAGAGAGTACGAGACAAACAGACCGGTTTTCTCATTCATCTACAGTATAGACCTGTTCACTGTTTAGTTCAAGGCTTATGAACTAATATTGCACCTGCCTGAATGACTCAGTGAATTCTTTCAGCGCAGTCTTGTACAGTACAACTGTACTGTACTGTACAAAATATACTGTAGACGAACTGCGCAAGACTGGTAACTGTGCAGCACAGTACAGTACAGTACAGTACTGTACAGTACAGCAGAAAGAAACTGCACTTCATAACTTTTAACTTTTTTACTATCATTTAATAAGACAAATCTCTGGTTTGAAAATTTGCAAAAATTCCGAGATGGTGAGTCTAGACATCGGTTACAGGATTTAAAAGTATTTTATGAAGTTTAAATTTTAATCGCTATAATTACGATTACCTATAGTTTCGCAACCAGTATGATAGCGATGTCACAGTATGGAGTCCACAGGTATGATGTTTGAGATTTTAGCACTTATAAATCATAGATGTGCTTACAGTATACTGTCTATCAATTACTGTATTCTTCTCTTTACCTAAGAAATGGAAGTAAAATTGTCTAATATTAAAGGTTAATTCATTGTAGGGAAGGCTATATCAAGTTGAATACGCAATGGAAGCCGTTAAACAAGTACATAGAATGAAAAAAAATTAGCAGTACTTAATTAACGTCTATTTCAGTCTTCTTAATTTGCAGGACTTACGAAATAATTCGACCTAAAGTTTAAAAGCTTATTAATCTTGCTATTTAAAAGGGTGCTGCAGTTGTTGGAATAAAATCAAGGACCCACGTTGTTTTAGCGGCTTTTAAAGTACGTATTGATATATTGTGTAAGAATTTTTTGTGCTTCCTTTATAATGTGCTGTATACTTGCTGTTTTACAGCGCGCTACTGACGATTTAGCTGCAAATCAAAAGAAAGTTTTGGCAATAGATGACCACATTGGTGTAGGGTTTTCCGGTTTAACAGCGGATGCTCAAGTCTTAACGTTCGGAGCTTTGGAACATTTGAACTTGCAACTAACTTTTACTAGTAGCAGTCATGATATAACTTTCGATTTCTCTATTATAGGAAATTTTTAAGAACTGAATGTTTAAATTCGAAATATGCCTATAATACGCCTCATTCTGTTACTAGGCTCATTGCCGCATTAGGAGCGAGTATGCTAAGTCGAGTAGTAATAATAAATCATTATCCATAGATAATGTGTACTACATTAAGTGATGCCGCGCAGGTATTAGAATATAACTTCTGTAACATCTCGATTTAAACACAGAAATGCAGATTTGTACACAAGTATACGGCCGGAGACCATTTGGCGTCGGGTTTCTAGTTGCTGGATTTGACGTAAGCTATGGCATATACTTACATCTTATTCTATGCTTTCTTTGAGAAAATATATATATTCAACGATTTAGGAAACTGGAAGTCACTTAATTCAGACATGTCCATCTTCCAATTATTATGATTGCAAGGCGATGGCTATTGGAGCAAGATCTCAGGTACTATTTAATTAACCCTACGTACTATAGAACAAGAAATATCGATATTAAAGTGATCATAAAATATATTCGGTTTTAAAGTCTGCCAGAACGTACATGGAAAGGAAACTGGAAGAATTTGAGGATTGTTAGTGCATTTTCCTAATACTGTCTACCTTAGATCCTTAATAGTCTTGATTAAAAAATTAAATTTATAAAACATGTGATTTGTGATTTCAATTATTAGGCGACCGAAATAAGTTAATTACACATGGTTTAACTGCTTTAAGAGAATGTCTATCTGACGGAGACCTTGATACAAAGGTTAAGCCACGGAAACCACAATCATTAAAATCTTTCACTGCAATATTATCTGATATAATTGATATTGATAAAACAGTGTATTCGATATCTGCTTGATTAACCCTTTGTGTCATTATAGAATTGTTCTATGGCCGTGGTCGGGAAGGGAGAGAATTTTCAAATATATGATGGGGACGCTATCGCTTCATTTATATCTTTTACATTGTGACAGTTTAGGAATACAACTTTTGGTACATTAACACTTAGCAAACACCTAACAATGCTAACAATTTACCTCTATATTTTGACCTTAATAAATTCCGTAGCTAACACTTATTGATAAAGACGTCGCGGTAAGTTAGCTTAACTTATATAGTATGTTTTATTATTGTTTCTTCAATAATTTCTAAAAGCTGTGCTCGGTGTTAGTTACTTCATGGGATAAACTACTAATTCCATAGTACTGTACCTGTCAATTAGTTAAACTTTTTTCTTATGGTAATACTGATTGCAAAGCTGCTACAGATCTGCCAGCTATTCGCCATAAATGTTGCTAAATTTCATTTATTAAGCCGTCTGAAATTATTATAGGGTACAACTCAGCCAGGAGGTGAAGCGATGGATACTTCAACATAGATTACTGTTCGTATCATACATAATACGTTTATCATTATGAAGTACAATTAGGTCACGGTCCGGATGTTCTTTAATAATTCCTAGAACTGTTACAACTTTTTTTAATAGATACGCGTATGTACATAACATACGTTCTATTTGTAATCTGCAAATAAGTTTATTTACGATTATTGTGCGATATATGCAAACCATCGCTACTACCCATTGATTTATGTTTTTGCTTCTTACTTGTACCGTAATACTATCAATAGTACCGATGATTGTGTTTATTTAATTACTATTACGAAACTTTCCCACGAATAAACCGTATGATTTAATGTATTTGTTCGATGTTAATTTGAGAACTATATTCATATGAATCAAAATTTCGATAGAATAGATGAGATACAGCATACGCTTACTGGGAATTAAAATCATGGAAGAGTGAAAGCGTTATCTAGCCTTCTTCACCTGACAACTTTACTGTGCAACGGCAAATACGGAAATATTTATTTAAAAAAATCCGGTATTCGGAATCAGACTAACAAACTCAATATATGAAAATGAAAATATCCCTCGCCGATTGTGTAGTACAAATATAAGGATTCTAATACGGCTTGAAAAATCATGACCAGAATATAGTACAGGAAGCGATTTAGTGAACTGTAGTAATAAATACATGACAATTATATGTCGGCTAGCACTATTTGCTATGCAAACGTTTAAAATCGGTATTAATAGGTGATTACTTCATAAAATTATTTGCAATGCAAACGATACCAAAAATATTACACCATTGACTGAAAACTTGCTTTGGCATTGTATTCTACTATATACTCATCGAGGCTACCACCGTGACTTACAACATGAATACTGTAGTAACAGGTTGTACCTATGAATTACTTTTTAACATTCGTACTATCGAACTGAGAAATTAGGATAACCTTCCTACTGGGTTTACCCTAAAATGGGTCCCAGTAATAACATACACTTACTGAAGTGCAGTACTAAATCATATCATATCATGTGAGAAGTAAAGTATTCGTATACTGTATATACCACTAGAAGAAGCCTAAACTTAGGCATTCCCCTAGTGGTCCATGATTCATAAATATATAATCACCTAATAAACGCTGTGATAATCTTTTGCTCTGATCAGACTTAAAGTATGACCGGAGTAATATAATGGTATAATTGCATTCCAGTTTACAACGGTATCACCTATAAAGTTTTGTTCTCATATAATATCGGCTATTCAAGGTACGCGTATATAAAAAATCCCATTTCATAATTATTAGGATTTTAGCCTAAAATATTCATATCATTATATCAATCAAAATGAAATTTCTTTTTATTATCTACTTAATGTTAGTTATCACTGCGTAACCTTACATTTACTCATAACTATATTATACTAGGTACCAAACATGAAGAAATAAAATATGCGTATAAGAATGTACAATTGTACACCGTGTTACGTCATGTCTCTGTAAAACCTCTGTGAATATTGACACAGTGACAAACACAAGCTTAGGTGATTAAGAACTCGTTTATTGCAATATCATCTTATCAATGAGTATTGTACCTGATCCGCGTACCAAAAATACATTTAAAAGTGGAGTTCATACCAGATCACACAATCAAGACATTGTTACATACTGTACATAATCTATAAATAAAGCATAATCATTTCAGCTACAGTACAAAATATAATACTATATGATGCTATATGATATTATATGACATGTACAGTACGTCACTCGTGAACCTCATAATTAGGTTTATGAACATAAAAATTTATTTTGATACGATCATATCGAACGTGGTTATCTTCGTCGATATCATCTTTCGTGATTATTGCTGAAAGTAAAAAATCACTGGGAAATATCCGATCGATAAAGTTTGCATAAAAATTCTATAGCGATACTTTTATCATGTTGGATACTAATAATTTTGCATAAACTCTCAGAACCTAACTTGCTGTAGGTAACGATCTAATCCTTTTATATGCTGGTTGTAACGGTCATGTATGTAAGAATGCCGTACTTGTTTTACTGCACTTAATGTATTGTCAATTTGTCATGAATTACTAAGATAAGGGTATAATACGTTATTACGGCTATACTGTACTATTTAAATGCAGTAAATCCTAAATAAGGATTAGATTTTAGTAAGCTTACTAGGAGTGTATCAAAAGCTATCGTGCCCACGTTAACGACAAAGAGTAGAAACACAACAGTAACTGCACTTTATAAACTCCTGATAGTCTACGCATAGAAATATCGCTCTGGATTAATAGCAGAATTGTGTCGGAATTGTCTTTGAAGAAACTTCGCTCATATACATACAGTACGCGCACAATATGCCACATCAACGAATTCATCACGTAAAAGTCTTGATACTACTGTAGGCCTAGCCTGCCGCATTGAGAAATCCTTCAGTAATATTCTTATAAACAACCATGAAAGTGCCAAAATGGTAATTTGAAAATTTAATAGTAAAAGTGTCATTGGAGTCTTTCTGAATCCTGAATTTGCTATGATATCGTTAATATTCTATCATCTCTTTTTGGCGTGAATAATAAAGAAGAAAGTAGCAAAACAGTACCCAGAATGCAAAGGGAAAGATTATTGTTATCATCAAATCCAATTAATTTCTTAATTTTTTCGTGCTTCGGTATGGACAAAAACCTGACGTGCCGTCAGGTCTAAAAGACGACTGATTTGTACCAAAATCACTAAAAAGTATCTCTAAAGTAGGACATGCTAGAGTTAATTAAGATTTGAATGTAATTGATACCGTGATCCATGATTGATAGTTATCAAACCATTGCGTGATGCATAAATAATTATTATTATTATCACTCGCCAAGCTGAGATGGACGCTAGGTAGTTCCGGCAAAGTGATTATACCCCTTTCTTTGTATTTAAAGTTACCGTTGCTGTAAAAATCGTGTTTAAATAAAATAGAAATAAATAAAGTTAGAATGAAATAGCAACTTTAAGTCTAACATATGGCTACAGATAGCAGAAAATCAATTTTTGATCTATGCATAGACACCTACAGTACTGTACCATTACAATAAGAGTGATGGTTGCTTTAAATAAATAAATAAAATACTCATAAAAGTGCGAATTTCTAGCATCGGACTTTAGCATCCTACCTCCGCAAACTAACCTTGCAGTAAATCTACTCCTGTAACGCTACCGATATCTTTTATATCGATAAATAAGCCATTGGAAATATAGTTGCCAAGTCACCATACTTATCATAGCTGGCTGGAACACTCAAATTTTTATTTTCAATTGCATATTTTCGCTGATCAAACGCTGATCGCTTGGCTATATCTACTGAATTCCACTCAGGACTGATATTAATCTCTGATGAGTCGTAAATAGAAAGGACAGAGCCAGATCTGTTAATTTGGCTTTTATTATGGAAGCTGTTAACTGATCGCTGATCCAAGCAATTGCAATTTCTGTTAAAAGACTTCGGTAACGTGCTAACAACCTCCGCAGGGTTTGCGGACCACCGCAAATTAGATGAGTGATATCCTTGCGTTTTTTGATTGGTGAATGGTCGCCGGCCTGCGCTTGGTGTAAAGCTTTTGCTACGCGTAAGCAATTTAGTTTCTAAATCCATATCATAACAATGGGGTTTCATAATAAGATTTCGATTGAAAAAATGAACGGTAAATTAATTAAAAGATAATTACACAAATGAAGCAACAAGTACTGTACACTGCTATTACTATAAATTAACTGCTGCTCAGACATGTGCGAATAAGTACTGTACTGTACAGTGCTGTAAAATTCTAAACTCTATTAAAACTGGTACACTGTATACTGAAGTACTGTATTTCACTCAGTAAAAAAGTAAATAAGTATATTTATTTATTTAACACGGGGTTCTATGACTTCTATCCTAAACTAACCGTAAGCGATTTTTTGACACATACTGTATATTTTTAATAATTCATTGACTTCAATTTGAATTAACTATCATATTAACAAATAACTCACGAACACAACAAGAGCGCCGTATAGGTATACTAATATAAACATTATTATTTAAAGGTACGGGCACCAAGATTAAATTTCAAAAAATCCTCCCCATCAGCAACCAATTCAGCAAAATTGTAAAGTAAAAAGTATTAGTGCAGATACAGTACGCGAAGTATAACGAGCGTGGGTTCTATCATTGACTTCTAAGAGCTATTCCTTGAAGAAGTCTCTGTTATGTATGATAGACTGGTAATGTCTAGGAATTAGGGCAGATAAAATTGCATAGCTGCCTAGCTGATAAGATAACCGTATAATACGAATACCGTAACTGTATTGACACATTCACTAGTAACTTACTAATACGTATGTAATATACATACAGTATATATCACTTGTGGGGAAGGCAACCCAGAATAAAAAAGTGGACTCCTCGCTTCAGGCTCCTTTGCAGTGTCTAATCCAGTATTGCGTGATTGAGCTAGTAGTGTCCCACTAGAGAACATAACGGTCTCTAGTTCTGTCTAGACTTAATTACTACAGTAGTTGGTACACACGCGAAGCAGAACGAGCGAGTGCTGTAATACTGTGATTGTATGTACTGTGTACTGTACTTAGATCAAGCATGTAGTTACTGGTATTGCATGTACCTGTTTCGTCTCTAATCATTTTTCTCCTGCGCTTGCTGTCAGTTTGAACCCTTTTTTTTGCCTTTTCGCCGTACAATCTTGTGAACTGATTTCGAGTTTTTAAGGATACATTGTAAGCGAGGCGATAATACATTCGTGCTTTTTTTAAGTCCCTATACCTACCAAAATCACTCTCTAAAATTCTCCCTAAACGATAATAGACATTCGCGGAGGGATCTTCAACAAGGGATGCCCTGTAGGATACAAAAGTTTGATCGAGGTACTCTTTACTCTCTTTCAGACTTCCACTATGATCATCATTTGCTTTCATTTTACCGAGATAATAAGTAGCCAGTCGATTAGTCGATGTATCAATCGGCGAGTTATCTTTAGCGAAATGTAACAATAGACTTGCCTTTTTATCAGCAGAAGGTAATAATTTATGCTGAAGTAGTAATTTTGCTATATATGGATAAGCTTCATCATATCCAAGGCTTGCAGCCAAAGCAAAATAATGCATCGCAGCAGTTATATCTTTCTTCGCACCAATCCCTTTGTAGTAGATGAAGGCCAGCAAGAAAGAGGACCACTGATTAGCGAAACTAAATATAAAATCTGATCTAACAACGGATTCTTCTAATAGCTGAATTGCAAGAAGAGGATTTTTTTTTACGCCTCCTAGACCATATAAAAACATCAAGGCAAAGTAGTACGAAGCGAAAGCTGTCGGGAAGTTCCTATAAAGGAACTCTACGTAACCTCGACAACAGTATGAAGAATTCAGATCTTTAAGGTCCTCTGAATAATACAGAGATACCATTATACTTATTGCTACTGGATGTCCATAATCGGCAGCCAATTTTAAGTATTTATTATATTTGCTAATATTCTTAGGGTATCCATATCCCAGATAGTATATCCAGTAAGATATATTCCAATAGGCATCAGCATTTCCTAACTTTGCAGCTTTACGAAAACATTTTATTGCCTTTTTGTAAGACTTTTTTCGTTCTAAGATATTCCAACTACCCTTCAGTATCAATACATAGCCTAATCTATTGTAGTTATATCCTGATTTATCAGTATCTTCTTCAAATTTCAATCTGGAATAAAATTTAAGTTCCATGCTATTAATTATGTCTCGCCAAGATACAGATTTCTTGCAATGCCTATACAATTCTTCGTGAGCACCACAGTAATAAACGCTCTGTGATGCAGAGTTGACGTACATCTCTGCCTTAAAGGCAATCATTCTCTCAATATCTTCGGTACTATCAATAGAATTCTTTTCCCAATCGTATAATTGACAGATTACGAACTGTGCTATGGGATGATTTTTCTTAGCGGCTTTAACATAAAGCCGGAAAGCTTTATCCAAGTCTTTGGGGGTTGACCCTAAACCATAATGATGGATACGGGCTAATTCGAAACAAGTTGAAGAAAGCTCTTCAGCTTGAAAGGAAATCTTGCTAGAAACCCTGTCATATAATTGTTTTACTTCAGTAGCATTTACTAAACTTTTAATCAATTGCTCTACTTTTAAGGGCATTATTGTGGAGTATGTGGTTCAGCTAGTAAAATAGAAAATAATACAGTATGTGGATACAAAATACTGGAAACTTAATCTTATTCAAATTAACTACAGTGTATCTCGAAGTTTCAAATCCACTTATAAAATACGTTTGAGGATTGGACCGATATGATATACATAAGTAGATATTTAAGGGTCTTTTACCTGTTTAAGCAATATGATGTCGTAAATGATTCAACGGGGGGTATAAAACGATTCAACTTTCATACAAAAATAACGTACTGGTTGTTGCTTACGATATTCAATTGTTCATATTGTTTAGATTTATTTTGATAAAAAGGATAATGTTGTCTCTTTCCATCAACTATTGAAGTAAACTATAGGCAATTCTATGGACCTTCCAATCCATAACTACAAGTATCAAGTGTAAATAAAATAAAGCCAAGAATATCATAGAAACACAGGAGCACAATGAATGTATATTAATTAATTATACATGTAATTATGCTAGCTGGATCACCGCATTAGCCGATTTCTCATGACGATGCTATATATATATATATATATATATATATAGCTTACGTATATATATATTAATCCTAAACTGATGAAGCTACTTCATAATGTTTAATTAAATATTAGGTTATATCAATTATGATTCAACACACTAAGTTCTGGAATCGATTATAATTATACAAACGCCCGCAAAATCTTCAATCCATATTACGGTACTGTGTGAACTATTTAGCTATATACTGTAATGTTTTGTCACAAAGACATCGTTCTGGTTTTAGAGATAATGTACTTTATTGAGGCAAATAGAAAGTCATGTATTAGAACATAAGATAGAGCAGTTGCTTCCTTCTCAAGACTTTTACATGACACTTCGGTCATCAGTAGAAGATTAGAAGAATGATAGAATGAATCATACTGTATATCTACAGAACGTTTTATTTATACTCGTACGCACACTTTACTCGTACTGTATCATACGATTGCGTATACAGTACTATACTGTACAGCTGAAATAGTAAAAATTAGAGGTACTGCACAGTATTAATTAATTTTTTTGCCCTTCAGGAGCCACACTGAGCCATAGCCATTCTGTAATTTTTAGGGAACTAAATTGCACTGTTCTGTTCTATCATAGACTACTAGAAATTACAATTAGTGATTCTAGTAGTCCATGGTAGTGACCGTAGTGTACTGAGCCATTCAAAAAAAAATCAGCACCTGAACAGTGAACAGTTCTAGCATAATACAACTAGCTTTATTTAATCGGATAAATCGCTATGAAGATTATAAATGTTACGAAAACACAGTACAGTACATAGTACTTTTCAGGATACATAGCCACAGCCACTTTATAAGAAGCCGATATTATTTTATTTAAAAATTTAAAAGTTAATCTTACATTCTTTCAAGAGCTCTTGCCATGCATTATGTTGCATACTAGCAAATAGCAATACTAGTACGTAATAATACTGTACTGTACAGTATACAGTATAACATGACAATATGTTATACTGTACATACAGTATTGTGTACTGTATGTACTGTATAATGCAGTATAATTATCCTATAATTATCCTATATTGTATTACACAGCGACACGCACTGGTAATTCGTCATCAATTCAGAATACGCGTATTCACCTACTGCACATCACAACTACTAGTAAACATAATAGTGGTAATATTATTCACTCTCACAGGCTGCAGTTCAACACGCTCTTTATTCCTATTCAGTTACTCTCACGTCTGTGTATTTGCTCAACGTACTTACGATACAAGGCGAGTCCTATTTGTATCATCAAAAACTCTTAGCTAGTATGCCTTGACATACACATTACGTCACGGTCTTCTAAGCATTACCTAATTGATAATTCTACTGTATGTTTACAATATTACAGTCCAGTTACACCTTTCAAGAATGTTAGAACAATTCATTATTAAAAAGTTGACTTCTTTATCGGAATAATCAACTGAAGCCACTGACTGAAGCAGCTTCAAATAATACTGCGAGACCATAATTTACTAATTGCAACATTTCCTCTACAGATAAAAGGGTACGTGTGGGTCCTCCTGGCACCGCAGCAACGTCCAATAATACTGTAGAGTAAAACGTATTGTCCACAAGGATGCATTCAATTTTAATCAACTGTAAACCCCATAACTTACTTATTAGCTGTAATATATCATCAAACATTTATTTATCATTTTATCACTCGGCAAGTTTAATTACCAAAAAGTGCTTACCCACCATCTGAGTTATTATCTACGTGATTGTGAATCAAGGGTAAAATCGACTATCCCGCAATCCCAGGGAATAGGATTAAAATACGACGGTTTTGGCTTAGCTGAAGAGTCATAATAACTAGTTAAAGTTCCATTGATATATCCGTACGCTATATAATTTGAAGGCGAACTTGGTTTCGCTCTTGCTAGCCACATTCTGTATGCTTCTTGACTTTCACGTCTGCGACGTTCAAAATTTTTTAGAACTTCCGTTCTCTCTTCATTAAATTTCTTCTGTTTCTGCCTTTCTTGCATTCGCTTCTTATTTATCCATTCTTCGTATATCGCAGCAGCCTTCTTTCCGAGTTCCTCTTTCCTTATTAAATTTTCTTCTTTGGTCTTAATAGCTTTTCTGGCGTGAAAACTAGCTGCTTGCTCCTCCTTTTGCTTTAGAGATTTTAGCCATTTTCTGTAACTATTTTTTGCCTTCAAACTCTGTCTTTCCTTTTCAATAGCAGTAGAGTCTTGCTTTTGTTTCTCAGCTTCCACATTAAACTTCTTTTCTTTTAGTCTCTCCTTATTTTTGTATGCTTTCTTTATTACCCATTCTTGCCAACTTAACCCATTTCTTGCATATTCATTCTCTGTAGTAAGGCCTTTCTTAATGTTATCGGTAAATCTATTCTGCAGCATATCGAACTGGATCAAATAAAAATTTGTTATAGCTTGCAAAGTCCGGACGTCAAGTTGACATCTTAACGAATTATGTACTGTACATGAATACCTTTTGATCTTTATCTTAATCTACAATACTGTATCTAAAATTACTATCAAATTTAACTAACGTCATAAGGTAACAATCACTAGCTCAAGAACCTGATCTAAAGCGGCTTTCACATCAGATCACACCAGAAAACAGCGTAAGTACTGTAGTATCATGGACTGCTAGAAATGTACAACTATAGGCGTACAGTACATTGTACAGTACAATGTGTACAATTGTACTGTACGTTCGTATTCTTACCTCGTAAATAAGAGTACTGTACTGTACTGTACAGTGTACACCAGTACACTTTCCAGTGGAGAAGTATACAGTATACTGTATGTCACTGTACAGTATATGAGATACAGTATACAGTATACTGTACTGTACTTCTCTGCTGTACAGTACAGTACAGAACAGTAAATAGTTTTGTATCGGGTATCATACTGTACTGTACTGTAGATGCAAGATGCAATGTGCGTAATACTGTACTGTACACTGTACTGTACAGTACTGTACAGTATAATGCGATGTACAGTACTGTACTGTAGTGTGCTATACTGTACTGTGCTATACTGTATGTACTGTACTGTACTGTACTGTACATTACGGTAGTATTTAAGATATTTAAGATCGCTTTTGTGAGTTTGCGTTAATAACATATTGCCTGAATTTAGTATGTTATAAACATGTTTAAAACTTACTATTGTTACAGATTACATTAATAATGTTGAGAGATTGTAATAAATATAATTTCATTATTCATGGTACCAATGCAAGACAAGTCAGAATCTGAATTACCCGTTTTGTGCTGTTAGTGCGCTCCCATTAATCAGAATCTGAATACCTCCTTTTAGTGCGTTTCGTGCGAGAACTTCATGATTCTACAAATCTGTTGTTTTACGCTTGTTAGTTCTACGTCTTAATTGTAAACTGTGCTATATATGTGCGTATTAATTAATCCACCGTTCTACAAATTCACAAATTATACTGCTTTGTATGTGAAAGGCGCACGTGTATAAATCGCCGTTTTTAATCAATAAAGACAGAGTAGGAGTACGCGGTTAATTATACAATAACTTCAACTATTTGTACTGTTTTCTATCTCCCTCACTAATTTAGAGCAATACGAACCTTCAGTATTAACTCTAGATAGTCTTACATCACTGTAAAGTATACCAATGTAGTAGTACGTATGTTGACTAAGAACCTAAGATGAAGAAGCGCTTAGCAAGCTCTGTCCCTATACAGTCTCCTCGATCATTAATAGAACCTCATAACGTATTTCTCCCTATTATTACCGACTAAAGCAGTATAAACTTCAAAATACCACCCTGTATACTAGAGACTAGATTATTACTTCTACTACGTACAGTATATACAACTCGTGTTAAATAAATCCTTTAATTTGATTTAAACAATGAGTTAAATTCGATGAAGCATTCACCGACATACTGTAGTTGTTAATTCGTCACAGATACAGAATCGATAAGCGATAATATAATAATTATTAATAGTTTAGCTTGAAATTTAGACGATTCCTACAAATAATTGCTAAAGCAACGGTCTAAGGAAACTTTAAAATCTGGAAGGCAATAATAATGAATCAGATATTTATATTCATCGGGCTACTCTTGCATACATATCTGTATATTATAAACGAGATCCATAAATAAATTTTCATCACTTGATCAACTTCATAGTAGATAAAGCATACTATATCACAGCTATTCATTTCTTTACAATGCACTGAACAGACAACAATTTACATTACTGCCTGGAATGTATTATAACTTAAAAAGTGCGACAGGCGGAAAAGCTCGATAAAAGAAATGCAAGCGCATCGATATGTAGTATCTACAACTTAACTGTATATATCATTGATAAGATAATCAACCTTAGAATAGTTACGTTTTTGGGCAAATTCGAGCCATCTTCTGGCTATGAGCCCGGTGATAATTAACAAAAAGAGCATTCCAAAAAATATAACAGCAATTAACGATCCACTAGAGGTAGAGTCATATTTCTTTATGATTATCTTTGTCTTATTGGTGCTAAATTCTGAGGAAATAGTTCTCGATGCATCTTCTATTATTTGTTTACCACTGGTAGGAGTTACCGAAGATTCCAAATCCGATGCTGTAGTAAGCTTTAAATGATTGTGAACTGTTTTCAGGATCACGTAAGTAAAAGTGGTCAGTTATACGAGAATTTGATTATATACAGTTAATTAATTAAATGCCGTAGATTTATGAAAAATTTGATAACTAAAGTATTACTTAAATCATCGGTTAAATCCCATAAAAGCATGTAACTCCGATATACGTAACTATAATTATAGTAATGAACAGCACATTGAAGTTATATCCTTTTCATTCTGCATGCGCTTGTCCATAATTCAGTATATCGATGTGGTGTCAATACTTTTTAATCTTTAAAATGAACTCAAACTAGCAGGTTATAATACTAACTACGTATTAGTGTGAATTACTAGAAATTCCTGTATTTGCGAGCGAAAAGAATTGGAAGATAATAAGGTAATAGTTCTATTAATTAATCATTTATATATGGTTTAAGCCTATCAGGCATTCTTTAGCGACTTACAGTGGACATACGTATCTATAGATTGTTATATATCGTGTAATCAAATCAAAATCTTAACAGTTGATCATAAGTACATTCAAAATGATAAACGTGTCATTTAATTTTGAAATTTATTCTGCAAATATTTCCTGATGATATCTAAATACTCTAGAATGTACTCGTAGATATTCATGTCAATACATTTCGTACTCTTAAGCAGCTATTTATTAAAATATTTTAATCATTTTCAATCTTTTGTCAGATAGAGTGTATTCGTTAACAGTAATCGAATGGACTATTATGCGTACAGTAATCACTAATTACGCGAATTATCTTATTTTGGATTGCCGATCCATCTTAACAATGAGGAGCATAGATGGTGCAACGCGCACTTAAGATAGTAGTATACATACATACATACATACAGTACTGTAATTATTTATTTATAATAATTATAATCAATACATATGGCAAATTTTAGCCGGCGTTAGCAACAGTTATTCGTTCATGTTCTATGAATATAGTAATGGTGTACTGTCAAATGTTTTATTTAATCATAATTGTACGCATATTTTATTATCGTTTATTAAGGACGATGAAAACACAGTAATGCCACCAAGTACAGCAACGTAATTAAACAATAAATTTCAAAAGTTGTCTTATAGTTATCCTGATAACCTACCGTTAACAGAGTCATTCGAAAGCAATGGTACATTTGGTACTGGTCCAGTGGTGCATACTGTATGATCCACTTGTCTTTGGAAAATGCATTTAGATATCACTGGGCAATGGTATAGTTTGCAGTTATGAGTTCCATCTTCCCTTATCGTCCTATGAAAGGTAACTACATTACAATTTTTTTTATTACAACATCGAGCATAGCAGGAGTTTTCGTGAATAAACGATAGGCTCTCAATAATTGCGACTCCTTGGTGCTGCAGCGACAAATCATGGTTAATGACGACATCTTTGGTTTCATTTATAAAACATCTGTTTTCATAAAGTAAGAGACGGTGTTTACTAAGAGTAGATAAAAAGTTCATCATTATCACCACCATGATAAAACAGGGTTTCATGGCACTCGGCATCCTTTTACCATTAGAAATCCCTGCCTTGAAAGTACTATTATTAAGAGTTTACACTTGATTATATTATAATTATCAGACGAATCTAACAGTGTGAGCAAAGATAAAAACGCTATGCCCATACGTACAGTACAGAATGGACAGATAGTTCATTCACTAATATTTCAGACCACTGTGCTCGTAATTGATCGGGTAGTTGTTTGTCACAACTTATTTACAGTATTAGATAGTAAGTAAACCCACAACTGATCAGGATACTATCCATGGTACGGTATCACGGTATCACCGGTAACGTTTTAAATTACTGTACTTTTTCGATCTTGTTTAAGTCAACCGCTTTATACTGTATAGTATATACTGTATGTCATATACTGTATATGTACAGTATATGCTCTGTACTCATGTACGGTACAGTACACTACAGTACAGTACTGTAGATCGTTTGGCTTTGTACAATGCACACTGTACACTGTACAGTACAGTAAAGTACAGTACTGCACCAGGGACTTCTAAAGACCAGACCATGAAGACCTCTAGTACAGTACAGTACTGTACAGTGTACAGTGTACAGTACAGCGAGGGATCGACTATGGTAAATGAAAATACGCAAAACTCTATAAAGTCATGGAGTACTGTACTCAGTGTACTGTACTACTCAACTAGATACAGACAGGCGTACTTGGCTGCGGTATACAGTATATGTTACTTTATACAGTATATATACAGTATACTGTCATACACAGTACATTAGTAGGTTTAGGGCTAGGGTTGTACAGTATACAGTACAGTATTATACAGTACTCAGGTTTCGGACTGCTTATGTTCTTACTGTACAGTACAGTACAGTATACTGTACGCGTATCTTTTACTTCACACTAGTGTATGTACTGTACATACAGTACAGTAAAGTACACTGTAAAGTACTGTACACTGTACAGTACATTATCACTATCTCGTACTAGAAATTTTCAAGTTGTGAAGAAGGATTTCTACAAATTCGTGAATGCTGTATGCAATGAACTGACTATATATTAAAGAACGATTCTAATTCTAACTGCACTAACAAGACAGAAGCGAAGTCAACATGGAGAAAGCAATCGTATCGAACAGCAATCAATCCCTAGATCACGAGTTAGTTGGTACGAAACCGCGTTCTTTAACATTTAGTGCGCCGGAATGCCTTAGGTAATATATTCCAGCACTGTTGTGATTGTGAATAACTTGCGATTTTAATTGTTCACTAAGTTTATTCAATACTTTAAAATAACATACAGCTAGTACTTTAATGCGTATTAATAATTGGTTATGACTAATATTGAAATACTAGTATAATTACAATGTTTCGATGATAACCATATTGCAAATTTTAACGTAGACCTAAAGCACTAGAAACACTCAATGGTCACAACGTAAGTTCAGCAGCTAGTAACAGATCACCATCTCCATCTTTCGTCGAAGTAAAGGCCCTTGCACAAGCAAAATTGAAGGATGAACTTAAACGATACCAAGAAGTTAGACTGATTTAGCAGCTTACACTCACTCTGTTGTAGTTGTCACAGTTTCAAATTTACTACAGCGGTACTTCAAAATAACAACTATATAATATAAAATAATAAAGTACTTTACTCGATTTAACTCTTAATAGGCCTATTGCCGTATTCTGCTAAGGACTTTTCTAGAAGTCCCTAATTCTACCTGCTAACTTCAATATACCAATGACAATTAACAATACCATGATTCTTTAATTAAAGGAATTAAAACTCAAAGATGAAGAAGTAACAAAATTGAGCAAAGTTAAAGATCAAATTAATGAAGAAGTTGAAGAACTAACGGCCAGCCTTTTTGAAGTATGACAGTATAAAATACTCTACATTACCACATAGATCATAAAACATATACAGCAGTTAAAATTTTTACAAACAACGGAATTGCCTCTACAATAAGGAAGCTAATTCTATGGTACTCGAAGCGAATATCAAGCAAGCAACGGCTGAGAAAAAGTTAGTTGAAGCTCAGAATAAGGTTGGTGTATTCTTTTACTGTTTTATTTGCTGATTTTAGAAAAGGATTTGTTCATTTCGCTGTACTGGAAGTCTGGAACTCTCTTGATTTTAAGCTTCCGCTATAACTTACTGTTCCATATACACGAACAGATCATCTCATAACATTGCACTGATTCTATGTCAGATTGAGGCGCTCGAAACAGAAATTGTAGCACTTAAACAGGTCTTAGAGTCGACTGAAAATCATTCCCAGGGACATTCCGATAAGCACAGACGAAATCTAACCAATCCTTTTCGTCAGGTAGCATTCCTAACCACATTGTTTTGAAGAATTATTGCCCGCGTATAGCCAATCAGATCCAATGCATGTCATAATTTTCTTATGCCTCTTAGTTTTCAAATAAATTCAGTTCTAAAAACAAGCGAAATCAAGAAATACCTAGCATTTTTGAAAATGAAATTCCGGAGGTCTGAATTTAGTCTTATTAGCTTTAAGATTTAGGTGTTATCCATCAAATACAAAATAAATGTAATTTGATGTACCCGTCCCATAGGACGCATTAAGGTTAATCTCTGTACTGATTACCAAGTGCTATTCTTATTCATCTACCAAACACATTACATTTAGGTCGATTCTGTTTATTACGGTGAATTTCTCCAATGGTTGGATAACCCTGATTTGGACTACGCTAAACCTTTTCTGGCACGAATTTATGGTGAAGATATTTTAACGTGCCTTGAATTATCCAACAAAAACGTAATCTTCAAATCTTAGATTAGCATTAATACTTAAACTAAGGATTTTGATTAACTTTACAATTGATATTTCTGTAAACTAAAACTTTGCAGCTAACCCAGATTGTCCAAAGGGCAATAGAACGAAGTACGTTTCACATGGAAGCTTTAATCGATCCTATCATTAGGTATCACATAGTATTTTGCGAAAATGCAATTACTTATAGAGATATGTTCGTAATTTGTAAATGTAATACTAAATTTTAACATTGTCTTATTAGAGAAGATGCCTTAAATGGTATAAAACAAAAGTGCAAATATCGCATAAAATGTACAGACGATTCGGAAGATTGGCTTTATATTGGTCAAAATACCAGAAATAGGGTAAATTAGTTAAAAATGTAGCACAGTCTCATTTGAACAAATAGCTTAAGGTTCATACAACAGTAAAGTTTATTTTCATACGTTACGTGGACAGTTGTTAAGAATAATCGCAGTAATGGACAGAAAATATCTATTTAGTTATAATGATGACTACATACTCTATTTTTGGTAACTTGCCTACCGAAATCCTATCTCGTATTCTACTGTATACTATACAGTGCATATATCCGAGATACTACAGCAGTCTACTAGAATGTGTCCTTGCAAAATACTGTATGACTCGAAATTCTTTGTTAACATCCCACAAGTTTTACAAAGTACAAACCATTATGTACTACGCCCCTTGACACTTTATCAATTTTTTGTCTGAACATATGAATGATATGAGTGATAGGACAAAATCTCTTAATTAAATTACCGGATGCATCGACTGATTATTAACTCCTTAGTATACCTCTGCACTTTGCCTGCTGCCGTTTTGCCACTAGAACCAAATTTCATGTACTCTTATCACAAAACTCACTAGATGAGTTAATGAATGTCCACTTAGAATAACGTCAGCATGATGTAGGAAATTGAGATACTAATGTTAACCATTCGAAAGTGCCACCACAGATGTAATATCAGTCCCTAGTGTTCGTTAACTATTCAGATATGCTAGTGGATGCTTTTCAAATCACTTCTGCGTTGAGGATTCAGTATGCGAGATGGCCACCTCTGGTAGCATATTCTCAACATTTATCATTGTATGGTAGATAATTCAGCCCACTAACCATGTGTTAATTAAGCTTTACATATTAACTTTTCCTTTTGAAGAACCTAAACTTTATGTAGTTTCTAGTATTCAGCACTCGAAACTTTTCCATAGCATTAAGTCCATCTGCTAACGTCTTTACTATTTAGCTATCAAGTGTATGCGATTTCCATGATTATATAAAATATATCCGAAATGGACTGGTTAAAAGCAATGGTATGGATCTGGCTGAGATTGCTTCGATTCCTGTATTTAATTATAGGATATTAAACTTTTGCCGTAATTATGTATTTCATAGTGAATGAAATGTATCGCAAAATTATGTTTCTAAGAAAATCTATGGCTATTGCAAAGCTCGGATTTCTAGCCTTGCCAACAGACTATAACGCTATACCATAAGTCACTAAACTACACATGAAGCTACATGCGACAAAGAATATTAAATTTTAATTTTTGGAGCAAGAACATATTTTCATTTTTCCAGTAAATATAAAAATATTTACGGATATACTTTGTCGACTTCCGTCGGTTAATTAGCGATTATAAAGACTCTTCTTGTAGTCTACGACTTTATGTATATCTCCAGGTATGCTTTGTTTTGAAGATCCTACGTCTGTTTGGTGCAGAAATAAACGAACTGTCAGTCAATCACGATTAGTACCCAATGCCTATCTATGATAGCAAAAAATAGTACAGAAGCCTGATGTTTTAATTTAGTAATCAAATTGATCATTAAAACACTTGAAAATTTTATGATTTATTTTTAATATAAATATCAAATTACTACTTCGTCGTACTGTAAGAGCTCATGCAAACGCAAAGGAATTTGTTCTCCTGAAATAATATTCAGTTAGCTATGCCTTACAGTAATTGATGTAAATTTTTTGATCCAAAATGGATATTCTATATTTTTGTTGCTTGTTAATGTTTTATTCCTCAAAAGAAAACCTTCATTCATGACGTGGAAAAGGTAATGAAATATTTGATATACTTACTAAAGATTGCACCTATATGCTACAACAGTACGACCACATGCAACTGGTACCTTGTTCGGCATAGCTAACGCAACTATGTTTCCGATTAGAAATATTTACATTGTTATGTGCTCTAAGAAATACTGAAACATATTGTATCGGTATATATATATTTTTAACAAAATATTTTAAAGTTTCAGTAATTCTATATAGGTACATAGCATACAGTAAACTATAAAAGTACTTTGTATTATAAACCTGAAATCTTTATTACTTCAGTGATGATTACGAATTTGCTGATACAATTCTTCTTCTTCTTCTAAATATTCAGATGTACGGTACACGTGTATTATTCTTTAATTAATAAAGTAGTACGTATACCTGGAAAAATTCTCATTTAACAGTGTATAATCTCTGTTAGGAAATCGAAATATCTAATAAATTGAAAATTGTAACTTCTTAATATGATACATATGAGTGTATATGAAGAGATTCCTTTCTATCAGTAATTGTATTTATTCGTAGGCAATAACAGGAAGTAATCATTAATTTATGGCATACAGGCCATTTCCCAACGTGCGTCTATGGCATTCTGTAAAATATACGTACATTCAAATAATTTATTTCATTAATAGATGTCTTTCTATCAGTTTAATCTGTAGTTATAACATAAGGTACGATACTATGGTCTTCTACCATTTTAGATATAACCATTATTGATAATACACATTTACAATAATTATTAACGTGAGAATGATTAGACAATATTAATTAATGCTGTGAGCGACAATGCCCGTATAATTCTCACGAAATCAGGTTACCGTAGTGTAAAGTAATGTAGAGCAATAAAAAAGCGATGGTAAATATTTTTCTTTCTTATTGAAATCTCAGTGAGTCTTGAGAATAAATTTTATAAATTTAGCATAGATGATTGATGGCTAACTTCCTTTCAAAATAAAATATAACCCTCTTTGTTCAAAATTGTACTTAAGGTAATTTATGCGAGTCACTTGTACCACAAAGGGTTCAGCAGATACAACAAATCTATTATAGTAACTACATGTACACGTACGCAGTAATATTTTCATATCGTACAGTAAAATACTACCTAAATGTTGTAGTACGAATCTTGATTCTGTAATGCATACATAGAACAGCAATACATTACATGCTGCTGTACCAAGCCTATATCTAGCAGGCAATCTGCTTACAAATATTTGATGATTTGTGGCATAATACCAGATAGCTCCTTTCTATCTAACAGCATAATACGAGTATAGCGTATTGTAAACTTACAATCAGGATGTCATCTGTAGAATGATTCGACACGTAAGGGTAAAATCCCAATTTTATTTCAATTACTATTGTAGGGAAATCCCTGCGATGCAATCTTAAATAAAATACAGTACATCCCACGACTAATCACAATTAAGGATTACGTACTTCTTACAAATTTAAAATTACAATACAACGCGTCGTTTATTCAAAATAAGATCCACTAAATACCCGAAATTATTTTTATTCCGTCCAGTCCAAATTCTACACAAACCCTACTAATTGAATTATTTATTAATGAATCTTTATTAGTAGTATAAATTATTACATTGCTGCTTCTATTAATGACTAGATATAACAATGTTTGAAGGCGATGATTGCATATTTACAGATAATGTTTACATTTGCGAGAAAGATAACCAGACTTTTCCAACATCTCGATTTAACATTTGCTTGATTCACACAACGCTACACTATAAAATACCGGTACTGTAGCTGCAATCAAGTATTCAATAAAAACATACAGCAATATATTCTCTCCAAGAATTTCAAAGGTGAGCAAGTAATAACAGTTTATCTTAATCTATACCTATTCTCAATTTAATTATTTCTAAATTTTCGGCTTCAAATCATTTGTAAAAATGAAGAAAATATTCGCTATTAACAAGATAGTATAACTCTTACGTGCAGTATATAGTATTACTAAATGCTGTTCTATGCAACTTAATACTGAACCAAGTCATAAAGAAAATAAGATATTTAGAAATTAGAGTCAAACTTTATCTTTAGAATTGACAACCTACCTTATCGACAAACTGATTAGCTCATGCAGCAAGGTATTATTTGGTAATGGAATTAACAAAGGATGTCAATCTTCGTATTATATAAAGAACAAAATTCTCTAAATTATAATTTATTATCTAAGGAGGACAATTTTTGAATTTATTTATGCCACTAAGTCAATGATTCTAGAATCCAATAAGTTTCGTTTCCCCTATTTGTACATTAAAAAAACGAATTTTAAGAAAATTGACTAAATTTCGTACCTACAGCAAAGAAAGCAAAATGAAAGCAAGCATTGCCGTCGTACTGCTTTTTGCCATAATGGCAACACTTAAAGTTCAGGTAAATCTCGATATTACCTTTATTTTTAACTTACCCCGCGCATTACTATAAATTCGCACATGTTTAATAGGTTATATTTTTTAATACAGACACTTATAGTCACCTCTATTATTATTAGAACCATTCACTATAATTCTCAGAAATGCTAATACTCATAAAATTAACAGTTAAATATTAGTACCATTATTAAAACTTAGATCTAAATTGTAGGCCGATCGTAATAAGGATATTTCTGAAGAAGTTAACAATCTTGACGCGACTCAGCTGCAAAAAATTCTTAAGGTAGAACTAACTTAACTATCAATTAATAATTATACTATGTAGTCTCTTACAGTCTGAAACAGTGTAAATCATATGATATTGTTATTACAGCAGTCATCATAGAATAAATTTTGTCTGTGGGCTTATGTGTGATGTAGCATGTATATTATGGATCACATAACACTATAACTTGCAGTAACTAGATCAAAATCTGTAAGTGTATGTTGTATCCATAGCTATTTTAAAAGAATAACTAGAACGAGCATTTGCTAGTTTTACTACAAAAATAAAATAAACGTCTCATGCAGTAAATTTATTATTTTCTGCTGCGAGATTCATCCAACCATAGTTATCTACTGATATCACATCTTGATAAATTCTATTAGAGAGTTTTCTGCTATGCATATAATTGACCCCTAAAAATAGTTCCAGTAGACTATCTTGAAAGAACGTATAGGGTTGCACTAAATTAATTACTTGCTTTAGATCAATACTCCATTACGAATTGTGTATGTTTCTTAATGAAATATAGACGCGAAAGTATTAATAGGCCGACGCCTTCAATAAGCCGAATACCTAATCCCTAAATGATACTGTCATTAATACAATTACGACGATTAATTATGCGAAAAATGAGCTAGTAAATATTGAATATAGTTTCTACCGTTATTCTGTATTTAAAGTTTTCTTGATAAAAAAAATAGGACGTCAGACTTGCTATTTATTTACTATTTCCAAGTTAAGGCTTTTCGAGCATATAAAAAACTGTACAAAAATTCTTATCGCATAGGCAACATATAAAGTAACACGGTTATCTAGCAAGTATCTACACTAATTAATTACTAATTTACTTATTAACTGCTTTATAGAGTCTCATTGACAAAATAGAAGAAGTTGAGGTAAGTCAACTTCCCATGCTCTTTTTATAGTCATATTCTATTCATGTCATTCACAATATTCCCATTAAGAGATGCACTAACGCAAACTTCTGTCTAGTGTTGTGTTAGATGTACTATTTTCATGTATTTTAGGCGTCAGTATGCTTTTGGAAAAAGTTTATTTAAAATATTACTGCAAAGAAGTAATATACAGTAGAATAAGTTAAATACTTTGAATAAAAGGTTAAATGTCTAGATTTCGCTCAAAGTACTGTACAATAAAAGATGCGATCCATTTCACATAAAATTCATTATCAAATTCATTTTCTTTTACAATTTCACCGCACGAAATAACCTTAGAATAATGCCAACATAAGATAAATATCTGACATACGCATATTTTAGATACAGTATTCACATGGTATACATTTGCAATAGTATCTTTTAACTCCGTTACTAACGCGTAATGTTGTACATTTATATCACGTTTATTAGTATTGGAATTGAATGAAGGTTATAAGTAGGACTCTTATTAATCACTATAATATATGTAAATGCGTAATGTATTATATATGAAATACAATTACAATGACATTTCCTAAGCATATACTGAACGATTATATGCGTACTCAATTGTTACGGTGCTTAATTGATACATGTTATGCTCCATGTTTATCAGCAATAGGATTAATCAAAGGTTATACAGTTCGACAGTTTTAAAATAAAGAAATAGTCAAGACCTTCCTCCTTGATTTCTAATAGAGTTTAATATATAGATTTCATACGTATTGCAAATAAATTCTAATGGCCGATGTGTGTTATAAATATAATTCTTACTTAAATTATTAAAACTATTACGTACCCTAGTTTGTTGCTATGAATAATT